AAAACATATTCAGTTATAGTAGGCCGTTTCTTTGGTTACCATCATGGATATCTCTGTTAATTTTAATTGGTCAGAGCTTAAACACAAAAAAACTTGAACAAGTTGCCATAAATTACCTTCGCTTGTTTATTTTGATGACACGTGCTTATAATAAGTTCCAAAGTTTATGATAATGTTTGTCAGTTCAAAATTAGACGCCACTAGATTGTTTATTACAATTAATTTTATCATTTAACGAGGGAAAATTGTCAATAAAACATTTCGTTTGCATTTTTTGATGTGTTTTTAATGTTTAACAGCGTTTTCTACTACACGGGAATAACAATAAGTTTAAAGAGGAAATGAGTATCCGTTTATATACGAGTAACAATAATAGTGAAGCTTTGTTGAATAAAAAATCAAAAATTACAATGCATTTGACTCGATATCAATAAAATAACCTTAAAAACTGTTAAAATAACAATGAGATAGCATAGTAGGCGTTGCAAGTCGAAAAAAGCGGTCTACGGTTAAGAAATCGGCGTCTAGAAGGCCTTGAAACCGATATTTGGTCGCGATGTTCAACTGTCTGTCGCCCTGGGCCAAAAATGGCGCCTCAAAGAAATCTCTCCATGGACCCAGAAGAGATAAAAATATAAAATCATTTATCGAGGATGAATTAGCGCCGAAATCAAAAAAACAAATTTACGTAACAGTCAAAGTGTAGGAAACCAGTTCTGCAGAAATAAAAAAAATCACGCGGCACTCTACGGCGAATTCCTGTTCGCATGCAGACGATGTGGCAACGTCGGCGTGGCCTCCTTGCGTTTTGCTCCGTTACGGATGAATTCAAAGCTGGAGCGACTGTGTTTTGTTTTGTAAGATACACATAAAGAATGCCGTGTTCGCCTTCAAGTGAACATACTTGAATAAATTTGTGGCCGATGAAGGAAAATGCTAGCTTTATTGGTGGCGAAATTTTGAACGTATCTCGACAAATAAGGGATATTGGGGGAAGTTTGTTGAAGATAACTTGGCAACCCTGTAAGATAGAAACGTCAACAATTTGGGGTGACAGTGTTTTATAACATACTAAAATTTGATTTAATTATCTTTTGTATTTTTCAAGATATTACAAGTTTTCGAAATTCATTTATTGATATTTATATTTATAAATAGGTAGTTTGAATTACAAATGAACTTTGATTTTGATGTTTCACCTATCTAAGGCAAATCTCGAGCACTTTTGCGATATTTTTGCGATGACCTTGCAGTTTTAATCTCACAATGCATTTCGATAGGCTAATCTAGCAAATAGTGATAAAAAATATAAACGGAATTTTTTTCGAGCATAGACTAGACAGTCGGCATTGTCAAGGTCGGTGCTAGATATTCGAAAAGTCTGTAGTGATGAGTAAATGTGATAAATTTTAGTTAAGAAGCGTTTCGTACTGCTAAAAACTTTTTATTATGGGTATTTTTTTTTTAAACATATTTAAGCAATAGGTAGATCATAAAAATGATTTCTTTTAATTTTTAATAATATTTTATATTTGATTCGATTGCTTTGGATGTGTTTAATTTACCTACTTATTGAACTGATATTTTTAATATGCTTTTACTACATCAGATATATGTTAGGTTAACCTAGAAAGAGTAACAGTCACTGAGGATAGGTTTTAGACTTTTAAAACATTGTAAAAAATAATATTTATTTGTAATAAAAAAAGTTATTGAACTTTTTCCGAAAATCTCTGCTTTTTGACTATAGTGCAACGTTGGATTTTTTTTTTTAAATACAGACTAGTTTTATAAGACTAAAATATGTGGTAACACACTGTATAAAATCTTAGAGGGATCACAAATAGTATAACACCCTTTATATGTGTGGTTTTTGTTACACAAGACAAAAAGAAATTTAAAACCTACTCAGTTTTTATTACAATAAAAGGGGTCCTTTTATAACTCTGAACAATATGAATTCAAATTTTCATCGCAATGCATTTTAAAAACTTAATACACTCAATATGGGCGCATGTAAAATTATAATAAAGATTAGATTACTTTAAAAACTCATTTTTAATCTATATTGCTTGTTTTTCAAATTTAATCAATTAAAGACAAAACACACCAAATTATCAACATTAAAATTGCGTCACTAACTTTATTTTCATTAAAATTGCATTACTAGCGTAATCTATTTTTAATTTTGCCCCATAATGAAGATTTAACCACTCGAAACGTAACTACAGCCTTATACTAATTGTTGTTGAAGAATAACCACCAACAATAAAGACATGCATGAAAATTTATTTTAAATAGAATAACAACAGCCTTTATACTAATTGTTATAAACATATTCCTAACGCCATCCAGTAGAAAATTAAAAAACCTGTTGTTTGATACCAAACAACCCATACTTCCCACCAACAATAACTGAGATATCCATGAAAATAACAAAAAGCATAGCCACCTATATCAAAAAATTAAAACCTCATTTATCAGCCTACTACAAAACATGACCATGACATATTATACACCAAATTAAAGAGAATTTCAATCCCCGTCGATATATACTGAGTATTTTTGAGATTCATTTATTAAACGCACGTCAGATCAGGTTAATTAAAAAACCACACTGCGTATCGCGTTGTCGGTGGAAGATCAAAGGAATTCCGACTGTACGGGCGCATATACCAGAGACAAGGGAGAGAGAGACGAACGATTCCCATATAAACATTGGAAACAATAAATGTGGCGCCCTCGCCGGGGGCTGCGAGAACTAATGCTAAAAAAATTTTGCGCGGTATTTTTAAATATTTAATTTTTGTTTGCTACAAATGAATCGGTGAGATTAAGAACCGTACAAGTCCAAAAAATTTGACAAATTATTTTATAAAGTCAGTTTTATAGTTCAAAAAGCATTTTTGTGAAAATATTTCAACTAAATACTTTATAAAACATAATAATAATATTTTATAAAATAATATAAATCTTCTCACAAAAATTCATTTTAAACTTTTAAATTAATTTTAGAAAATAATTTGTAAAAATAAATATTTTGGACTTGTACTGTTCTTAATCTCACCGATTGAATTACAAAGTAGGATCTTTCGTAGATATCATGTTTAAAAAAATTAAAATAGCATTAAATTAAAATTATTTTATTTACAACATGTAAACCAATAAAAAACAGGAACAAAAATAACATTGAACACAAATAATTTATAGACAAAAATAGAAAGAAAAATAATGTAAAAATATCAAAATATTAATTATATTTAAATATGAAATAAACATACCTACACGAAAATATTTTAAAGCAAAAACTTAATTAACAACACAAAAAAACACTCTAAAAACTAATCGAATTGAATAAGAGAAGAAAATTATTTTATCACACATACCTACATATTTTAATTTATTTACTTTGACCTTAAATAATTTCATTTAACAACAATTAACAATCTGCTAAATATAACGAGGTATAATAACTTATCAATAAAACTTATAAACAAAACCACAGAAGCACTTTTAGTATTTACTGACAGCAGACTGACAGACGACAGAAAATGACAGTAAAGAACATAATTGCGCCTTTTCAGTGCAGGGCTGCCAACAAATGTGCAGAAACCAATTTACATTGAAATCTGTGTGCAGCCCTGCGCATCTAAATTGTTGACCGAAATTCCTATTTAAAGAATCGTCTCTCTCTCCCTTGTCTCTGCATATACCGCGTGTAGATACGTGTATGCAATAATAATAGTTTTGTAGTAAAAATAATAGTAAAAATATGAATTGTGAAATTTAAAAAAACAGTCATCTTGGGTCATCCTGTATTTCACGCGAGTAGAATCACACGCAAATAAACAAATGCGACAATGTCAACAGCTACGTTGCGAAAACAAATAAGCATTTTCAATGTTTAAGTTAATTAGCATTCTGTAAGACTGCTTACGGTTCGTTGTACCAATATGCGACATTGACATTTTTATGCAACCCCCCCAACACCGTGAAGTTACATTCAAATAAACGTCACCAATGGTTTTGGCCCCAATGTGACGGGCAGTTTTTAAGAGAAAACCCTGTATATAATATTATATTACGTATTATTGCGATAAGACCACTTAATATTGTTGAAGAGTTATAATTATTAATTGTCTTATCAGAGAAAAACAAAATTATCACTTAACGAGACTTTATTTATTATTATAATTTTGTAAGTATGGACTAAATATTAGTGGGTCAAAAAGTACAGGATTTCTATATTTACTTCAATGGTTTGGATATTTTAAAATTATTGTCACATAATTGTTTACATAACAATCGTTTTTGGATGTGCAATATGTTTTAAACTTTTAAAAACTTGTGCGTAGTTTTTTGGTTCGCCCTGTGTATTATGGATTATTAAAGTGGATTCCCCCTTTCGGTAGAATAGATAGGTCCTTCTACGAAAATTGCCACACTCCTTGGAGCCCATCCAAAAAATTAATTTTAGTACAACTTATTCATACAAAATTTATTTATCAATTTATTTAACTCAAAACCGTGAATTTTTGCATTAATTATTGCTTTCAAGTCATTAAAACACTCGTACAACTACCGAGTAAAATATTTCAATATGTAACCAAATTTTCGTATTTTTAGCTTGAAAGTACGCCAAAATTGTGTCAAATATGAATTATCTTCGAAAATAAGCGAAAATCGTTTAAATTTTTCGCTTTATAATCATTTTCTTGGTAAATTGCACACTCATACCAAAAAAATCCTACCCTGCCTTATTAAGAGATGTTCTATGAACATGGGAATAGTATGGGGCTCTAATAGGAACCTTGAAGTACACCTTATAATTCAGTGTTTTATAGTTTTGCGTTTTTATTTATTTACATGATGATTTATAAAATGGTAAAGGGTACCCTTTCTTAAAAAGTATTTCGCAATGTTTATGCTGCATTGTTTGGAGTGTATGCATAAAGTTTAGTCTACACTTTAATAAAACAAACATGGATAAATATAGTTACCTGTTTTCGTTTGATGATTGGAGTCTCGATGATTTGTGGTGGAAAGGGCATTTTTCCCTCGTATTGTTTCTGCATGTCGTCCAATAGTTTGAGGTGGTTTTCTCGGTCCTCCTGTTCTTGGGGAACGAGGAGGTAATTCCGCCAGTTGTTGGAGTCGAATCCCCAATGTATGGTTCTGTTTTCTCTGTCCCTATGGACGTGGCAGACGAATTGTTGAGGAGTAAAGCCGCTTTGACAGTCCAAGCATTTAATGCATTTAGCTGGTTTGCTTATGAACAACTCCGGATAGCAGATACCCATGCTCTTCCCGAAGCATTTGTGGTACACTTTGAATGATATTGCTTCTTTACGCGGTTTTAGCAATGTTGTAGATTGCCCGTGTAGAAGGGCACTACAAAGTCTTTCAGCGTCAGTTTTTGTTATCAAACCGCAACTGGGAGCCCCCGATGGTAGAATCCCCTGATTTTTAAGCACGTTCAGCTGCTCCAGAGTGCACCTGGAGCAGTAAATGTGCAGCAAATCGCACTCGTGATTGATCTGTTGCAAGGTAAAGTCTCTGAGAACACTGTTCAGCACTTGCGGAAGACACAGTCTCTTCTCGCCACCCACAACAAAGCACGATATTATTTCGTCTTCCAGGTTGGTCTCCGTGCGCTCCGAGCAAGAGGTGTCAGGTGTGGTGAGTATGGGGACCTGCTGCACGGGAAAACTAGACGGCACAAAGTCATCTTCCACTGCTTGTTTCTTCGACTCGGGTGGATGATCAGTTTTGCTCGGCACAAGACTCAACCCTGGGCCTTGTAGGGATTTCGTAGCGCTGTGCTGGTAGTTCTTCAACACGGTCTTCAAGTGCGGCGTCACCTCCATCATTTTGTACTTCGTTTTTACCTTGTAAAGCACCATTTATGTTGATTTACATCGTATCGTTGCGACGCTGCAATGAAACATCACGACTACGCTTCGCGGCGGTATAAACACGTCTGCTGAGTTTGTCTCGCTTTGGAAGTCTAGTGCACCACACATGCGCACCGCTCGGCTCTATTACAACTTATTATGCACGAATCCGGCCTGTTTTTAACACTCTAAACACTCATTTTGACCACTGCGAACTCTCTATCTGGAAGAACGGACTTCGATTTATGGCATAACCTTAGAGGCACGTTTCGATGGATGAAATTTCGGTGGCCATGTTTTGTGTTGCTCGCCACAGACTGGAAAGTCAGTCTAGCCAGGTCGCCCCCCGCGCCGCGCGCCTCTGCCGGCGCGCTGCGTCACGTGACGGCGACCTTCTCCGTCAAAATACTTGGTGTAGCTGGTGGCGGGCGAGGGGCGGTAAGGGGGGGCGAAGGGGGCGGGCGTTTTGCGCTGGCGATGCTGCCGAGGATTGCGGCGTTGCCGCGTCGTCGGCGACCCGGTCGGTGGCGTTTGCGAGGTTGTTTGTTACGTTTGATGTGGTTACGCGTGTCGAAGTTGGTGGAGGGGGTTGTTTTTTTTGTAGGGGTGTTTTTGGGAGGGGGTGATGGCAAGATAAAAAAATAACCGTAAATTAAATTGATTTAACTAATAAAAATAAATAAATTGAAAAAGTATAAAAATTAACAAAAAATGAGAAAAGAATTGCTTTAAAATGTTTCCTACAGAGAAAAAAATATTAAAAATATCATCGACAAATTGGTTATTATAAATTTTAAGGTTATGTTTGTAAAACAATATTTTTTTTATATAGGTATCTTATAAGAATTTATAATAATATAACTTTTTTGAAATGTCATACAATCGTTAAAATAATATGCCTTTCCTGTAAAATAATACTAAACCCAGACCGCAAAATCACATTCCCTGCACATGTCAGGAATATTCCCAGGAATATTCCAAGCGTCCCAGAATATTCCCAGGAATATTCCTGGCATAATCAAATGTCCGCTTTTTGGTTAACCCAGGCATCATAAAAAGAATAGACTCAAGGATTGTTAGGGGAATATACCTTGATATAATTTGAGGATTATTCCCAGCCCTTATTGCCTCTTATACCCAGGAACTTAACTATAGCCATTATTGAGTTACTGAGTAGATCAGTTCCAATCTAATCATTGTTTGGCTGTGCCATCACAGACGCACATCTCCAACTGATAATAATATCCTATCGGTATAGTTATCAAGCGTGCGTAAGCAACGGTGAGAGGTATTGCAACTAAACTAATGAATATTTACTGGGAATATTCTTAGATGATGCTTGGAAGTTTTAGAGGATCATTCTAGGAATATTCCCAATGAATATTCCTAGAATGAAGCGGATTATTCCTAGGCGATAGGGAATATTCCTGGAATATTTTCGAACCTTCATTGCAGTCTGGGAAGGTAAAAATTATTTTATTATCTCAATACAAAAGTATTAAATAGTTTCTCAACGCCAATATTTGAAAAGTTTATATGAACATTGTACTGACCTTTTAATTTCGCCGGCAGTAAACTATAACTTAAATTCGGGCACGGACTTCACTGTAAAGTGCTCATAAAGCATTTTCTTTACTTTCACTGTGAAAACTGTCAATTTTCAAGAAATACATTTCAATTTATAACCTTTATAATTGTGTTTGACAGTTTCCCCTGTTGTTTCATAGATGGCGCTCTATACAAATTTTTGACTTTAATTTATAACCTTTATAATTGTGTAGAGATGGGAATCGGAAAGTTTCCATTTTAAGGAAACTTTCCGTTTTGGAAAGTTTCCAATTGGGAATTTATTTTCATTTTGAAAGTTTCTTTTAAGCTACCGGAAACACTCCTTGGAAACATTCCTTGGAAACTTTCCTTGTTTTTTTCATTTAAATGTCAATTGTTAAACCGCTGATTTTCGTTAAGGCCATGATACAAGGCCAAGGAACTTTGAATAAGAATTTAATTTGTGTTAATTTAAAGCAGAAGAAGAAGTATAAATAATGTAAGTTATGTTACATAACCTCAATGAAGCCGGATTATTCAGCATCAACACAAAAAACTTTTTTAAAAAAATAAACAAATTTAAAATCATTCTTACATTTTTGTTGTTTATTTATAGGCATAGCACAATGCCAAGAGAAAAATCTAGTGTTTGGAATTATTACAAAATAGTGCAAAAAAACAAAAAAGACCATGCTCTCAAGCAAGTTCTGTAAGAAAATCTATGTCGTTAATGCAACCAAAAATTTGACAAAAAGTTAATGTGTTATATATTTTTGCAAATCCCTGGCATAAAAAAAATATTTTCCCAATAAAAATTTTTTTTTTGAAACTTTCGGAAAATTTCGGGAATTTTCGATGGAAAGTTTCCGGGAATTTTCGTCAAATGGGAATTTTCCCATCTCTATAATTGTGTTTGACAGTTTCCCCTGTTGTTTCATAGATGGCGCTCTATACAAATTTTTGATTTAAATCATTTTAAGATAATAATAAGTATTTGTCGTAGAAAAAGTATAGTATGCACCTCGTTTATAAACTTTTCTATACATTCATTAACTTAAGCACTCGCTCGCAAGCTCGCTCGTGCCTAAATTAAATTCGTGTATAAAATGGCGTTTATCAAACTTGATACATAATATACTATTAACTACTTGATAAAATATTCGTAAAAATAGTTAAAAAGTAGTCAACTATAGTATAGTATACTGAGTCGTAATTACTTTTAAGTAAATATTCAGCCAACCTGAAAATGATTTATTTGATTTAAAAAACGGAGAAAGATTTAATAAAACACAAATTTAAATTTGAATTCAATTAAAAATATTACAATACTTGATAGACAAAAGAAATAATATAGAAATGCTAACTTATGAGTTAATTAAACAAATATTAATTTTTGAGCCATTGTTTTTTAAAGGCAAATCAATAATAGTAAGTATATACTTATATTCAATATATTATAATGTTATTTATAATTTTGATTCCATTATTAATGTTTTGTTTGTGTTTTATTTTTTTATGTTTTGTTAAGTTCTTCCACAAAAAAACTATAAAAAATCTATTTTGGTTTTTTAATTAAAGATTTAAATCCTACCCACACGGAACAATTACATCCAATGGATATCCAATGGATTTCTTTTATGGATATCCAGGATATACATAGGATATCCGGGATATCCAATGGATAACCATTGGATATATAAATGTCCGACCCTCCTGGACATAGTGTGGATATCCAATGGATACCCAGTGGATATAGTATTGTATGCAATAAGGTTGTAATCTGTATTCAATATGGAGATTGTATGGATATCCAATGGATATATAAATGTCCGACCCTCCTGGACATAGTGTGGATATCCAATGGATACCCAGTGGATATAGTATTGTATGCAATATGGTTGTCATCTGTATTGGATATGGTGAATCAATGGATATTTACTTTTCAATAAATAACATTGGGTTTTAAAATAAATAAAATTGCCAAGGTTTTACTACTACGCCAGTAGTTAGGCACAGGGTTGCCAGTGCCAGTGCTTTTGTACTGAAATCAGTACTTTTCAAGGTTTGTCAGTACGTCAGTGCTACTTTTATAGTTTCAGTACTTTTTGCGAAATTTCCTTCCCAAAAAAACAAAATTGAATATAATCATACAATTTGTTTGAAAGATTTGGTTGCCTATTTTGGATGTTTCTGTCATTTTCTGTCGCTGCTGCCAACCCTTGCCTTGCAGCGTTGCCGGCTGCGGTGTTGCTTGTTTTCTTGGGGTTTGTTCCATTCTTTCGTACCAAAGGTTTCGGTGTTGCCAACTTACCAAGTAGAGCGGAGGCGCCACAATTAAAAAGTGACCTGGCAACACAGCCTGGATTTGACAGTTAATGTTTTAATTTAAAACTTAAAAGTGTATATAGGCTTAAAAGTAAAGAACTATCTAAATTAAATATTATAATATAATAAATAATAATATTATACATCTATATAGTATAATTTAGTTTAGTGCGTTGCAGGCCGTTGTGTTTGTGATTATGTTTTAAGTATATGGTTTTGTTATGTATTTCTTATGCTTATTCTAACGGTCATTATGAACCCACACTTAAGCATGATTTATAGATTGCCTTCCTTCCTTCCTCCCGTAGAAGATGAACAGTACAAAAACCGTTGTGCAGTTTAAAGATTACCGTACTATAAATGGCACTACGATTTTCGTATTTCTACAATAAGAATCGAGGTGTACATCAAAATATTAACATCTTGTATTTTTTTTGAAAACAGTACTTTTTTATTAAAATCAGTACTTTTTTCATTCCAAATCAGTACGGAAATTTTTCGTGGTCTGGCAACGCTGGTTAGGCAACCAAAATGACAAATATTACACAAGCCGACACATCTCTCCACCGTGCCTGGCCCGAAACGCATCTCTCGGGTTGACATGGCACAATGACTAATGTAGTACCATGCCCACCAACACTGACAGACAGACTGTTTCAACCTGTTGGGTCTCATCAGTGTCAGGCAGTTGGTGCCGAGAGACACGCTTCAAGCCAAGCAACCGCCCACCTATATACTAGTTGGACGACCTGGACAGCGGCGAGATGCAGCGGCAAGGTAATATGGTGACATTTATCTTCTGTTTTCGCCGGCAGTGTTGTCAGACGTTTAAATAATTTCAGAAAGCTCATCAAAATGGCGGTTATATTATTAAAGCTTTAATACTTAATTAATTAGTATACCTAGTATACCTATTTGACATAAATGTGGTGAATAATTATTTTAAATTTATTTAATTTATTTATTAAAACTTAATAAAGTACGGAAATATATTTCGTTTAGTTATTTTGCTTATAACCGGCAACACTGAAGATTCTCAAATTCAGCGCGTGCATAGTACATATATGAAATACAATAATAAACAAAAAGGACTTTTTTAAGTAATTTTTTATTGTATTGCAGACTGTCATAGTCATATTATTAACAGAAATAATATTATTAATATATAAATATTATTATCTGGGTAAAGTGAACATTTCAAAATTAAAAATTTCGTAGCTCTTGGCAAAAAATCAATTTAACGTAAAGTCGTTTTTTTTTACATATGCTAGTTTAAACCATCACAAAATCCCACATGTATACATACAAGTATATATACAAGATATCCATATCAGTTATCCACCGGATATCCAGTGGATATCCAGTGGATATACATTAGATGTACAGTGGATATACTTTGGACATACATTAGTTATCCATTGGATATATATTAGAGATACTTTGTTGAAATTGGGTTAATAACGATTTAAATCATATTTATTAATCATTACATAAATTTATCCTATAAGGGGCTATTTTAAAAAAGAAAAAAATATTTTTAATGTTTTTGTTTTTTTTTTGAACATCCAGTATGGATATCCATTGGATATCCAATGGATATCGTAAAAGGCATGGATGTTATATGGACATTGGGATAGCCATTGGATATCCATTGGATAGCGTGTTCTGTGTGGGTATATAAATTTATTTTTTTAACATTTACCTACTTTAAAATAAACTTTAAAAAAATAATAATAAGGCGTCTTTCATGTGTTTTCTTAAATTTTATAGTTTTGAGTCATTTTGCCATTTTGGAAGCTGTAGGATGTCAGAGGGAGTAGTTAAACAAGTAGTTAAATTTTTAACTGTAGTATACTAACTACTAACCCGATGCTTCTTTAGGGTATAGATATATCTTAAGATAATTGAAGATATTATTTATAATTTTAAAATTTGTATACCTACCTACCTACAGGATGTCCCAAGCATGGTTGACAGATGTATTTTTTGACAATTTTTATTAAAAAATCATAACTTTGTTATTACGATCAAATTGTAACATTTTATTTTTCAAACACCGTTAAAAAATTGTTTACTATCCTTTTAAAATAATATTATAATAATAAAGATGCTATACCTACATACCTGTAAGACTAAAAAAAAAATCAAAAAATAAAAATCATGAAATAATTTTCCCCTTTCTTACATAACAGAAAATTCCTGAGACCCTAAATACAAAGCTTGCATAAACAAAAGATGAACACGTGCTAAGGACAAAAAGGAAGTTTCAAAAGGGGAAAAGCCACGTTGCCATGATTAACAAAAAATCCCCAAAAACTTTATTTGAAAATATGCTTTAAAAATGATTAAAAAATAAAAAAAATCGGTTTGTATTGGAAATAACACAAAAATGTTCCCCAAAAATTCACATAAATCGCACAGATTAATTATAATATATTTATATCCATGTATCCTTAAAAAAATATTTTTAGTTGGCGCCACACTTTTATTTATTTAATTTTGGTTGTTTTCATTTAAAGAATTTTATTTAAATCTTATTTCTAGGAATCAAATAATGGTTTCAATATGAGTTCAGGAATTTTTGGCAAAATATTAGCTATTTCGTAAATTTATCGTTTCCACGCTTTAAATTGTCAATATTTTGTTACAAATCACGTTATTTTGATTTTAAACATGAAAGGAATGTCATTGAATCAATAAATAAATAAATGGAACTTTTTCATGTATACGTATGCAACTAAAATGACAACGCAGCGTAAAATGGGTTGCATAAGTCGATTTTAAGCGCTACACAATAAATTTGCCTTAATTATTACAATACAACACCAAAATTTGATATTTTTTAATTAAACAATTATGGGGATGTAACATATGAAATTTTATGAATAACGTAAAATTTATTAAAATAAAGAATTAAATTAAGGGTTTTCAGTTAAATAACTGTTTGTATAGAATTTTAGTATCTGCCGAAATAGCTCAGTTGGGAGAGCGTTAGACTGAAGATCTAAAGGTCCCTGGTTCGATCCCTGGTTTCGGCATAACTTTTTTAAATTTTTAAAAATATTTTTGTTGATTTTTTTTTTTTTTAATTTTTGTACTTAAATTCATCTTACAATTTTTTTAGATATGATTATTTAGTTTTTTTGGGATTTTAAAAAAACGACATTTTTAAATTCCAAATTTATTTATTCCACTTAAAAATAATTATCACATTTACTATAAAAACACTTAAAATAATACAAAAATAGGTCTAAAATATAAAAAATCATATAATTATTATCTTATTTACAATATAGGGTAGTATTAATGCCTAAAATACTTTGTCAAAATTTATAATGCAATTTTTTGGCTTAAGATTTAAATAAAGCAGCTTTTTCCAAAAATTCCGCCCTCCTTATGGCCCTCTCTTCCTCGCTGCGCCTTCTTTCTTGCTGCTCCTGAACGATTTCATCCTCGAATTTCGATTTTTTAGCCAACTCTTGAATCTGCAACCGAAAAAGTAACGTTTAACCTCATTCTTACACGATCTGTCACTTTTGACGTTTAATCTGTCAAACACCAGCGCTACCAACCTTGCATTCGAAGAACTTCTTGGCGCCGTTCACGCCCACTTTGTCGACGTCGATCTCCGTCAGTTTTGCCAACTGCCCCAGTCCAGAGTCCTCGTTCAGTTCGCCAGCGCGGGCTTTTCTGTACACTGTCAAAAATTCCCTGAAAGACAAGCGACCGTCGTCGTCGTCGTCGACTTCCTTGATCATCGCTTTGAGACCCAGGTGGGTCTGTGGTGCCCCGAGCACCTCCATCATGCGCTTGAGTTCGTCCAACGACAAAAAACCGTCATTGTTGGTGTTAAATCTGCAAAAAATGCCAACAGTTAGAATGTTTTGATTAAAAACAAGTTTTCTGTTAAAAGTCTTAAGCCTGAATTATAGATTGCCTTCCTTCCTTTCTCCCGTAGAACATTGCGTAATTGTCACCATTAACATTTCCCGTGTAGGAATTTTTAATACTTTGTGATAATATTTTGCAATTATATTAATAAAAATAATCAAAGAATAAAATATTTTCTTAACAAAATCATATTTTGAAGTTATTTTAATATTTAAGTATCAATAATTGTTAAGTTTAATTAAAATTAATAACGGGCAATGTTAATGGTGACAATTACGTCAAAAATGTTTATTTATCGTAGTGCCATTTATAGATTCCCGCACCGTAAGGACGGCATTCCTTCCTCCCGTAGAAATTTTTAAGTTTTATCTTTCACCGTAAAGGTCTTTGACATGACCAATCACAGTGCTTGTTATGGACATGCGCTGTAGGGTGACAGCGCGTAGGCACAAAATATTTAAAATACATGATTGTTTAGTATTATTTAAGATAGGTGTTCAGTTAATTAAATAATTTGTGTCTCTAAATAGGATATTTAGATATTGTTTATGATCAATGTCTTTCATTTTTAGAGACGTTGCTTTGTAAAACCCCGTAGTTTCCCGGTCTTGGTAAAGTGGGCGAGTCTTCCAACGTCTTGTTCGAAGTTTTTTTTTTCATTATGCTGCCCTACTATGGAGAAAGGCAGTAACTACAAATGCGTTTTCTTGTGCTATGATAAAGCTATGAACATTTTGTATCTTAATTCGACAAAGAAATGCAGTAAACTATCTTTTAAGTTAAATAAATCAGTTAAATAGGTACCTACTGCTTTTTATAAAAATGTAGTTTATGCTAATTTCCCACAAATTTCTTGTTTAGCAGTTACTGCCTTTCTCCATAGTTAGGCAGTATACAACAAGCTGCCTGGGCAATTAAAATTGTGATCACTGCACTAATATATAAATGATTATCTTTCATATTTACACACAATGGGTAAAACGCAGAATATCAACAAAAACAAATGTCAACCATGTTAGGTGTCAACGCGCATGGTTACGGAATTTTACACGGAAATCTATAAATTGACTTTTTACAAGACGCACAAATCGTACGGGCACGACTACGGGAGGAAGGAAGGAAGGCAATCTATAATTCAGGATTTATAAGGAAACTCTAATATGTATAAAAAGAACAAGGAATTTGGTCTCCCACTTACGCCTTTATGTTATTTTATATTTTTATTTTTACCCACACAAAGAATCGCAGGTAAAAATACCCGGCATACCAAAATACACAATACAAAATCTTTGCATGGGTCCTAAAATACCTATTCTTAATTTAACCATGGTTAAATAGTGCACTAACCCAAAATAAATATAAAATTTAAATGATTTTCCTCATCCATGCCATGTTATCTTATGAAGGTGGTATTTTGTCAACGGATGTGTTATAAATAAACACAACTTCCTCTAAAATATTGATAATTATTGTCAATTTATGTAAATAAACAGAGCAGAGAGATCACTTTACCAAAAAATACTAAAACAATCGTCAAAAACAATCTTTTAAACCAAAAAAATGATTTTCAAGGCCATGTCTGTCATATTTTCAAAAAATATCAGGGCACTTGATTTTTTTAAGTACCTAATATAACTTAATTTTACAAAAAGTATTGCAAAATTAACCAAACAATTCGATAAACACAATTAAATTAAATAATAAAAATGCACCTAAGCGTAGGTGTATTAAAACAATAAAAATGCATTTAGAAACCACACAAAGTACCGACTTAATTAATCGTTAAAATACATGAACTATGCCCTAACAAAAATGTGCTAAAGGTCACGTAATGCGATTTAAATCGATCTTTGTGATTTTTTTCGTCGTAAAACCGCCACGTAACCCTTAAACGTACTTATACAAGTCTTGTACAATTATTAAGTCATTACAGCGTAGAATTTAATACGAATAATATTCAAATTACGCGCCTATTATAGTGGATTGTGCGCAGTGCCAACATAACGGTGTTGATATTTGACATCTCACAGCTGGCTTAGTGTTTACGTGGTAAAATATAACTGATGGAAAAACCGATATAAATTACATATTTTTGTATTAAAAATTGCGCAATGAGATGCTCGTTTCGTAGCGAAAATAACGCAGTGCAACATGAGAGGCTCCAGGGTTGTTTTAGCGGTGCATTTCGCCGTGTTCGTTCAGTGTTGTTCGGGTTATTTTAACCTAGAAAAGGAAAACGACTGTTTCTGCAACTTGCAAGGCAAAGTGGACGAGTGTTCGTGCAATATAGACACTGTTGATTACTTCAACAACATCAAAATCTACCCCAGACTTAAGTCGCTGCTAGAGAAGGACTACTTTAGGTATTTTAAGGTTAATTTGAAGAGAGAGTGTCCTTTCTGGGAGGATGACAGCAAGTGTTCGATGCGGTTTTGCAATGTGGAGTCTTGCGGTGAAAAAGACCTCCCGCCCGGTCTTAAAGGCGCAAAGAACGAAAATAAATATACCAAAGAGGTTAACGAGCAGTGTAGCGAGCTGAATAATGAGTATGATCATCTTGATACTACTTTGAGTGAGAAAGCTCAAAAGGATATCGATTTGTGGAATAAATACGACGATGCAACCGATAATTTTTGTATTATCGACGAAAATGACTCTGATTCAGAGTATGTAGACTTGCTCAAAAACCCTGAACGTTACACAGGGTATAAAGGCAAATCGGCTAGAAGAATATGGGAGAGTATATACTTGGAAAACTGCTTTAGACCCAAATATTCATCCAACCTCAATTTATACATACAAAACGGTATTTTAAGCGAGTTATGTCTGGAAGAACGGGTCTTCTACAGAGCCATTTCAGGGCTACATGCAAGTATTAACACCCACCTTTCAGCGATATATTTGTTGTCTGACAACAAATTTGGCGATCCAAAAGGCGTATGGGGGCCCAACTTGCAGGAATTTCAAAGAAGATTTTCCGAGGAGACAACTAATGGGGAGGGGCCAAATTGGCTACGTAATTTGTATTTTGTGTACTTACTGGAATTGAGGGCTCTGGCCAAAGCCGCCCCGTACTTGGAGAAGGAGGAATATTACACTGGTATGTTGATTTTTATTATTTAATTTTCAAGGTTGTCTAGTGGATGAAATATCTTGGAAAATACTGGTTTTACAGAAAAAAATATGGAACGAAAAATATGGGGTGTTAAATTACCTACAAATATGTTGGTACAAGTTTTCTCATAAAATTGACAGTTATCGAGGTTTTTTTTAAAACGTATTTTTTGGTAGATGAAAAAAAATTATAAATCGCTATAACTTTTTAATTTTTCGGGATAAAACCAAAATTCAAAAAACGGGATGTAGATAAATCATTTCTACTACATACATTTGAAAAAATTATTTAAATATACGCCCCCTTTATTAATTATTAATATTAATCAAAATCATTCAAAAATCATTTCCAAAATATTTTACTTATAGGCAACGAAAACGAGGACTGGGACACCCAAATGGCGATTAAGGACTTGCTGGGGGTTATCAGTCGATTTCCGGACCACTTCGACGAAAAAATAATGTTTAACGGCGACAAAAACTTGAAATACGAGTTCAGGGAGCATTTTCGCAACGTCAGTCGGATTATGGACTGCGTGGGTTGCCCGAAGTGCAAGGTTTGGGGTAAATTGCAAACGCAAGGCCTCGGAACGGCCTTGAAAATTTTGTTTAGCGGGAAGTTCGACAACTTGGAAAATACGAACAGTAAAAAGCGGTTTCAGTTGCAGAGAAATGAAATTGTCGCTTTGGTGAACGCAATAGGGAGGTTATCGACAAGCATATACAAATTGGATGATTTTAAAAACATGCTAAACAATAAGGGGGTTAATAAAAATAATAATATATTTAATTGACTGACGTTTTTATTTATTATTTATTGTGATTGTTATAGGATGTATTTTTAAAAAGAACAAATTATTTATAAAAATATTATTGTAAATATTAGGTAATGTAAATATTTTTATGGTGGAAGTTATATAAAAAATCTAGTCTATAGAGGCAGTAGTAGTTAATAAAATATATTTTTATATGTATAATAAATGTTACCAAAAAAATACGTTATTTTTTTTTTCTTGCAACAACAGATTTTAAACCATTTTTTATATTATATAGTCTTATAAACCGTGATTTTTATAGTTTCATAAATGTATTTTTGAGACACCCTGTATATTATTTGCAGCGTTTTAAATTTCTTTAGGATGTCAAATAATAAAAAAAACCTTTTTCGACCTTCAACTGCAATAACGCAAATAATTGTACAGAGGGTATATAAAACATGTTACTTAACGATTTTAAATGACTTAATCATCATTTTCCTGTACTTTCACGTTTTATTAATTAATTATTATTTTTGTATAATTACCACCTCTATGTTAGGTATATTAACAAAAAAATACTTTCGATATTTTTGTCATGTGAAAGTAATTAATTAATTCTGTATTAATTATAAATATCGATTTTTATCATAAATAGGCAAAATCAAAATATCTGTGGATTTCAAGGTCAATTAGGTACGTCAATTTGGTATTGAGAAAGCACGTTAGCGGTTTTAGTAATTTTTTTGGTGTATGATTAAATTAATTTAACATAATAAATTTATTATGTTAAATTACCGTAAATATTTAGCCAAACTGGTCTATAAACATGATATGTATTATTTTAAATAATTAAATATGTTAAAATGTGTTAAACATGGTAAAACCGGTTTTGTGGGTTTAATAATGAACTTACGGGAATATTTTGTAACAATTATTGCGGAAAATTGTCAATAAACTATTCTTTGGTGGACTCATAATTTTTACCCGGTAAAATATTAGTCATATTATCTTTTATTAAAAAACAAACAATAAGATAGGAGTGCATGGGTTAATAGCAGTAGTTTTTGTCATTTTATATTATGCGTCATTTGTTGACGGTATGTTAAATTAAATAAAAAAAATACTTCCTATACTATGCTAAACATATGTATATGTATGTGTGTAAGAATATCATCGACATTCTTATTTAATTACTTTTTTTTAATGGGATCTACAAAACTATTGTCTAAAGAAGGAAATAACGACATTTCATGGGAGAAAATAGATTTTTATTTGCTACCTATAGGAAATAAATACAAATAAAGCATTTCATCTACAACCTGTTCAGTGAAAGTGTCAATAAATACAGAAAACCTTTCACTATAGGAAATAATTAAGTAAGACAAAGATCGACGACAATAAACTAAAAATAAAAATGTTTGTTAAACAAGTTTGTTCACAATGTTTTATTGACATTTTAGTACAATTTACTCAATTTTCACGATTTTTCTCTTCTTTGCCCTTTAATAATGGTTGACCTATTTTATCTTATAAATGCCAATGTAAAAATTATAGATACTTTACAATCAATAGGTATGGGATTGGCTTGTGTAAAATTATTAATAACAATATTGTTCTGGCATTTTAGATCGTTTTAGGTAAGACATTTTTAGATTAAAATTTTTTTTTACTACGCCATCACACTTAAAATACACAATGACAAGTTGTGACTTAATAGTCAAAATAAAGCGACTGGAAAGTGAGGTTGGAAGAGTCTTACAGATGTCAGATTTGATTTAAGTATTAAATATATTTATTTAATATTTTAAGACAAAACAGAAAAAATTCAATGGAAACATACAAGTGGGGATATCGATAAAAACGTTTTGAATGACCTTTTAAACATACCTTAAGCACAAGAAAAACAAAAAAATTACCATGGCAACCTTCAAATTTGCCGCACTATTTCATTCGATCAATGTAAAAGGTGAAGGTCACTTTTATGTAGTTTTCCTTTATTTTCAATGAAATTAATTTTTTTAAACGATTTTCAATGCTTTAAACTTTATCTTGCAATAAATACAACACAAGGCTTTTGTAATTAATATCTCTGTAAACACAATTTTTCAACTGGAAAATTTATATTTTTGACATGGTTGAAACTCAAAACCGAGCTAATTTAAATGTAGGTAGGTATACTGAAAAAATAGTATTTCTATATAAATAATTATATGTAGTGGATTTGCTTTCTCAAGTAATTATACATATTACGCACTTTGTCATTCTATTTATATATTTAAATTACTATTACGAATTCAAATTAAACTTTCATAATAATCCATCATGTGCATTTAAATAAATTTCACTTTCAATTTACATATTTTACAACAATTTATTTCAAATTACGACTTTATGTAAAATAAAACAATATATCTATAAAGAACTAAATTCCCTACAATTTGACGTCTCGCACGTCAAATTCGCTTCACCAATAACCTCAAAAACCCCTAAAAACAAAAACATCTCAGCATGCCTTGAAAAAGTTACTTTCTGCAATAACTCGCTTGTTTTTTAATCAAAGTAGGCCTTCTTGGGTATCATTTAAAAGGTTTTTTAAATTCCTACACGATTCGACGCTTAAATATACAGGATGTTCGAAGAGAAAAGGAAAATAACAAACTGTTTATTATTTTTACCTTGAATAATTATTAGCGCTGATTTTAAAACAATTGAGGCGTGTAAAGGAATGCAGTGATATAGTTTTTGTTACTGTTATTTATTTATTTATGTGACGTGACATATAATTGTTTTCCTTAAGCATTTTATTTTAGAAGTATGTAATGGACCCACATAAGTTTTAATTAGTTCATAAGAAGAACTGCAAGAATGGTTTTAATTGTTTTCTTTAATTAAAATAAACATGAATACGGCGGGTAGATAAACTGTATATGTGTTAATGATATTGACATTACGAATATAGTTTTATGTGTGATGTTTAAAACAAGTTGGTAAATATTTGTATTAACTTTAAATGATTATAACAAAAAAAGTGGTGACGATAATATTATGAAATTTATAGGCAGTGTACTTTAATATGTTGTTTGTAGGTACACCAAATTTCAAAATTTTATATTATATGTTTTTGAAGATATGCGTAATAGAGTAAACACATTTTTTTATCATGTCAAAAATGAGCGCTAATTTTAGAGGTGGATTACTAAAAAGCTATTGTAGTTAAAATAATGAAATTTATACACGATATTCCTTAATATATTCAGAATATTTATACCAAATTTTACAGTTTTATCCTAATTATTTTTTAAAATATAGGCAATTTTGTTAAGATATTTTTTTATAATGTTGAGGTCGATAATTAAAAAACTACAATAGTTACATTATTGAAATTTTGGGATAATATTCCCAAACATATCCCTAATAATTCCCCCAAATTATAGCACTTACTTTTTAAAAGTGGTCTCGTACTGCTTAATTTCCTTCCTGGTAAACTCGTGGAACTCCGTGTACACATTGATCACCCTGTATTTAATTTTGACTTCTTCCCCGTTGTCCAAAGCTTCGTTGATCTCTTGCCTCCTTATCAAAACCGAGTTTAGCTCTTGATCGGCCGGCATCTTTGGGATATTCGCGGTTTAAATGAACACTGAAAATTTGACGAGAAAAAATGCTGGTAAATGACACACGTGAAGTAAACGTCAGATTTTGGAGTAAATAGTCGAATAACGCGTTGCAGCGGACCAATTGCGAATGAGTGTCGCTGACGGTTAAATGCGGCGTTTGAATTTACGTCTCTGGCGCATGCGCGCTCGGATTTCGAGCTTTGGGGGTTTAATTTCTATTTTCGCTATTTTATTTCGGTTTTAATGGGTTTTTCTGTAAACATTATTAGAAAATTAGTAGGAAAGTTTTAAAATTGATGTTTATTTACAAAAAACCTTAAAAATAAGTCCCTCTTTTGTATTTTTCTAATCAGAAAAACCTTATAAGGTTATAATTAGTTAATAAATAATTTATCATATTTTTAATCATCTTCTTATTAATACATACTAAATTAGTAAAATTGCACTTTTAAAGACATGTAAAATGACTCATTCCAGATTTTAATCTATTTTATTTGCAGGAAGTTATTCACCCCTTTTATATCGTACTTTTTTAATGTTTATTAGTCATAGTTACCTAAGGGAACACCTTTTTATTTAATATATTTGTTTGGCTTAAAATTGCTAAAAGAATATGCGATAACAGTTCCAAGAAAATGTTATACAGTTGTAATTCGGCTTTATAGGTAACTTCCAAGAAAGTTTAAGATCTGGTTTTAAGTTTTTAGACCCTTGCTCGTCTTTAAACAATTTTAAAATGTTTTTCTACTCCCACCTTTATCGTACATGTTTCAATGACACTAAGTCGTTTTAGTCACGGGCTGAAGTTAGCAACAGGTTTTTAGTCACGGGCTGAAGTTAGTTTTAAGTTAGTTGACAGTTGTCAAATGTCATACAATCGTTAAAATAAAGTGCCTTTCTTGTAAAATATTACTAAATGTGAAAATTATTTTATTATCTCAATACAAAAACACAAAAGTATTAAATAGTTTCTCAACGCCAATATTTGAAAAGTTTATATGAACATTGTACTGACCTTTTAATTTCGCCGGCAGTAAACTATAACTTAAATTCGGGCACGGACTCCACTGTAAAGTGCTCATAAAACATTTTCTTTACTTTCACTGTAAAAAACTGTCCATTTTCAAGGAATAAATTTCGATTTATAACATTTATAATCTGTGTTTATAAAATTTAAAAATTTGACATTTCACGGTGACACACAGATTCCCCTATTGTTTCAGAGATGGCGCTCTATACAAATATTTGATTTAAATCATTTTAAGATAATAATAAATATTTGTCGTAGAAAAAGTATAGTATGCACCTCGTTTATAAACTTTTCTATACACTTGCTCGCAAGCTCGCTCGTGCCTAAATTAATTCGTGTATAAAATGACGTTTATCAAACTTGATACATAATACACTATTACAGTACCTAAACCTATTTACAATAATGGGTACGTTTTATAAAATGAAATTAATAAATAGTTATTTTTGAATTAAAAAATCCCGCCATCTATCTGCCAACGACCGAACCACAAAACCAATTTTGTGTGATCTCTACTTTTGTGCCGCGCAACATAACCATATAAAAACATAACCTCACATTCCCATAAGTTAAAACGTATGAATCTGTCAAAACACACTGCAAAGGGAAATCGTCGATGATGGAATGCATTGTGCCTGATTGCAAGAATCCAGCGGAAATTACGCTAACGAAAGACCTTGAAACACGCGAGAAATGGATGAAAGAATATCAGGTCGAAAATTTGTCGTCCGACCAGGATTATTGGATCTGCAAAGGCCATTTTGTCGACGAAAGTGAAACAGGTTAGTGAGCAGTCGGTCAAATAGCTCTTATAAATAGCGGGAACTTTTCGAGATTTCGGTATTTTGAACATTTAAATGTTAGATACTCTAGTGTGTATAAATAGTTCTAATTTTTTGTTCTGAACGAGAATACAAAATAAGAATCCAAACCAATTTAATTATAGAGTTTATTTTGCGATACAAATAGTTGTGTATTGGGGAAATATCAATAAAAACAATAAAAATGCTTAAACCACATATTATATAATATGTATAATAGTGTTTTAGGAGAAATGGTAAATATTTTAGATGGTGTGGTATGGACAAGTACAAATTGCTATATAACATGTGAGCAATTTTTATTGGTTACAGATCTTTAAACTGTATCTCAAGATACATGAAAGATATAGGGACTTTTCACCATTTAATTACCTCTACTTGGTATCTATAAACTTGGTTGTAACTATGGTAAATTTCTTAATTCTACCATCTGTGACAGATACCTAACCTTAATTCTACTGAAAATGACAGGTACCCAACCTCAATTCTACTGTCAGTGACAGATACCTAACCTTATTTCTATGCCATGTAACAGAGATACATGTATCTCTGTAACGAATAAAATTGTAAACATATTATGATTTTTTTTTCAATTTAGTCCATAGTATACCACCACATCCTAAAATATTTACTATTCTACTATGTACTAAGTATGTAAACTTTTTCTCTTTGTATTACCATCCTTGGCAAAGTGTCAAAAAACGAAACAAATGACCTTGAAATCGAAAAAAAGTGAAAATCATGACCTTGAAACGAAAAATTCTCGATATTTTGCCAAAAATCCAAATTAAATATTCTTAAAATAATATCCAATATGTAAATATTTTTTCAATAAACAGTTCAAAATGTAATGGAACCTAATATAATTGAGCCCAATGAAGTTTCTACATGCAGGATTTGTAATGTAAACGAAACGGCTGGGGTACATATGTTTAACGATGAAATTGACGGAGAAAAAATCGTTAATGTGGCTAATAAATGTTTTTATCCTTTTGAGGTAGTTTTTTTATAAATTCTGTTATCAAAATTATTGTTGTGTGGAATTTTAGATCATTGAGGATGAGAAGTCGAATTACATCTGCTTAAATTGTTTTGGGAGTTTGGAGAGTTATAGCAGGTTTAAAGAAATGTTTTATAGTAAAAATTGTATCAAATTGGAAGATTTAAAAATTGAGAAAAATGATGTTGTTAATAGTAGGAAGAGGAGGAATGTGGGGGATATAGAAAAACAGTTGGAGGAGATGGAGAATGGTCTACAGGAGAGTGATACAGACGTGGATACAGACGCATCATACGATTCGGATATGGAGTACACTATAATAAGAACAAATGGAAACGTTGAGGAAGAGAAAATGGAAACAAAGACTGACATAGACATAAAATTCGAAATGGTCGAAGAGGAACTTCGCAGAGTTCTCGAAGGTCAACTTTCCGAGGAGCAAATTCAAGCGGAAAACATAATAATTGCGGTGGAAGCCGACGAGGATACAAACACCACTAAAACGTCCATAACCGAAATGAAACTGCCGATTGTCATAAAACCGTTGGGCAAATATAGGAGCGTCGTACAGGGGAACAAAAAAATTCAGCCCGTGTCGCGGAAAAAACAGAAAATATCGTGCCGGGAGGGTCAGGTGACTCTCCCGAAAGGTATCAGCGTGAAACTCCCGGAAAAGTACGAATCGGACACGGGAGTGTTCGAGGCGATACCGCGCATCTACATATTCCAGTCGGAGTTCTGCATGGTGGACGATTACCTTTACGAGTACCGTCTGTGCAAAGGCGCCTTTAGGTACATGCGGTGCCTGAACCAGTCGTGCCAATCGATGGCGGTGCAGAAGAAAATTACGAGCGCGAGTTTCGAGAATTACGTGAGCGTCGAGATCGCGCACAATCACGCGAAACCTAGCGAAAAGGAAATGAAAAAGTTGATGTTTTACAACGTCATGAAAAGGATGGTGCAGAATGACAAGACCATGAACTTCAAGAGCGTTTATGAGGAGGTTTGCCAGGAGTGAGTTTTTTAAATTTTTTTAATATTTAATATGTTCGACATTTGACATCTGACATCTTCCAGATATATCTAACCTCACTTTTTTTTCAATCTGACATCTGTCAAACGACATTTTCCAGATTTATAACAAATCTAACTTCATACGACGAACGCAAAGTAATCAGGATTTTATTTGCTAAACGTTTGACATCTGACAGCTGTCAGACGAATTTAACCTCACTCTTTGCCATAAAGTCGCAGCTTATTGTGGAAGTAGATAAGTAATAGTGTATTATGTATAGTAATGTAAAAAACATTTTTTCAAATTATAAAACAACTTTCATAATAATTAAAGAACTAGTTTCAGTCTATACTATACATATATAAAATACTACAGGTTATGTAATGTAATATATTAAAATACTGAATACTTTTTGACATACGGTGTAACGGAAAAATATTTAAAAAAATATTTTCCCAAAAAGTTCGCAGGTTAAACTCTAAACATTCAATTGGTGTAAATAAATTCAAAAGCACTTCCCTTAGTTAAGATATTTACAATTTGAGAACATAACCTAAAATTTTAAAGAAATGCACTAGATTCTGCCATAGCTGCCAGATTTTGTTTGAATTTACCTTCATTACGAAAATGACATAATCAACAATTAATAGAAACACAAATCAACAATTTTCATTGTTGATTTTGTCATTTTTGTAATTAAGCTAAATTTAAACAAAATCTGGCAACTTTTTTGACAGAATCTGGAAACGCTGGTTGTTGCCAACCGTAACATAATAAATTAAATTAGGCAACCAGATTAGCCTAAAGTTCCTAGTCGATCAGTGGCGTACTTTTTGGTTGGATAAAGGTTATTATAAATCATTTTTAGTCTTTAGAATTTAGAAAAAAGTTTCAGGTGGTTTTTTTATGGACAGTAGCTATCCATTTTAATTTATTATAATAAATAATCAAAGGATAACCTAATTATATTTTGAAGTATAGTTTATCAAACTTGATACATAATATACTATTTTTCACACAATTTATTAAAAAGTATTTTAATTATTGGTTATTCTAATTCATTCTGTAACACTATGGAACGGTCATATTCCGCAATAATCGTAGAAAAAAACATAACCTCATTTCTTAGCGACCCTGAAATAAGGACGTTGGTGCCGCTGCGCAACGTGATCAACGAAATCTGCCGGCACCAGCTGAGCCAGAAGCCGCCGAAGATATTCACGTTCGACCAGTTCTACGACACTATAGAACACGACGTGTTCAAGAAGCTGCACTTCACGCACAGCGGCAAGCAGTTCTACCAGGAGAAGTTCGAGAGCGAGGACGGCGACAAGGCCGTCGTCTTCGCCAACTGCGACATCGTCGACGAGGTTTGCGGCTCGAAGCTGATGTACGTGGACGCCAGCTTCAGGATCGACAGCGTCGACAGCTTCGACTACCAGCTGGTCACCACGCTGGTGTGGGTGGAAAGCAGCGTAAGTAGTTTTTTTGTGCAGGTACCCAGCAAAGAGGGTTCTATAATGGTAAGGTGACCAACTGTTCTGATTTAATCAGAACTAGGTATTTATTCTGACAGGAAATCGAAGGTAGTAAAGGTTCTGATTTTCCTATTTTGGTTCTGGTCTGTTCTGATTTAGCTTACCATATAAAATAAACTTCCAATTTTTATAAATCCATATTAATTTATTAGGTATACCTAATATCTAAAAATAACTAGGCTAAAAACACAAATTTCATAATAGTTAATTTATAAATACAGGGTGACTTTTGACCCAACCCTTTTCGATTTTAGTGAACTTTTTAAATTTTTTTCTACCCCACTAAAAAAGTTTTTCAGAATTTTTCCAATATTTTTACCCAACCAAAAAAAAGTTACGAATTTTCAAAAAAATTGCCAATTTTCTTTTAAAATGCACATAACATAAAATTTGACTAAATGGGGCGTTTTTTTTGGTTTTGAATGAAGTTTTCAAAAAAGTTTGGGAAAAAAGACATTTTTTTGAAAAATTTTTAACATTTTTGGTCGGGTGAAAAAAACTAAAAAATTCTAAAAAAAAAAAATTAGTGGGGTGAAAAAATATAACATAATTTTAGCCAAATCGAAAGGGTCGGGTTCAAAAGTGGCCGATAGGGCGTGGAACGACCCATATATAAAATAACTATTATGAAATTTGTGTTTTTTTAACTCAATTGAGAGTAAATAATAATAACCTAACACAGGTAGTTGCACAAAAAATAGACAAAAATAGGGCAACACCTTTTTTCTAAAAAAAATTTCGTACAGGCCACCGCTGTTCTGGTTTTCCCCTTTACACAGTTGGTCACGTTAATAATGGCCCTTTATGAGCGGCAGTCATTACAGGCACTTACAAGAGTTCTGATATGGAAATTTTTCTCTGAAAAAGTTTTAATAAGTAAAAATAAGAGTTTTGATTAAAAACTCTGAATTAGACTTAAAAAAGTAAGAATAATTATACTAGGTACCCAATAAACAATTTGTACAACTTATGGTATCCATAAATTTGAGTTGTCAAATTAAATAAGAGATTTATAAAATCGCCATTTAGTTTACAAGTCATATAAGGTTACTGGAGTTTTATAAAGTTTGCTGTTACCTGTTTTATAAAACTATTTTGTCTTTAATTTTTTTAAATAAAAATTATGAGTTATTTTGTTTGTAATAAAAGTTCTAAAATTGTTAAAATAAAAAATTCCAAGCAGCATTTTAAGTAAAAAAAAGCGAAGAGCTTTGAGGCAATATTACTTAATTTAAGTAAATATTTTGTTAAATTAACCTTAAAAATTTACTTTGAAGTAAAACTTTTTTTAAAATTATTTAATAAGTTTTATTTATGTTATTTTTACTTTTTTTAATAACCCTTAAGTTTCAACACTTTTAAAGTATTATGAGGGAAGTAATTTTTACGAAAGAAAATTACTTATAAGTTTATTTCACCTAAAGGAAAATTTAACGGTAATTTTAACGTCAGAATTTTAACTTAATGGTAAATGTTACTCATAAGTCATAATTTTACGATATTAAGACCACTATAACCGTAAATAATTCCTATTCGCCTGGTATTATATACTGTTATTAGTGGTAATAAATACTATTAATATTGACCAAATTTGATACCGTTATAAAACCGTTTTGGTTAACCGTAAAAAATCCTTTAAAGTTGACTTGGTAGTAAATTTGTAGTTATTTAAACTTAAAATGCTGTTATGCTGTGATGATTTCAGTACTACCCGATAATGTACGCGCTGGTCAGCAAAAACACTCAGGAAATCTACAAGAAGGTCATGGAGTACCTCCACGACTTTCTGGCTCCGGACTTGCGTCCTGACGAAATCGTAACCGATTACGAATCGAACTTGTACTACGCGCTGGGAGAGACCTACTTGGACTCGCACATAGGGGGTTCGGTTTTCTACTACACCCAAAACTTGTACAAGAAGATATGCAACCTGAATCTCGCCCGAGATTTAGAGAGCAACAGTTACTTCAGGAACATTTATCACATGCTTTTGATGCTGCCTTTGCTGCCTGTAAACACTATAGTGGACGGTTTAAACAACATCGAGATCCAGGCGAGAGATTTGGGGTTGAGTGAGGTGACGACGTCGCTGTTCGAGTACGTGCGGTCGCAGTGGATCGCCAAGGTGACCCCTGATTTGTTCTGCGTGCACAGGTTGGAGAACCGCATCAACGAGAACGTGATCGCGCCGTTTAAGAAGCTGCGCGACTTTCTGATGCTCACCAAAGGCAAAGCGGCCAAGGACAGCAACACTATAGTGGGCGTGGTGGAGAAGCTGATAGAGCTGGAGTCGTTTCTGCAGCAGACGTACGCCGCGCCGAACAAGAGGGCGTTCGCGAGGGATTTGTCCAGCTCGCAGAAGAAGAACGTGCTGAAAGCGTGGCAGTTCATAGAGTCGCACCCGAAGATCAACATCAACCACTTCTTTACCAAGGTGCTGGGGTACATAAAGTGCATGGAGAACCAGCTGTGGATCTGGGGGTTCTACCGGTACAAGGGCGAGGTCGTCGACGACCTCATAAACGCGGCTAACTTCTTGATAGTCAGCAACGACGTGGAGGAGTCGCAGAAGAGTGTGCTCGAGGGGGACGAGGGGGAGTACGTCGAGGGGGGGGAGTCTGTGGTCATGGAGGCTGTCATCGATGAAAACGGGGGGTTCGTTCTCCAAGGGGAGGGGGCCGAGCAGGGACCCTTCGAGAACGCGTTTTTAAAGTATGTTTACGAGAAGTGATCTTTGTTATTTTTTTTAACCTAATAAAATAAATTCTTAAAAATGTTTATTTACTTTCCTATATACCCACGTCAAAATTGTATATGACCCAGAAAAAAAATACGAAAAAACTCCCAGAAAGAATCGTAGCTTTAAAATATACCGCGCGCGCGGAATTGTGCTGTAGCGTTTGACCTTGAAATAAAATAATAAAGCTACCGAAAACGTTATAAAAACTTTATTTTATAAAAAAAACTGAACAAATAAATAAACGATCAAAATTTAAATATAAAAAGCTAACTGTAGGTACTAAAAATGTCAAAAAAGCATTAAAACCATTTATTGACGCATAAATCAAACAATTTTTCAACAAAATCAGTTTAAAACTGTCAAAACCATTTAGAATGTCAAAAACAAAACAAAAGCAATTTAAAATATTTAATCATGTCTAAAAATTCTTAAAATTTGACAAAAACCTAAAGAAAACTGTCAAAAACATCATTGGAATGTCAAAAAACAACTGTCAAAAATTTCAAAATGTGTAACATACAAACTGTCAAAACGCATTTTTGCAGTCTAAAGCAATTGGAATGAAATAAAATGTCCAAAAATACTTAAAATTTTACAAAATCTTTGCATTAAAACTGACAAAACATCAATGAAATGTAAAAAAAACAACTTGTGTTAAAAAATATAAAAACATTTTTTTAATGAAATTAATTTAAAACTTCCATAAAATCTGTCAAAAACATCAAATTTTGGACCAATTAAAATTAAAAACTGCCAAAAAACAATTTCAAATGACAAAAAGATATTTATTTGTTTATTTATTAACGCATAAGTAATTAGAACCTCAAAAACAATATTAATGTTTTAAAATGTCCAAAAACTTTTAAAATCTGACAACATGAATGAAATGTCTAAAAACAATTTGTCAAAACCATTTTACTTTAACTTTAAAACTGTCAAAAACAATGTAAACATTTTTTAAGAAATAAATTGACTCGCAGACTAAAATTAGTTTAAAAACAATTTAAATTTTATAAAACATCAAAAACAATTTAAATTTTATAAAACGTTTAACTGTCAAAAAACAACTTAAAAATATGAAAAAATAAAATGAATTTTTCATTTTGACATTTTGTAAAAACATTGAGAATTTTTGACAAACATGTTTGCATATAAACTGTCTAAAACGTCAATTTTTTTCAATTAAAAGCATTATTATTAACGCATAAATCGAAATCTACTGTCCAACTAATTTAAACATGTTTTAACTTAAATTAACCTGCAAAAGCAAAAATATTTAATTATGTCCAAGAATTCTTAAAATCTGCCGAGAACCATATAAAGAAAACTTTCAAAAACAACTTAAATTAAAAAAAAAATCGGTTTAAAAAAATTAAAACTGTGCATAAAAACTGTCAAAAAACAATTTAAAATGTCAAAAATTCATTTATTTATTAACGTTTCCTGATACTTACATCAAAATTTTATAAAACCCAAGAAAAAAACTACGGAAAAATCTCCCAGAAAGAATCGTAGCTTTAAAACAAACGCGCGCGCGGAATTGTGCTGCAGCGTTTGACCTTGAAATAAAATAATAAAACTGCTGAAAACGTTCTAAAAACTTTATTTTATAAAAAATCTGTGAACAAATAAATAAACTATCAAAATTTAAATATAATTGGCACTATTTGGTCCAAAATATTATTTCAGTGCACCTATTGATAAAAACTTAACCTACCCTAACCTGAGCTTGTAAAAAAATATAAACAATTTTTTATCACTTTTAATATAAACATTATTTAATAAAAAAAATGGTAAACATTTAGGTAACAAGATCTTAAAATTTTTGACTTTAGTTAAGTTAAAAAAAAACAAAACAAAAAAACGCCTAGCAAGGCTCCTTTTTGATTATTTCGGTTTGTTCTATGGAATCCAACGTATCGTTGGAACTAGAGTGAGTCAAGTCCTCCAATTCGTCCAAATGTTTTTGCCTTTTCCTCACGTTCCAATGCAAACACTCAGCGAGGGAATCGAACCAATCGGAAATTTGATCTTGGGCGCAAATACTCGGAACCGGGTATATCGAAGTTGTCACCCTTAAGCTACAAAAACGCATTCACATGAAAATGTATTTTGATCGATTTTTATGCCAACCACCACCCGAAAAGCTTTCGAAAGTGCCATAACCTCAATGACAGATGAAATGTCAAATTTAGCAAATTACGAACCTGTCGCCAGGTTTCAACTCTTGATGGTGCCTCCCATCGAAACAAACGAACGCCGAACAACGCGCGTCCTTACTCGGGGCAATCTGAAATTAAAGAAAACCGTCGAAATACAAAAAAAACATATTTTTAAGCTTTTTGGTGATTTTTGCGTTTTCAAGTTGGCGGTGGTGGTTGGCAACTGTCTCTATAGCATTGTCGCCAACTTTACCTGTCTCCATGCAAAAGTTCCTGTCTGTTACGGCCGTCAAACGAGACCCATGAAGTGTTCCTGCTATCCGGCGAAACTGATATCTAAATACAAGTTTTTTAGGTTATAATTTATCTTGCAGAACATTAACCTGTCAAAAACCATGTGTCAAATATTTGAAAACAAAAATATATATTGTTTTTACAAGCTGTCAAAAAGAATTGAAAATGTCAAAAAAGCATTAAAACTATTTATCAACCGATATCAAAAAGCAATTTTAATACCTATTTAAAATGTCCAAGAATACCTACATAAATATGGAATGTGGAATTTTTTTTATCAAAACAATTAATTTTTTAACTTAAACACTGTCAAAAACAATTAAAATCGTTTAAAAATCCAAATTGTCAAAACATCAATGAAATGTCAAAAAACAACTTGTGTTTAAAAATATAAAAAAACAATATTTTTAAGTAACATCAATTTAAAAATTGTCTAAAAACTGTCATTATGACATTTTGTCAAACATTTGAGAATTTTCGACAATATTTTTGCATAAAAACTGTCAAATACGTCAACATTTTTACCAATCAAAATTAAGAACTCAAAAAACAATTTAAAATGTCAAAATCATTTTTGACTCGTAAATCGAATTGCAAAGTCTAAAATTAGTTTAGAACCTCAAAAACAACAAAGATTTAAAATTTGACAACACTATAAAAAACTGTCAAACTAAATTTATTTATTTATTAATGCATAAGTCTAAAATTAGTTTAAAACGTCAAAAGCAATCAAAATGTTAGGAAAATGTTATAAAACCGCCTAAACACCGCTAGAAACGTCAAAAAACCGCCTAAAACTCTTCAAACAACGTTGCCAGATCGCTTACCTTCAACTTCAACAAAAACAACGTAAATGTTTTAAAATGTCCAAAAACATCTTAAATCTGACAACACTGTGTGTAAAAACTGTCAAACATTAATCGAGTGTCAAAAGCATTTAACTTTAAATTTAAAATTGTCAAAAACAATGTAAACATTTTTTAAGAAATTATTTGACATGAAAAGACAAAAACAAAAAGACAAAAAAAATTTAAATGTTATAAAACGTTTAAAAATCATCAATCATCAACAAAAATCATAAAGCTGTCAAAAATCAATGTAACTTTAAAAAACAACTTAAAAATATGAAAAAATCAAATCATTTCGACATTTTGTCAAAATATTTGAGAATTTTTGACAACAATTTTTGCATAAAAACTGTCTAAAACGTCAATTTTTGACCAATTAAAATTAAAATGTCAAAAAGCATTAATAAAATTTATTAACGTACCTATACCTACTAAAATCGAAGTCTAAAACCGTCAAACATCAAAGAATGTTTTAAAAAAACAGTTTAAAACCGTCAAAACCATTTATAATGTCAAAAACACATGGTTAAACTTTAAAAAAATTTTAATTTAATCATGTCTAAGAATTTTTAAAATCTGGCAAAAATCATCTAAAGAGAACTGTCAAAAACATCATTGGAATGTCAAAATACAACTTGAAATAATCGTTTAAAAACGTGTCTAAACACTGTCAAATTTTCAAACATTTAAACTTAAAAACTGTCAAAAACCCATAAAATTGAAAAGTTATAAAATGTCCAAAAATATTTAAAATAAAAAAACATTGCATCCAAATTGTCAAAACATCAATGGAATGTCAAAAAAGCACTTGGGTTAAAATTTAAAAAAATCGGTTAAAAACGTGTCTAAAAATTGTCAAAATGTCAAACATTTCAACTTAAAAACTGTCAAAAACGCTTAAAATAGAAAAGATATAAAACGTCCAAAAATATTTAAAATAAAAAAAACTTTCATAAAGACTGTCAAAACATCAATGAAATGTCAAAGAAGTTGTGTTAAAAATATACAAAAAAAATTTTAAAGAAATTATTTTAAAACTTTTATAAAAACTGTCAAAAACATCAAATTGTTGACCAAAACAAGAATTTTTGACATTTTTGCATAAAAACTTCAACTTCAAAAACGTCAAAATTTTTACCAATCAAAATTAAGAACTCAAAAAACAATTTAAAATGTCAAAATCGAATTACAAAGTCTAAAATTTGTTTAGAACGTCAAAAACAATTGAAATGTTATAAAATGTCCAAAAATAATTAAAATTAAAAAAAAATGCATAAAGACTGTCAAAACATCAATGAAATGTCAAAAAACTACAGGTGTTAAAAAATATAAAAATTGACCAATTAAAATTAAAAACTGTCAAAAAACAATTTAAATTATCAAAAACTTATTTAATTTTTAACGTAAAAGTCTAAAATTAGTTTAGAACCTCAAACACAACATAAATACACTGTATATTAAACTGTCAAACAAAATGTATTTATTATTAACGCATAAAGCTTAATTTTCATGTATCCGTTTGTCCGTCAGTCCGTTCATCCGGGAGCGCTCTTATTGGTCCAATTATAATTCGAAAATTATGACATTTTATCGGTCCGTCAAGTTTCAACTTCGTACGTCTGACAGAGAAAGGTTAAATAATTTTAACTCATCCGTCACTACACATCTGTTTTTGACGCCTAACGTTGTTTTAAGATAATTTATTTTCAAATATTTTTATATTTATTCAATAAGATTGTAAAACGGAAATATTACGTTCGTTCTGTGAATAATGATTTACTGTTAAGTTTTTATTTAATAATAATAACAGAAAAAAAGAAAGGACAAACAAAAAAAAATTTAAACTAGAACTAAAAGGACCTGCTTTTTTAAAACTATACATTTTAATGTATATTAGGTCTAGTATATTCTTTTTCTAAGGTATATTTACCTACCTTTAAATTTATTAGACAGCTAACTGTGAAAGTTACAATTGTTGACATAATTGTAACTATGACAATTAAGCATTAGGTAAATTTAGTAAGTGAATATACTGACACTTAATTTCTATTTGTCGCAAAATCAATCCGTTAAACGTCATTAAAAAACGTATGCATGAAAATTAGAACATTTCTTATCGGACGATTTTATTGAAAAACTGACATACGGATGACGGACAAACGGATACATGAAAATTAAGCTTAAGTCTAAAATTAGTTTAAAACGTCAAAAGTACTCAAAACGTTGGGAAAATGTGTTAAAAACGTTATAAAACCGTCTAATAAACATCGCTAGAAACGTCAAAAAACCGCCTGAAACTCTTACCTTCAACTCGACGCCGGCGGGCACCACAATCGGCCGGAAGCTGAGCGAGTGGGGGCAGATGGGCGTGACCATGATCGCCGGCACGCTGGGATGTATCATCGAGGCGCCGGCCGCGACCGCGTACGCCGTGCTTCCGGTCGGCGTGCTCACTATGAGGCCGTCGCCCTGCACCGAGGTGACGTGCTTGCCGTCGAGGAAGAGGTCGATGTTGCTGAGGTAGGGCGAGGGGCCCCTGTCCACCACCACCTCGTTGAGCACGAGCAGGTTGGTGGGCGGTCGGGCGGTCTTTTTGTCGTCGCCGTGCTGCTTCTCGCCCTTCTTGATTACGATGCAGCGCAGGCGGCTGCGCAGGGTCAAGGCCGCGTGACCTTTACGAAAAAAATAATGTCAAACGTAAACCTGATCGGCTGAGAAAGCAATTAATTTTAATATTTAAAACGTCCAAAAATACATTAATCTGTCAAAAACACCTTGCGTAAAAAACAGTTAAAACGAACTGTCAACAATCAAAATTTTTTAACTTAAACACTTTCAAAAACAATTTAAATTGTGAAAAACGCATCTAAAATTAGTTAAGAACGTCAAAAACCACTAAAATGTTGCGTAAAAATGTCAAACATTTCAACTTAAAAACTGTCAAAGAGGCGTTAAAATCATTTTTGACGCATAAATCGAATTGCAAAGTCTAATCATTACTCAATGGTCTAATATTAGTTTAGAACGTCAAAAACAATTAATATGTAATAAAACTGTCAAAAAACAATTTAAAATGTCAAAAACCTATTTATATATTAATTTATTAACGCGTAAGTCTAAAATTATGTTAGAACCCCAAAAACAACATAAATGTTTTAAAATGTCAAAAAACATTTAAAATCTGACAACACTGTATGTAAAACTGTCAAACATCAATAGAGTGTCAAAAACAATGTTTAACACTTGTCAAAATTTAATGTAAACATTTTTTTAAGAACTAATTTCAAACTTTTAATAAAAACTGTCAAAAACATCAAATTATTGACCAATTAAAATTAAAAACTGTCAAAAAACAATTAAAAATGTCAAAAACATATTTATATATTAATTTATTAACGTTGTAAAAATATTAGGAATTTAAAAAAACTTTTTATAAAAACTGTCAAAAATCAATCAAATTTTAAAAAACATTTAAAAAACCAATTTAAAACTGTCATTTTGGCATTTTGTCAAAACATTTGAAAATATTTGAAAGAAAACTGACAAAAACGTTAAATTTTGTACCAATTAAAATTAAGAAATCACAAGACATTTTAAAATGTCAAAAAGGCATTAAAATCATTGTTGACGAATAAACCCAAATTGCATAAAAAAAATTTAATGTTAAAAAACTATTCAGAAAAACTGTCAAAAATCAAAAAACAACTTAAAAATTTGAAAAAATTAAATCAAAATAAAACTGTCATATTTACATTTTTTCAAAACATCTGAAAATTTTTGAAAAGAATTTTTGCATAAAAACTGTCAAAAAGGTCAATTTTTGACCATTTAAAATCCAAATCTAAAACTGTCAAAAATCATACAATTTTGTAAAAAAAATTATTTTAAAACTGTCAAAACCATTTAGAATGTCAAAAACACTAAACTAACTAAACTTTTTTAACTTAAAAATTAACCTGCAAAAATAATTTAAAATTTTTGTCTAAAAATTCTTAAAATCTGCCAAAAACCATCCAAAGAAAACTGTCAAAAATATCATTGGAATGTCAAAAAAAAACTTCAATTAAAATATAAAAAAATCGGTTTAAAACGTGTCTAAAGATTGTCAAAATGTAAAATAATTCAAAATTTATAACTTTATAACTGTTAAAAACAATTTAATGTTATAAAACGGTTAAAAATACTTTAACTTTGACAAAAACATTGCATAAAAACTGTCAAACATTAATGTTTAAACTTGTGTTTAAAAATATAAAAAAGTAATATTTTTAATTAATATAAACTTAAAACTTGCCCAAAAACTGTTATTTTGACATTTTGTCAAAACGTTTGAAAATTGTTGACATTTTCGTCAAATAAAATTAAAATGTCAAAAAAGCATTAAAATTATTAATAAACGCATAAATCGAAAATAAAAATCATACAATTTTTTAACAAAATCATTTATAATGTCAAAAACACAATAATTAAAGATTTTTAAATCTCTTAAAACGTAAAAACTGCCATTTTAACATTTTGTCAAAACATTTAAAAAATTTGACTAAATTTTTTAGAAAAAAACATCAAATTTTTTACCAATTAAAATCAATAACTCAAAAAAACAATTTAAAATGTCAACTTAAAAATTTGACATTTTGTTAAAACTTTTGAGAATTTTTCACAACAATTTTTGCATATAAACTGTCTAAACGTCAATTTTTGACCAAATAAAATTAAAATGTCAAAAAAGCATTATAACCATTTATAAACGCATACATACATATATCGAAGTCTTAAACTGTCAAAAATCGTATAATTTTTTAACAAAATCAGTTTAAAACTGCCTAAACCATTAAGAATGTCAAAAACATGTTTTAACACATGTCTGAGAATTCTTAAAATCTGCCAAAAACCATCTTCAGAAATCTGTCAAAAACATCATTGGAATACAACTTAAAAAACTTTAAAAAAATCGGTTTATTTTAGAACGCCAAAAACAATTGGAATTGGAAAAAACTTTGCATAAAGACTGTCAAAACATCAATGAAATGTCAAAAAACAACTTGTGTTAAAAAATATTAAAACATTTTTTTTATGAAATTAATTTAAAACTCTCCATAAAAACTGTCAAAAACCTTAAATTGTTGACCAATTATAATTAAAAATTGTCGAAATAACAATATAAAATGTCAAAAACTTATTTATTTAATTATTTATTAACGCATAAGTCTAAAATTAGTTTTAAACAACATTAATGTTTTAAAATTGCCAAAAACATTTAAAATCTGACAACACTGTATGCAAAACTGTCAAACATTAAAGGACTGTCAAAAACAATATTTTAAACAACATTAAACATTTAACATCTGACAACACACTGAAAAAAAATATCTTACTTTTATTTTTTTTTTGTAGTAGTAAAGTGACTTTGACTAACTACAACAGGGACAATGTTATTAGGATTAATATTAAATGAGAGATACATACCACTACGAAATGGTATACTCTGTAAATTAAATTTACCACTACTATAAGTAGCACGGATTATAACAAAATAGTTAAAAATTATACAATTCTGCGTCATGGATAATTTTACCATTACAACTGGTTCGTAATAAATAGCTTACCACTACAAATAGTAATTTTTTGACGTTTACCACTACAGTGGTTAATACTAATAATGTTATAATTAATGAAATTTTGTACGAATCAAGAAGCAACGGAAAATTTGGCCATTTAGTGGTTGTCTGTTTACGGCTTTGCATAGTGCGTAGTTTTGTGATATCATACTATACTGTTTTTATCGTGTTGTGAGTAGGTGTGGAACAGTTATAAAAGGACGTGGAACTACTCCCCATTTTAACCGGTACGGATCGTAAAACGCATTTTACCTATAGGTATTATAATATTGATTTTTGGGGGTTAACTATAACTCGTTTTCTCTCGATGTTTTAAAATAATACCTACCTAATGCCTATGTTACCGGGAGGGTTTTTACTTCTCACATTCACTAGGAAGTGTGCGCAACACTAATTTAGAAGAAAAAAAAACTACAAACAAAAATTAAATTAACAAACACATGTTATTTATATATTGGTTGGGTTGGGTTTTTACTGCATAATTCAATTTCTCTAAAAATATTCGTACGATAATTTAAGGATATTTGTACGATAATTTAAGGATCCGCCATGTTTTTTATTATATTTAGTTATTGCATAATTTTTGTAGGTCCTATTTAACTTATATTTTTGTGGAAATTCATATAAATAATTTTATTTTAATAAAGAATGTTTTTAATATAATTGTCATTTATTTACTACCTTACCGTGCTTTTGAGAAAACCAAATTATAGGGGTAAGTGCAATCAATAATACAAATTAAACAATGATTTTGGCTAAGGTTCGCCTTACTGTTATATCCTGTTTTAAAAACTATTTTAAGTAGCTAAAATAATATACTAAGCGTACCATATACCAATATGTATTCGTAAGTTTCAACAGTGTGTAGTGGTAAAAGGTTTTAATAAAACGGTTATTGTATAACAACATGTAGTGGTAAAATTTAATTAAAGCAGTAGTGGTAACGATCACTTTGCTGTAATGTCAATTCGTAACAATAACTCATTACCATTCTGTAATGGTAGCAACTAAGGTTCTATTGGTTGGCGCCTATTTTACCATTACCATGGGTACCGCTGACCGCTTTTTTCTTTCAGTGCACTATATGCAAAACCGTCAAACATCAAAGGACCGTCAAAAACGATATTTTAAAACGTCAAACTCACCTTCCAAAACGTTGTTGACTTGCTCCTCGAAGTTGTCGAAGCGAAAGGGGGTCAAGAACCCCAGGGACCCCAAATGGAAGGCCATGACGGGGGGAACCGACTGCTGAAACAGCTGACTGGCGTACAGCAGGGTCCCGTCGCCTCCCAAGCACACGATGAAGTCTATTTTGTCGGTCAAGTCGTCCTTGCCGTCCTTGAAGGTCATCAGCTTATCCTTGATCTCCATGAAGGTCTTGTGCTGGTCCAAGTGGGCGTCTTCCATGACCGCCGCTTCGACGAAAACCACCATGCGTTTGGACTGAAAAAAAAACAGAATCAAATGTCAAATTCAACACGTTTTTATTGTCAATGCAAAATTAAATACCTGTATTAACCATTGGACCAATTGTACAAAAGGAGATAGAACGGAAGCATCTCTGACTTTTTTTATAACTAGAACTGTCAAAGGTGGTTTGTACCATGTTAATCGCTGACTGGCCGGGTCTTGAATGGTCCTAAAAAAATTCAACAAAACATTTATTAACAAAAATAGTTTGATAAAACGTCAAATGGATTTAAACATCCCAAGTGAATGTCAAACAAATTATACGTCAAAATTACGTTTTACATGTTAAAACATGTCAAAAAGAAAATGAAACTGTCAAAAGAATACGTTAAGTGTCAAACATAGCTGTCCGATGTAAAATAACAATTTAAAATGTTTTGTAAGAACTAAAAAATGTCGAAACTTTTGTTAATGTAAAATAATATTTTAAAATAAAAATAAAAAATTCTTGATAACTGTCAAAACAATATTTAAACCTCTAAAAAAACATTTTTAAAAATCTTGATAACCTGTCAAAAATTAAATTAAAACAAAACAATCTTCATAACTGTCAAATGTAAAATAACAATTTAAAATGTGTAATATTACTTCAATTAAAACCTCAAATAAAATAAAAATTCTTAATAACTTAAAAAATTATTTAAATTTCTAAAAAAACATTTTAATAAAATAAGATGTTTATGTCAAATGTTAAAAACAATTTAAAATGTCAAAAAGGAAATTTAAATGTCAAAAATAACTTTTAAGGTCAAACAAGAATAAAACAGAACAAATAAAGAAAATCTTCATAACTGTCAAATATTTATATATGTTTGTAAAACAATTTAAAATGTTTAAGTAGGTACTTAAAAATGACAACTTTTTTTATTTATGTCAATGTAAAATAAAATTTACATCAAAAAGTCAAATAAAATGAAAAATAAAAGCTATAAAAACAAAACAATATTTAAACCTCTAAAAAACATTTTTGATAAAATGTCAAATAGAATAGAACATAAGACTACCTAAAACCCCTCAAAAAATGTCAAAAAGCAACTTAAATGTCAATAGTTAAAACAAAACAAATAAATAAAATCTTCATAACTGTCAAATGTAAAATAACAATTTAACGTTTTTTTATTTTGGTTACTACTTTTATCAAAACGTCAAATAAAATAAAAAATTCTTAATAAATGTCTAAAAATTATTTAAATTTCTAAAAAAACATGTTTAAGGTATATATCTTCATAAAATGTCATATAGAATGGAAAATCCTGGATGACTGTCAAACAAATATTTTAAACGTCAAAATTACTTAAAATCTGTCAAAAAGCAAATTTAACTGTCAAACACGACAAAAACAATAGTATATTAAAGAACTAATGTGCGATAAAAGGTCTTACGACATGAGTTGTTTATGCTATTTTATCTATTTTGCAAAAATTCTATAAAAAAAATAATTTTATACCTTATATTTAATTTGGTTGAATTTTACTTTAGACAGTTGGTATCACAGTCAATGGTTTGACAGTTAATGTCAAAATCGATTCTCCATGCCGTCCTTAATTTATTTATTTACAATAAGCGGCTGCTAATTTTAAAGAAGAAAAAAAGGATTTTCTTTGGTGTTAAACAAAATTTATTGACAGAAAAGTCTCGTAAGCACAAGAAAAATCATAAAAATATTATAACCAATATGCAAAATATAAAAGTTTAGCCAACCTATAAAATCAAAATTTTGGGTGGGATAAATTATCTCATTACAGCACCGTAAGCGGTGTTATAATGAAGTCATTATGAACGCAAAATAGATAAAATAAATTAATTATGAATATCAAATTTACCTAAAAAGGGTATAAGTTCTTGTCAAAAAATGTATCAAAAATCAAAATTTAAAAAAAAAATTAACTTATCAAATATTAAAAATAAAAAATATTTAATATTTAAAATTTGATGGCTTGATTATTATTATATTTAAACAAAAAACATCGTTGATAATATTTTAATAAATTGACTTTATAATTGTGTTTCTTTAAGAATAATTATTGTCGAAAAAAATCTATTGTATTTAAATTTAAGTAATGAGTGCGCATTTTTAGTAGCGAACAATTTGAATTGTTTACTGTTTTTATTTTAATTCAATTTGCATTTTTATTTTTTTCTATGTAAACGATTACTTATTAATTATAAGTAGTTGTGCTATGATAGACATTATTTTTAATTGCTGTTCGGGTTTTGTAATAAAATAATTATTGTTAACAAACCTATATTGAATTTTCTTCCCTACCAACACAATATTCCTATTTTTGTCATTATTACTATTATTATTATTTATTTCATTTTTGTCGACTATTTTATTACTATCACATTCTTCCATGTATTGACACAGCAAATTACCACTGGCAACCATTATTTTAACTACAAATAAACAACCAAAAAAACACCACACAAATATCACAGAAAAAAACACAAATAAATAAATATTAACAAACTAAACCAAACATCTTTCCCATGTTGTTATGTACATTGGCTACCAATTTATAAATTAAAATACGTATACTACGTATCCCCCACTATCTTGTCCGATAAAAACTCAGGGTCGTACTCAGTTGAGGGCCTTCAAATCCGCTGCATTTTGACCGATATTCGTATTATTAATAAAAATACCAATATTGTGGAAATGAATGTTATACAAAGCGATAGAAATGTTGTCAAATGTTTAGTGTTTAGTTTAGTTTATTTACACGTGCGATTTTTTTTGTAATTTTATTTATGTGTATAGTATTATCAATTTAATGTTTGCTTACTACTTTATATTATATAACTTTTTATTAAAACGTGTTTTTCACGTTTCGACTTTAACATTAACCATTATGTTTGATAATGAAGCCACAAAAAAACATGTATTAAAATAATCGATAAAAAAAGTGTACAAAATATTTTGAAAAACACAGGAAACGGGTAAAATGATTTTCTGTATTTTGAACGCACCAAAATAACTTACACTTTTATAATATATTTTAATAAACAAAATTGGATATATTAAATATATAAAAAACAAAATTAAACAATTTTTGATAAAAAAATTTCTCAATACTTACATAACCATGGCGGAATTTTTCATTATTCTTCCACATGGTCCAAATTGTTGCACTGGGCTTGGTGCGTTAAGAGATCTTGTTCTCCTGAAAAAAAAACAAAAAATAAATATTTTATCTGCTTCTACATTTAATACGCTAGTTTATTAAGTTGGGAAAAGGTGAGGTTAAACACGTCAGATTGGCAAAAAGTGAGGTTAAAATAGCTTGTAGTACTCTTGTATTTAATGACGTTTATAAAACTAGTTGCAAAATTGAAAATACATAATAAACAAAAATTGCATGCGGAAACAAAGCATTTTTATTGTTAAAATTTTGTTGAAGGATATTTTTAACCCTAAAACAAGATTTTGACATTTCCAATTTTGACAGCAATGACCTTGAAAAAAGATTTTTGGCGACCTTTTGACTTTTACTGAAACTGACGTTACAGAAGAAATATTTCAATGTGGACAGAATTTGACAGTTCAAAAAATGTGGGTTTGACATTTGTAACAATATAATTATGGATTTTTGACGTTCTATATTTAAAATTGAAGTATTTTTGACATTTTTTAACTAAAATATATGAATAAACTCTTCTGTTAAATGACGTTAATAAAAATAGTGGCAAAATAAAAAAAATGGCATGCAAAAACAAAGCATTTTCAATGTTAAAATTTTGTTATAGGATATTTTGAACCCTAAAGCAAGATTTTGACATTCCCAATTTTGACAGCAATGACCTTGAAAAAAGATTTTTGGCGACCTTTTGACTTTTAAGGGAGTTTTACTGAAACTGACGTTGCAGAAGAAATATTTCATGTGGAATTTGACAGTTCAAAAAATTGAAGTATTTTTGACAATTTGACATAAGTAAATAAATTTTTGATATTTTAGAGAAGAAACAACTAAATTTGACTAAATATGACAGAAAATCTAAATTTGAACGATTTGACTAAAACTACAGATATAACTTTAAAAAATACAAAACATACTTTGACAAATTCATTTACCTATTAGACAGTAAAATAATGTGAAAATGTGAATTTGTCGTTAAAATCTGAAAATTGTGGATTTTGACAAAGATTTAAAAAAAACATGAAGCCTACACAAGGAGTCAAAACTTAATAGGGGAAAATGACAAATAAGGATTTATTTTTTCACCACCAGCGGCGCTGATTGTCATTGCGACGTTTGCTGTTTACCCTAAATTTTACAAAATTAAGGTTGGAACCATTTTAAGTTTAACAATTTTATTAAAATTGTTAAACTTAAAATGGTTCCAACCTTAATTTTGTAAAATTATTTTAACTGTTACATTTTAATATCCTCTTTTTACAGATGTAGACAGTTGGAACACGTAATTTTGACATCCTAACTATAAATCCAGCTTAAAAACACTTTTTTACATCGAAAATTCTAATTTTGACACGATTGAGGTTGAAAAATGTAATTTTGACATTTCCAACCTTGACGTGTTAATTTTCAACCTTTTTTAAAGAAAAACAAGCACATATGGCCTTGACATTAGCAAAACATGCCGGTTAAACGCTTATTTTGGAAATATTATTGGAGAAAATACCTTCTTTTTAACTCTTCCTCATCAACCAAACTAAAACATCTGTTGAAACTAGAAAAACTCATTTTTAATCGGCATTTAACAAACCACCTGTTCGATCTCGTAGAAACGTCAACACAAACTAAATTTGCATCGTGAAAGATAAAATTAATGGCATCATTTGCGTTTCCCAAAGTGGTTATAAAACATATAAACAATACGAATTACCTAACTGATTAATTTTTTTTTTATCCACGCGATTACGAAATCTAAGATTGAACCTTGTTTGGCGTTTTCAAGGCAAAATTTGCATAAAATGATTAGAAAGCGCTTAAAATGAAGGTTTAGTTGATAAAAGTTGTAAAAAAATTTTTCACCTGACTGGATTCAAAGTCGATCTGTCAAAAAATTGTGGGGTAGTATATTCTGAAATCGCTGGATTTAAAAAATTAGAGCTAATTTATTTATTATTATATTAATTGTTATTTATAATATTTAGGCCATTGAAACTTTAACACTGTACATACCACGTATGTTGAAAGAATTTATTCGTTATAACGCTTGATCTCCCTAAATCGTCCTTAATTTCCATATTTAAGTCCATTCTACAAAATTGCTCTGTATGTAGGTATCTACACCCTCTTTTATCTATGATCTACACATGAAGTTTTCTTGACACAATTTCAGTCAAACAAAAAACTTACGGCCAAGTCCCCGATCTCCTTCGCCTGCTGAAATTGTCCTCCAACTCCTCGAAACTCTCCTTCTCGATTAGTTCGTTTATCTTTTGCGATATTTGCGATAAATTACGGTTTTTGTGCAAACAAGCCAGACGAAATTCTAACCTCTCGGCCACTCTGCATTGATGCAGAGTGGTCAAATCCACATCCGAACCCACCCAAAGCGATGCCATAACAAATATCAACTATAAAATTATTAAATTTACACTAAAACGACAACAACAAACAACACTGTATCGTCCCGTAAAAAAACTAGGTTAGAATTTCACCAACAGACATTTCTACTGTAGTTCAGGATAATCACTAATAAATTATTGTGGTTTAGAGTTCAAATTATCTTATAATTTATTTTGATTACATTGGGAAATTCACGAAACTTCCAAATATTACAAATAAATTCTTTATATTTACACAACGATGCCAAGTCTAACAAAAACATTATAAATTTGTACACAAAACATAAATATATCAATGAATTTAAGTTATATTCATTACATGGCACAATTATAACATTTTCCTGCTAATTATTAATGTTATAAACGGTTAAAAGTGTTAAAATTATTAAATTTAGTAATATTGTTAAAGAATGTCAGAAATCCGACAACGCAGCATAGATATGTCATTTACGTCACATTTTAGAAAGTTTTGCCTCTTTTTGCGAATTTTATTGTTTCTGAAATATTTGTATTAAATAGATTACTTATAAAATATTTAATAAATTGCATTTGCTGCCTCACCAAAACAAAATGTTACGGCCACCACTGGCTTTGAATGTATTTTGTGTAATAAAAGAGTTTGTTATTTTTACAATGTTTAAGTAAGATTTCAATATATCCGGTATGGTCTAGTGGCTAGGATACCTGGCTCTCACCCAGGAGGCTCGGGTTCGATTCCCGGTACCGGAATAATTTTTTAATTTTTTTTTAATAAAAATTGTCAAATTAAATTTACATTTTCTGTAAATTTTGAAAAAATTATACAATTTGGCCAAAAAAAACATTTTTTTTCAAAATCATGGAGAAAAACTGTTTTTCTCCATGTCAAAATGTAGTTTTTTACCTGGAACAGGGTAAACAATTTTTTTTCTACATAAAACTTTATAAAACAGTTTATTTTGACCCCTACAACCATTGCTTTTTAAGGGCAGAAATTTGTTTTGGTTTATATGGCGCAAATTTGCGCCCTTTAGGGACAGGCACTGCTGGTGTAGTGGTATCATGCAAGATTCCCATTCTTGCGACCCGGGTTCGATTCCCGGGCAGTGCAAATATTTTTTTAATTTTTTAAAATATTTTTTGAATGGTGTTTTTGATTTTTTTTTAAATCTCATTCTAAAAATCCTACAAAAATATTAAATAAAGTTTAAAAAAATTAAAAAAAAAAATTCCTTCGAACCGGATTTGAACCAGTGACCTATGGATGTCTATTTCATGTTACCAACTACAGTCCACCGCTCTACCAACTGAGCTATCGAAGGTTATGTTAAATAAATTACAAAGAATGTAAAAGAATAACACTTCTAAGTAGGCTAAATTTCATAAAAAATTAATTTTTTGTTGAAATTTTCAGTTTTCGTTGTTTGAAAATAAATTTAATTAGTTTTTATAATTAATAATTTTTTAAAAAAAGTTTCGCCCGAGCAGGGACTTGAACCCTGGACCCTTGGATTAAAAGTCCAATGCTCTACCGACTGAGCTACCCGGGCTTATATTTTTTTGAAGTTAAATATGTATGAATTAATAAAAATACTATTACATTTTTGAAAATTTTGAAAAATAGCGATTTTAAATACTTCACCGCAAGTTACAGGATTTCGATTACTTACATGAATTTTTTCTTCTCCATGGCTTTTGAAACCACCGTCTTTTTAAAATCTTTACACTGTTGCCTTTCATCCGCAACCATGGCCAAAGCCAACTGTATATCACTTTCATTCATAGCGTCTATTTTTTTCAAAATAATACGGAATACTATTTTAGCACCTTCAAAAAACGCAAACTAAACTAAACTAATTCTGAGACAAGTTCTGCAGAATATGAAACTGTAAGATCAAGGTGATACGAAAAAGACAATGATTTTTAACCCTGACCTGAAATTGAAAGAAAAATGAACTTATTTTTTATTAAAAGCAGGGTCAAATGATACTTTTTACGCACGTTTGTGTCAAAAGAAATGTTAATTTACGTTTAAAATACATAAAAACCGTGGTTAATAATGGGTATTCAATAGCTAAAAACTTGTTTTTATTGTCGTCATAGTAATTTTTTAAATTAATCATTCATTCAGGTGCAATTTAATAGTTACTATTAAAACCAGAGAAAAAATCAACCTTACTATTTTGTAATGGTGGTTGCCTACATTTATGTTTTCGCACCGTATGTGTTTTTTCTCTCGTTGTAATCCCTCTATATGTGAGTAGCTGCACTTCACTACAGCTTTATAATTAAAACACCAGATGGCATGGAATCTTTATAGTTTTTTTAAACTTAATATAAAGTAAAGCGAAACAATGAAAGTTTAAAATAAATTTATTTATTCAATTAAAAATGGTTAACGTTTAATAATAATTATAATATTTACAAAAAATAAATAATGCAAACAATTTAAAACAAGTCTTAAAAATTATGTAATTGGTCAATTTAAAAATTACAAAAGTACAAACAATTCCAAATTTACATCACAGTTGTAATATACTTGTATAATATCAATTATTGTACTTAAGAAATTGCCTTTGATGAATTAATGAAAATAAATAGTTATAATTAAAAAATCGTTAAAATTCGTATTTAAAGTTTCTCACTAATGAACGATTATATACAGGTAGTCAAATAATGTGAAAATCAATTAATCAACTTTATAAAGTATACCCCAGAAATTTTAAACATTTTGTTGAAATTTTGCAGTTTAATAGAAATGTTGTTTTAGGTGACAGCTGTCAAAAAACTGACATTTCTATAATCCTTTGTAACTTCGTTAATATAAGTTCGATTTTGACGATATTTTTGGAGTTTACCAAACAAAATGCGCTCTAAACGATGGCAAAATCACTTTTGCTGGATTTGTTCTCGAAATACTTGCAGAATTCTCTGACGGCCATTCGGGAGGTTAAATTTTGAAAGTTCAATAGAATCGTTGTTTCGAGGTGACAGCTGTCAAAAAACTGACAAACAAACGTCAAAAGGTGACATTTCTATGACAGCTGTCAAAAAACTGACAAACAAACGTCAAAAGGTGACATTTCTATAATCCTTCATAACTTCGTTAATATAGGTTCGATTTTGACGAAATTTTCGGAGTTTACTGAACAAAAGGCGCTCTATACGATGGCTGCCGGCTTTTTAAGGGTTCTTGTTGTCTGGCCTCCTCAGAATCGGATTTGTTTTCGAAGTACTTGCAGATTTCTCTGACGGCTATTTGTGAGGTTAAATTTGACAGGTCGTGCATGGAGCGCGCACGTTTTTGACAGGTGTCGACGACGTTTCGATGCGAGACGTCTTCCGTGCTGCGAACTTTACGGCCCAACTTACAGAGCGACTCAAAAAGGAAAAGTTTCTCTTTGACAGGTACATAGTTTTCGACATTTTGGCATTTTTTCAGAAGGTCCTCGACTTTTTGGGTCTCGATGGGCGGTTTGGTTGGAGGTTGGGGGGGTTGAAGAGGGGGGTGGGGTGTTTATGTAGTTGAAATTCCAGTCTTTTTCCAGGGATTTGTCCTTTTTCAGGCATTGCGCTATGGATAGTATGTCCAGATACTTAATTGCGTCCAAGGGAGTTTGTCGTATTAACTCTATAGCGATAGTTTTGACCCATTTGTCAAAATCACTTCCATTTGCGGCCTAAAAGAAAAAAAATCAAATTTTCGAAAATTTTTGCAAAGAAATTATTAAGTACCTGCAAGGTTAGAACTATATTTTGACCCCTACACAGGGACAAGCTGTTAGTCAAGGGTCCAGCCTGAAGACTAAGATGACGTAATGGTAATTTTATAGCGCATCCAGGGGCACTAACCACACCATGCCCCAAGGGGGACACATGCAATTGACCCCCCCTAATGTTGACCCTCCTCGGGGACCAATGTCTATCGTTCGAGCACTTTAACAAGACATCACCTGAAAAAAAAATATTTTTTATTTAATAGTTCTTTATGTCATTAAGGCTTTTTGTGCTAAGCTCAAGGAGCGAAGCACAAAAAGTCACTTCTTGGCCGAATGGAACATTTTATCTTCAAAGCACTTTATATAGGTCAATTTAATTCAACATCAAAGCGGCCTAAACTCACTTTTTTAGAATCTCATTTATTTATTAGCCAAAGATTACATTAAATGTACAATAATTATTATTGCTTTTGGAAGCAGTAATAGTTTGACAATACCTAGCTACATGATTTAAGTAGAAATGGATTTTTGCTATTACATTGAATTCAATTAATTGTTTAATAAATAGGTAGGTATCTAATTTCAATTTGTTTGGATTTTTATTTAAAAAATAGGTAGTTTGGAATGGAAGCTGTGTTTAACATTTAATTTCACTGAAAACTTAAAGCAAATTAAAACTAAAGATAATTTAAATCGTAGAAAAAAAATCGTGCGTTTTCTTGGTTGCCTAACCTCACTTTTTGTTTTATTATTCATATTTAATTTTACAATAATTTAATGAAAAATATTAAACATTAACAGTAAAACAAACAAATTAGTGCTTATTATAAATAAATTAAACCAGTTTGGTACGTTAATTTCTTAGAAAAGGATTAATTTGTCAAAACAATACCCCTAGCGAGAAAAAATCGAACTAATTACTTGCCTCATAAAAATTTTTATCGGCCTAGGCCATAACAAGGTATTTCTTTATCGAATGTTGACAACAATAAAGTTTAAATTATAGACCGCGTGGAGATAAATTATATTTTATGAAACACCCTGTACGTATAATTCTAAAGGCTCCACTTTCATTTAATTAGCAACCATAATGATGTCTGCATTTTTTTGCCTTTTTTTGTAAACCAACCATAATTACTTCAATCATAATTTACAAATAAATGATTCATTATACTTGGTATAAAGAAAATTAAATCTAATTTTAGCTTTTTGTAACCCAGTTTGCGAACAACCATTTGCGCGACGGAAATTTAATTTTATAGGACGAGAACCGGGTAAAATTAACTAAGTGGGTGCAAAAAACGAACACCCAGTCCAACGAGTTTATTTTTTATGTAAGTAAATGAGATAAATATGCAAAATAACAGTCTTGGGATTTAAACTATATAGATGGCTTAGATTATTTGACGTTAGTGGCGTTTAACTGTCAAAATATTGAGGCGTTGCCAAATCAACCGATGGGATAAAAGTTGCGAATCGCTACATACCTACATTTAATTCAATCATTGAGTAAAGTCTTTACTCAATGATTCAATAATTGTAAAATTACATAATTATTCGCTGCTTGCAACACAGAAATAAGTGATTCTCGGTGTAAAGATGGGCAACACATCAAGGTTGTAAAAGTAAAAACACCCGAGTCGGTCACGATTTTCTTTTGTTTAGTCGCTTTGGCGAATAAATTATTGAAGAATCTTCCTATTGCGTAAAATTTAGAACTTAAACAAGTGGAAAAAATGCAGAACCTCCCCTTTTTGTAACAGGATGTTTTTGAGGGCTTGATTTTAAAAAATGTAAAAATATCGCAGACAATTTTGTAAAAATTGAAAACAACAAATTCATGAAAAACCTCGAAATCTGTCAATTTTGACGTCTCTGACCTTGATTTATACATTCGTACAAGGTCAAGTGTTTTTTATAAAGTTGGTAGCTTATGCCAGTTTAATTTGGTATTTTTAGCATTTAAAAAATGTTACTTCTGCTGAAGACCTTAATTAAATACTCTTACACTGTCAAATTGACATTAATATTTATTATTGATAATTTACTTGTCAATTATTATATAATATCGATATAAAAAGATAACTATGCTAAAAACAATATCAGATTCTAATGTAAAAAACTTTTAACGGCAAAACATCATTTCGATGAAGTTATACCAAATGGCAGAAAAAGTACAAATATTAAATTACACATTATTTTCAGCTAAGCAGATCAAAAATTTGTTGAATTTTAAAAAATAGGGGAAATAAAAAATAAATAAAAGTTTTCCTGTCTGATAATAGCATCCGTATGTTAAAACCAGGGTGGAAGAATTATTATTCCACTCTGGTTAAAACTAAAACACTTGAATTTTAAACAATTGAATATCAAATAGGTTTTCGTAGTAAATAATCTTTAATAAACAAATTTGCTCCACTTATAACCACAAATTAATTATACCAATTAAATATTTAAATAGCTATACAAATACATGGAAAATCCTTTTTATTTGTGGCGACGATATTCCAATAAATATTAATTTTAATAATTAATAATGTATTTAAAAAATAATAACGCTCCACTTGAGTAGGTAGAAAACAAGTATTTAATTGGACTAGACTTATTATTTTATTGTTTTATTTTCTATCTGTCATATAAATAGCTTATTTAAAATAGTAATACAAATGCTTTGCCCCTTATTCATATTATTAATAATACACGTAATAATGATTTCCATCGTATCCGAGGGGTAAACCACTGATTTTTTTAAGTTAAACAACGCCTACGAATTAACGGCTAAGGATAACAATAACAATGGTAGTCATGTACAACGCGTCGCTAAGCACTGATTAAGCACCGATTAAGCAAGTTTTCCTTATTGATAACGACTGATAAGGAAAAAAATCTCAATACAACGTCCATTAACATTGAACGTTGGTCTCTAAGATTTTTAAGTGGTTTACCCCTCGATCGTATCTGTGTCTCATATCCGTTTAGTATTTAAAATAGACATTTCATTATCTAAAACCAAATAATAAATTAATGTTGTTGGAATCACAAACATAACCCAATTTTGTACACGTGTATCTGTGAATTTTGTATTTTAAAAATGTATCATGTTACCAAATAATTAATCATGAGGGTGATGTTTTGCATTTGTTTCCACAGAAATAGACATTTAATACAAGGACCAGTGCCACAAGTGGCAAGTATTGACAAATTAGGGGTGGATGATGTTTTTAAGAACTACATGGTGGTCGATAAACGAAACCTGTCAAAATTAATAAATAAAAGGCCAGGGTGGAAGAAGAAGGTGATATAACTCATATCTCTACAGTACAGAAGCAAGCGTCCAGATAAGTCAGTATTTCGTTCGTTGTTCGTTAGATGGCGCTTCAAAGAGGAACCCAAGGTTTTACCAACGAAATCCATATATTCTATAACAACTTAACTTTTAACAACAAATTATAAGATAACGAAAAACCAAGGAGAGTCTTCTACCCTCCTTAACGAAAATTACATCTTTTCTTTCAGCATTATTATAATAATTTGCAGAACGATTGGCAATACTGTAGTATTGCCAACTGTTCTGCCAAAATGCACAGTCGCCACAAACGCACAAAAGTGACGTTGAAATGGTTTTATTTGAATTTTAATTAAGCTTAGTGGTCTATTATTTGAAGTGAATCAATGCAATTTTACTAAAAATGGGAAAAGTTTGTTGTGCACCGGGATTAAAACAGGTTCCACTTCAATGCGCCATCTATACAGACTTTTAACAAATACTGACTTATCTGGCCGCCTTCAACGACGGAGTTGAATCACCTCCTTCTTCCACCCTGTAAAAGGCGTTGAAGAGTTTGATAAATAAATACAGTAGGCCGTGATAGCAGATTCAGCGGTACCAATGTAGTAACAATAAAACGTTGTATTTTAATTAAAAAAATAATAAAAGATTACATAACTTAAATTTGGTCTAGTTATACCCACTTAATACATTAAATAATTATATAAACAATAATTAAAAACTTTCTTCAATCACTTAAACTTAAAGCCATAAAATATATTCTGACAAAAGTGGACGTCACAATAATTTATAATGGGATACATCTGTGCGCTCCCGCATTGTTGAAATCTGCAGCTTTACCATTCTTTATAATCGAAATGGTCATATGCTTTTTTCAGACAAAATATTTTACGTAGCTTAGAATTTTGGTAAATTTATCTGGTGACTCAGTAGGTACGGCGCCTTGACAAATTGCTAATGGCGCCGGTTTAATGCATTTATCAAAAAAGTTAGGGTTAGGTACCTACACAATCATATGGTACCCAAAAGTTTGGACTTAACACAATTTTTCTGCCTTATTATTATAATTTTACAAGTTTTTAAACGTTTTTTCGAGGTGGCCTTGATATTTTGACAATCAAGGTCACAAACGTCAAAACTGTCAAATTAATTTTATAAATTTAAAACCTAATAAATACACTCCGTATATAAATCATAATTCTATGACAGCAATGTTAAATCACCAGACTAAATATTTACATTAAGATAACATTATAAATGCTAAAATAAACATTGCCGATTAAATAAGCGCCATAAGTTATCTCTAATATTTGAAATATTGCATATTTCTGCAAATACCCAACAATAAGTTCTTAATATAAACAAAGAACGTTAAACAAATACCATATCAATATACAGGATGTCCCGAAAATTACCACACAACGCTTTTATTTGGTTTGTTTCCATAGCAACCGCTATTCATAAAACATATTTTTTGCAAGCAGTATTTTTAATTGACTGATTAGGCCATGTTCGAATGTGTAAATACAGTTAATAAACTATAATTTCAAAAGTGAAATCTTAGGAAATATCCGTTTTATTAAATTATATGTTGTATGGCATGATTTTAAGTTATTTTTATGCGAAACAGCTTCCTTTTTCCTACAACATATATTTGTAAATTAATAATATTATTATGAAAATCAGTGTCTTTCAAAATTTCGTTTATGTTAATATGTCTATGGTTTTCACATTGGAGGCATTTTTGAGTTGGCATTCCTGTTTTATAGAAGTTTGAATATTTTGACAGTTCTGAAGTTCGTTAGTAAATATAATGGTTATTTTTGGATAAAACTGTAACAATTTTGGATTTAAGTCTAAAATTATAACAGAATACAGAAAAATGAAGTGAGTAGACAATTTTACACTCATATCTTACATAATTAGTGGTTGGTAATATATTTAATCTAATTTAAAGTCGGTTTCTTGTTTAGTGACTTGTTCTAGGTACCAAATTTCGACATATACTATACCATACTATATACTATAATACCGGAACACTCTGTATATTAATATGGCTATTAAATTTTCTATTACACAGCATATAATTTTAATTAAGCACATGTATTTTACAGTATACTTTCAATTTTCCAATGAAATGTCATTTAATTTAATTGTTTGGCATTATGTTTTTACTTTACTTTAAAAGGAAAAATCTCACAAAGAAATCATCGTGTTTTCTAATTAGAAAATTTTTAGTCGTATATTATACGAGGTGTTTTAGAAAAAATGTCAAATTTGTCTACAAGTATGTTTTTTATACTATAATACCTAGTTAATTAAATATTTAAATAGATGGAACGTTTCTTAACTCACCTAAGTAATTAACGCAATAAAAAATGTAATTTTGTACATTGCTCTTTGGAGTTTCGTAATTGTTTTTATTTATTTCCCACGTTTTGAGTTTAAAAGTTCAAAGATCTTTTTTTCTACGATTTATATTTTATTATATTAAAATAAAATAAACAAACTTTTTATTGCAGATAAATATTTTATGTGCACTTTCACATAAACAGTTTGTCCCATTTAGGGTCAGCCTACTATTAAATTAATTTAGAACACAGTTCCACACATTGGTTTTATTTAAGTACCCACCATTTATATTAATAAAAAACGTCTGTTGTTATTTGGAGAAAGCAATAAATTAATTGAGTGTTTTAATTGGTGCTCACAATTGTCAATGTTAACTGAACACAAGTTTTTTTATATGGAGATTCGGTTGGCCAAAACAAAAGTTACCTAAGTTACCCATGATATTATTGGCAACTTGAACAAAACAACCTAACCAGTGAGAAAATTAGGAATTAAATTTGTGCTTTTTATATTATAATATTATTATTTTTTTATTATAATAATTATATAACTTTTTTTCAATACTGTTCAATAATACATGTTTACTGTAACAAAATACGTATATTTTTAGCCTTGAACATACCTAATTTACAGTAAATAAGGCAAAATTAATACATTTTAAATAATAAATATTAATGTTTTAGTTTTAAAATATTGAAAATGTTTTGTTCTAAAACTTTTTATTCCGGCCAATAGGAAACGATACCTAAAACGATTCGAAACTGTGAATTTCACATTTTGCTCTTTATCAAAATTTGTTCGATTTAAAAATACATTGACTTGTATTTATACCTACTTATGTATAAGTCAGTACCCTCGAATAATTAAACATATTTATAATAAAATTAAATTACATAATTACACTTTCTCTTTTAAAGTAAATAATGATATAAAATAAAACAATACAGCATAAAAATTGTCGTGTATAAAAACACTATAGGTAATATACTTTATTTACATTTTAAATTTTATTGCAAATTTTTGTTTTAAAGTTTTTAATACCACCCCCAAAATTTTTTTAATTTATTTTTTCAAAAACCTTGGCATATTTTTTGTATCAAAAATAAATGAATAAAAATAAGATACAGAAATAATCCTTGGTTTTCTTTATATAATAACTAAAAAAAATTAACAAGTGTTAAAAAATAATACATTATTATGGTTTTTCTTTGTTTCTATAGGTAATTGTTCTTACTTACAATGTCATAACATAAAAAATTGGATTCTTAATAATATTTAATGGTTTGAATCAAGGTTACTTTAAATAATTTATTTGTTTTAAAGGAAAAATAGTAAAAATCTCTGTATATATCCTGGAATAAATGGTTTTGCAACTATGCATTTTCTATTACCTATACATATGAATCATTATGTTTTGAAATATCTAACTTTTAGCAAAACAATTGGATATGCCGCGCTTTGAAACACAATTGTGTCCTTTGGACAAAGAAAATATTAATTTTGCGCACATTAATGTGCGCAAAATTAATATTTTCTTTGTCCAAAGGACGGTTATACGTATTTTCCCGCCTCAGATAATTTTAAAAAACCCTTTATAGAGGGTTGAATTAATAATTACACCACTGACACAAATAAAAAACCTCGTATCTACCCTTGTGATGATTTTAGGGGTAAGCTGTTGACATCACTAACAAGACCGTGTTTACTTTAGGTTAACCTGTAATTTTCATAAAAATTGCATGAAAATTAAAAGAGTTACAGCACTTTGAAAAAAGTTGGGCGCCAAAATGTAAAAAACGATCAAACGATTTTGATGATTTTTTTCAAAATAGTTATTCGAAAATAACTTTAAATTTTGTCACCATACATTAAAAATTACCGTAAAACCATAAAAGGCATGGTTAAGAAACAAACACTTAAAACTAGTTTATAATTTAAATTACCTAGGTTAACCATATAATTAATTAAGGCGTTTATATTATATATTAACGCGTAGGAAACAAAAAAAGGCGTACCTATACAATTAATAAAAAAAACTCGATTGTGTAAGACATACAAAAAATAAATACACGACTATTAATCCCCTCAAAGTAGTCAAAACTAAGGGTACGATTTTTTATATAAAGGAATTCAAACACAAAAGATTTGTATTCAATGTTGCCATTTAGGCGTCAAAAATCCCAGGGTGTTATAAAATACACTTATATGATACTTTTATGGCCATATGGCAACACTGTATGTTATTTAGGGGTTGCATTACAACGGTTATAGAGCTAATTGAGTGGAACAATTTTTGGGAATAACAACCCCACAAAAGGTAACGCTTTGTAAAATTATTACTAAAAAACTATAAATACAATAGTTTTTAAATTTTAATACAGTATCCATGCAAGTGTTTTTGATATTGTCACAAAATTTGATCTTTGTAACTCTTCTATTTTTCGAGTTATTCACTAAAAACTACATTTTGTTAAAGGGTTGTCAAAAATTTTAGTTATTAAAGGTTACTGACCTGTTTATCAGCCTTCTTGTAATTAAATTTTGATAGTGATTCATTTTTTTATTATAACAAACCATGGGTATTGTGATTTGTCTGTTGTATTGTTTAGACAGCATTTATAGTGTAAAAATATTAAATTAAATGTATCTTATCTTTTATGTAGTTATGTTATGTTATAAGTCAATACTGGTTTATTTATTTAAATACAATAATTGATAACACTTAATAATTTATAATTACCTGAAATTTTAGTTTTAATAGATGGAAAATTACAACTGGAGTAGTTTTTCCTTATTTCCGATATAATTTTCGGAGGCGATTTGTCTCTAACGTCAAAATCCCTATACGGGGTAGCAATTAACATGTTTTTACCACAAAAAACACTCCGAAACGGCAAAGTTCTTCATATTCACACTAAAAACACAACTGTCACAAACATGGCACCCTATTGGTGGAAACGCTTGACTGTCATGATTTTTATTTGTTTTTGTTGCTAAGCCGGCCCTTTCCAAGGGTTAAAAGGCATTTGTGACGTTCTTGCTCTCGCGAGCGTTGAAAATCAACTAAGCGGGCGATTTGAAGACTTGTGCGCGCCTCGTTGCCTACCCCACCACCGCGATTTTTAGGATGCGGCCAATGGGATTGCGGAGATTTCCAGTTGTCAGCTGATTTTTATTTAAATTGTTAAATGAAAGATTTTTGACATTGTTTTATTAACGTTGTTTGTTTTAATGTGATGTGATGCTAATAATAAATGAGCGTTTATTTGTTAAAATTGAGATTACGATTAAGTGAAATCGTACAAAAACATGGATTAAAAACAGTTGAAATGTCCTTGTGCTATATTTTTATCAAATAATACATACAACCTGAATTAAATAAAAACAAACAAATTTATTTTTGTAATTTAAAGAAAAATATTTTAAACACCAAAAAATTACGATATTAAAATAAAAAATTCATAAATCGCAACAATTTAACCACTATTAATATTCCAATTTTGATTAAATTCTTAATTTAGCCCAAAAAATTTACGCTGTATTTTTTAAAAACTTAAAAAAAGTTCGCTGCGGACAGGATTCGAACCTGTGCGGGCAGAGCCCAATGGATTTCAAGTCCATCTCCTTAACCACTCGGACACCGCAGCTTGCTCAAAATTTGTACAAAGTAATTATCAAAGATAAACGAGTTTTATTTTGTGAAATTTACCGATTTTCTTGCTTATTTTACTCAATGATGCATATTTTCGTATTATTCAACGATTTTGCTTTAGTATTTATTGTTTTTGCCGCAAAATATGGTGAAATAATGATAAATTATGCATTTTGTGCTTGCCGTATGCAACCCATGTAACACCAAGTTGTAATATGGGTTGCGTAACAACAATATTCTTAAAAAGTATTTAAAACAACCCTTCTCTGCTTTTTAAACCACCCTAACTCAAAATTAAACTTACAATGCACAAAAGTCTAAGCCTTTAAATTCATGAATATTAAACGCGATTTTCAAATAAATTTCAGTTGATCATTTATAAAACAACAAACGATGTGTTCGATGTATTTACCCTCAGCGGTGACGTCACAAAGGCTTTATGACGTCGTTGCGGCTCTGACGTCACTCGTCCCGACCGGGGCACTGTGGGCCCAATGTCCAAACTAGGTTGCATTAATTCAATTTTTTTTCTATTTACTTAAAACTTTAAAAATAATTAAACTTTGAGACTAACCAATGCTGGTAATTAATTATATAATTTATTTTTTCATTTTCCAGTGTTGCCACATTAGTATTTTTGGAAATTAATTTATAAAATACAGGGTTATCTTCAACTAGTGTAACAAACCATACCAACGTTATCTACGGATCAAAATAAGTCGATTTAACCCAAATTACCTATATACTAAGTTGCTTCGTTTAGTCGTTAGAGATCCTTAAAGTTTTGAAAAATAACATTTTTTTTTTAATATCTTAATAATGTATTAATGTATTTTTAATATTTTTGGAATATAAGTTTTAACTGCCAATTAACGTCGTTTGGTGCTACACACAGTTATAATTAAAAATTAGAATAATCAGAAAAGCAAGGTTAGGTACTAATTTTCGCTTGTAATTTTTTACTGTTGATATAATGGTTTGCTAGGAAATAGAAAGCTTACTTTGTTTAAAAACTTTTTTGTCTCTTGTAAAAGTTCGATGAGCGGTTTAGCCAGAAAAAATTATTTTGTAATGTCTGCATACCTACTATCGATATACCGCGATAGTTACTATGTTTTATCCCGAAAATTGAACATTATAAATCTAGAGATTCCTTTTCTGAAAATAGGTCAATTTGACTCAACGCAGTTGTTTCGTTTAGCAGATAAAAAGTGAAATACAGAGTGTTGGTAATAGGTAAATGGTGTATAAAGAGGAGTGTTTTCGCATATTTTTTCGGTCACTTCCGGTTTCACCGGAAATGGGTCCAGGTTCAAAAAATTAAACACTCTCGGATTCTTAACATAATTCTGGACTTAAATGTGATTTTTTAATGCCTTTTGAGCAATTTTTAACAATGCATCTAGGCCACCTTAATGTAATATTAAAAACGGATAAAAAGAAAAAGTAGGCGTAAACACTTTTAACAAATATTAAACGCCATGTATATAATTTGCTCATTGTCCAAGCAATACATGCGATAAACAACTTAAGATTCATATTAATTGTTAATATTTTCTTTTCTCAGAGGTTTACATTTTTGACTGGGATAAGTTTCGCGATTTTTTGCGATTTTTTTGGTTAAGAGTTTTTAGTAGTCTACATATTTGTCTAATAAAAAATATATATTTTGGCTTGGCATTCGTTGGCCTTTCTATTTTTTTACTCTGCAAAACTATAAAATTAAATATTCATGTTAATTACCTTATCAGTTCTTGCCAAAAACAAAAAAAAAACACGAATTTTCCATAATTTTATGTACCCAACACAACTAATTGACAGGTCTAATGTCAGTTATGAAATGTTTAAGGCGACTTTTGCTTTTCACGGCCCTCTAAGCTATAAAAAAATTCGCAAAAATCGTAGTTTTAATTAAAACGATTGCATTAAAAATATACTTTCTTTTAAAGATCTGACATTGGGCATTTATAAAAAAGTCTTCGTAGAGTATTTTCAAAAAGCAATTATGTTTTTACAAGTTTGAATATGTTTTTAATAAAACAATAGTGGCAAATTATACATTTTCAATAATGACTTATTGCAACCTAGTTTGGGCATAGGGCCCACAGTGCGGGGTATTGAATTTGTCCTGTGGGATAGCCGTAGTAAAAAAATACTACGTCGTAGCGATGTCGGGGGGTGTAACTTGTAAGGGGTTGATTTTGGAGGGATTTTGATGTTATTTTTGAAAAAAGGGGGTTCAAATTATAGTGTCCTAAAAATTTTGTTAAAATTGGTTTGTTATTAACGGAGATAAGCATATTTTTGGATTGGGTTTTTACGTATAGGTATCATAGAAACCTTGGAAAATCTTGTTTCGTAGCCAATTCAAGCTCTTTTTGTTTTCCTTAATTTCCGGTGAAAAATCAATGCCTACTTTGTTGGGGAAGCTTAGAAAAATTACTCTGTTATGTCTAGAGTTATCTTTTAATTGATCTTAAATTTGCTGTTCTACTATTTAAGTAGATCTGTTCATTTAATTGTAGTTTATTGTTTATTTAAAGGTAATTTATAGGTTAATTTTGGGTTATTTAAGGGATTTTAGGTCTTATATATTATGAAAATTCTTGATAGAGGTCCAAAAATGATAATAAATTTTAATTTATTCACATAAACGTTAATGGTGCTAATTTAGCCTTAAAAAATGTTAAAAATGTTAAATTTTACACAAATATAAAGCGAAGAATGCAAACAAAACCAAAAATCACGGATTAGCTAATTTAAAAAATCCCTTACAGTGGGACAAACCCAAACAAAAAAGACAATAGGGAAAAATAACGAAAAAAAAATACGCAAAAAATCGACTTGATAAAATGTCAATTTAAACCCAAAAAACACCAAAAAAAATATCAAAAATATGTATTCAACGGATAGAAAAAACCTTATTCTTTCTAAATCCAAAAAAAAATATCACCCCTCAGTGCCCACAGGCGCCTGCGCCCCTCCAAAAACATCGTCTATCGAACGAACATGCAGTGTGATTTTGAGGCTTTAGGACGTCGGCTGACGGCGTCTTGAGCGTCTCGACGGTGGGCGTACCGGAGTTTTAGCAATGCTGGCTTCGCTGACCGAAGCCTAGCGAGTGCCAAGTGCCAAAATAACATTTTTTTAACAATTTACTGATTGATATAGCGTTTTATAGGGATTTTTGAAAAAGGTTTGTGTAATTTGTTTTGTTTTTGTTATTATCGAAATTTTTTTGACTTTTATTAAAGAGGAATGTTTTTTTTAGTTTGGAATTTAAATTTTGTTAATTTTCTATGTTTTATAAGAAAGTTATTTATTGATAAAAAATAAGTTTTATATCATAGTTTTTGTAAATTTTCGTTGTTTTTTAAACGTGTGTAACTTTAATAATTACAATGCAATAATAATGAAAATTTTAAGTACTACTAAGAAAAATATGCCCTTTTTATTGGTGACAACAGTTTTCCTTTATATATACAGGGCGATTCACAATTAACGTTTATTGAGGTACACTACAAAAAATTAAAAATATCAGACGTACACTTAAACCCTTTTAACCGCTTCTATTAATTTTTGATTACAAAAAAATAAACGTCATTTCATAAAGCGTATTTTTCTTAGTATACTACAATTTCATCAAAATAAACCAACTTCTGTAGAAGTTGCGTAGCTTCAAAAATTCACAAAATTTCTAAAAAAAATAAAAATGTTAACACAACTTTAACCCGCTATAACTTCTTTAATATATGACAAATTTCGATGAAATTTTCAGATCGTCCCAAAAAAATAATAATTTTTCCAATATAGTAATAATTTTTTTTATCCCCCCGTAATAAGCCTTACAGCGTCATTAGACTTAATACATCGTTTTTATCTCCCATCTATTCAAACGTAATTAATTAGGTTGGGTTATTCTTCAGGGTATACCGTTAAATTTACACCCATATCAAATTGGTTTGATAGCGTGACAACGTTTATATACTGCCTAACCTAATGCACGGCATGTCTGCCAAATTAAGGGATTAAATTAAAAACCTTTCTATTGTTTTTTCTTTTATTTTATATTTAGTTTATTTTTGCTTATATGGGCAAAAATAGATTTTATTCGGTTGAAATTGCACACGCCAAGGCAATTTTTCGATGTATTTGATGTTTTACGCTAATAAATGCGGTGAATTGAGCAATTTTTATTGTTTTGAGACAATACATGACAATTTTGGAATATAATGCTGAGGAAATGTATTGTACTGGTTTGGAGCATTTCCTTTGTTTAAAATTACCTTACAATTATGAATTAAGGGTGTAGACAACTTGTTAAGCTATTTTTTACCTTTTAATTTTATTTTTTATATGCTTTTAGCTGCAAAATGCCCCAGGGCCCAATGGCAAGCCCCCTGATGAAGCCTTTCGTAGTCCTGGCCCTACCAGGAATGTACTTATTTTATAAGTACAATCAATACAAAAGAAAAAGAAAAGAAAATGCTAAAAGAAAACTCACAGAGCGAGAATTACAACACCTACACAACAAAATTGTAAGTAGTAATTTTTATTGTTTTTTAAACCTATGTAACTTTAACAAAAATAAAGGAATGTTCATGTAATTTTCATGGCCCACTAAAAAAAATATGCTATTTTTAGTGAACCAAACAATTTTCCCATACATGACCAGGGTGACTCACAATACAGGTATATATAAGTACACTGCAAAAATTTAAAAAATGCAATTTTCAGTGTTTTTTAAACCTTTGTAACTTTTACAACAATTAGGGGATGTTTATGTAATTTTTAGGGCGTACTAAAAAAAATATGCTCTTTTTAGTGAAATAAACAATTTTTCCATACATCTACAGGGTGACTCACAATAAAGGTTTATATAAGTATACTGCAAAAATTAAAAAAATGTAACACCTGCACTTAGACTCTTCTAGTTCGTTTGTGTAATTAATGTTTTAAAAACTATTAACGCCATTGAAAAGAGCAGAGATTTATTAGTGTACCCTGCAAATATCATCAAAATCCATCAAACTTTATAGAAGTTGCAGCGTAATGAAAATCATATAAAAATGACAACTTTTATTCGTCCAAAATCAACGGTTTTACAATTTTTTTATTTATCGCGGCCTCTATCAAGGCCTGATTCTTGCTGAACAGCGGTTCGTCGCACTCTTCCCCACTGTCGATGAATTTGACGTAATCCTTCGCCATATTTTCGCGATTTTTTATGTCCAGCATTGCTTTGGTCAGCATCCTCATTTCGGTCCTGTTCAGTTCCGGTATACCGAAGTTGTGGATTACGCCCCCCAATCCAAATTGTAGCGTCGTCACCAAATGCCTTAAATATTTGTTTTGATTAAAAAATAATTGTGTTTTTAAGATGTATTATTTTTTACATTGTTTTTATCCTTAATTGTGTTTTTTATTTTTATACAATTAGTGTTTTTTTATATTGTAAAATGTTTTTTTGACATTCCAAATTGTGTTTTAAGATATCATATTTTGTTTTACCTTTTTAATAGAATTTTTAACATTCTTAATTTCGCCTTTGACATTCTATAATGACATTGATGGTGTGTTTTTGAAATTCAAAATTGTGTTTTTAACATTTTAATATCTAAATCCAAATGGTATTTTTTGGATTCTTTAATATGATTTTGAAAGCGATTTTGTTATTTATTTTTTAGATGGTTTTTTTAATACTTCAAAATGTGTTTTGCCGTTCTTAAATAAGTTTTGGCATTTTTAAATAGCGTTTTTAAGATACTCTAACATGTTTTTTCTTAACTCATTTGACATTCCTAATGTGTTTTTCACATTCTCAATTGTGTTTTTAATATTCCAAATTGTGTTTTGATATTCTAAATCCAACATGTTTACTTTTGAAGAAGTGTTTTTAACATTCCTAATTTTTGTTGACATTTCTAATATGATTTTGACTATTTAAATTGTGTTTTTAGTGTTGTTAAATGAGGAATGAGGTTTTGGCATACACTATTTTGTTTTACCTTCTAAATAGAATTTTTAATTTGTCTGTGACATTCTGATTGTGTTTTTATCTTTCTAAATTGTGTTTTTAAAGTTCTAAATGCATTTTTCATTTTAAAATATGCATTTAACACTCAAATTTGTGTTTTTGATATTCTAAAATATAGTTTTCGAAATGTCAAATTAAATATGTCTATGACATTATAAATGGGTTTTTTAATTATATTTTTAATTTTTTAAGTGTGTTTTTGACATTGTAAATTGTGTTTTAACATTTTGATGATCATTTTGACAAAAAAAATAATTTTAATTTTTTAAGAGTGTTTTTAACATTCTAAATTCTGTTTTTGATGTAAGAAATTTTGTTTTAACATTTCAATATCTAAATTTAAATGGGATTTTTGGATTCTTTAATATGATTTAAAAAAAAAATGTTGTTCTTATTTTTGAGATGGTGTTTTTAATACAAAATGTGTTTTGCTGTTTTTAAATCTTTTGACATTTTAAATTGTGTTTTTAAGATGTTTTTTCTTATTTCATTTGACATTGCTAATGTTTTTTTAACATTCTTAATTGTGTTTTTGATATTTCAAATTCTGCTTTGACATTCTTAATTGTGTTTTTTATATTCTAAAATGTAATTTGACATTCTAAATTGTGTTTTAAGATACATTATTTTGTTTTACCTTCTAAATAGACTTTTTAACTTACTTAATTTAGCCTTTGACATTCTTATAGTGTTTTTAATTTTTTAAATTGTGTGTTTTAATGTTCTAAATGTATTTTCGATTTTTAAATATGCATTTAACACTCAACATTGTGTTTTTAAAACTCTAAAGTATGTTTTACAAATGTAAAATTAAACATGTCTTTGACAAATGACAAACACTTGTAACTGTTAAAAATTCATCTTTAGAAGTAAACATGTTGGATTTAGAATGTGAAAAACACAATTTGAAATATTAAATGTTAAATAAAACACAATTTAGAATGTCAAAAACACACTTAAAAAATTTAAAATATAATTTAAAAAAACACTCATTTATAATGTTATAAATGAGTTTTTTTAAATTATATTTTAAATTTTTTAAGTGTGTTTTTTGACATTCTAAATTGTGTTTTATTTAACATTTAATATTTCAAATTGTGTTTTTCACATTCTAAATCCAACATGTTTACTTCTAAAGATGAATTTTTAACAGTTACAAGTGTTTTTTTATTTTTAATTTTCACTATTTTAATTGTGTTTTTAATTTTAAAAATGTTTTTCCTTTTTTGAAAATTTATTAAAATCAATTGTGTTTTTTAGATTGTTTTTATCCTTCTTAATTGTGTTTTTAATTTTTAATTGCATTTTTGACATTCTTAATTGTGTTTTTTATATTATAAAATGTATTTTGACATTCTAAATTGTGTTTTAAGATACCCTATTTTATTTACTTTTTAAAATAGAAATTTTTAACATTCTTAATTTTGTCGTGACATTTATATGGCGTTTTTATCTTTCTAAATTGTGTTTTTAATGTTCTTAATGCATTTTCCATTTTTAAATATGCATTTTTTGATATTCTGAAATATTTTTACGAAATGTAAAATTTTAATTTTTTAAGTGTGTTTTTAAAATTATAAATTGTGTTTTTATCATTTTAATATCTAAATCCAAATGTTATTTTTTGGATTCTTTAATATGATTTTGAAACGATTTTGTTGTTTATTTTTGAGATGGTGTTTTAATACTCCAAAATGTGTTTTGCTATAAATATGTTTTTGACATTTTTAAATTGTGTTTTTAGGATACTCTAATATGTTTTTCCTGAACTAATTTGACATTATAATGTGTTTTTCACATTCTCAATTGTGTTTTTGATATTCCAAATTGTGTTTTGACATTTTTATGATCATTTTGACAAAAAAACACCAATATTTGTCCTAAAAAATAAAACAAAATATTTTTTTAAATATCAGCGAAATTTTCTTACGAGAGACACCCGGAATATTTAATTTAACATACTTGCACGTTGGTACGAGATTCGTCCTCACAAATCCGCATCCGCAAGCTTTCGAATCTCCGCAAAGTCCCATAGCGACCCTCGTCACCAGCCTGTGCAACCCCCATGGCCTCCCCCTACGGCAGAAATTTCGAAGTAATCGTCTTTTTTTCAATTTTTTCGGGAACTCCGCCAACTTGATCCCGCGAAACTTGGCCATCAGCTGCGGCGTCTGATTCAGCGGGTATACCGGCAGGGGTGGCCCTGGAAAACAAAGGAACCGATGTTTCGACGGTCGGGGCCCCCCAAAAGGGGCACGTTGACCAGTTGGGGGTCCATGTGGGTGTTCTTCGACACCAAAATGTTTGATTTTATCTGGAAGAAAGTTATATACAAATTTATTGAAAAATTCGGCTTTTTTCCCAAAAAAAAAGTGTTTATAGAAGGAAATGTTTATAAAGGGTCATTCCATGACAAACGATACAAATATGTTCTTTTCGCATTAAATCTGATGAATTTAAAAAAAAAACATTCCAAATTATAATGTGCGGCAAAAAAAACTAGAAGAAACCGTTTTGCCACGTTGTGATTTGAGATTATTTATCGGAGTATTGGTGGATTGCGTCATTGCACTAATTTTAAAATTTAGATAAAACAACTAAAAAACGTAGAAAATAAGGCATTTTAGTTGCTAAATTGTTATTTCAAAATGCATAAAAATTTAGACTTTGGTTGACGAATGTAACACCCGAAACGATGGAATGGCCCAGAGGCAAAAAGTCTACATCAACAGACCACAAAAACCAACGAACATTACCTCTGCAAAACCTGCTGATCCAATGATTCTAGCGGGATTATACCAAGCTGTTTTCTTGAAAAACCTCCTCAAACTATAGGCATGCAGACGGATACAGGCCTTACAGGCGACCACCAAGATGGATTTGGGGGCGTATTTGGTGCAGGCTCTAGCATACTCCACAACTCTTTCCCCCTCAGCCTTCACGAATTCATTTATACTCATATAGGGGTTATTCAGAGCTTCCCCAAGCATTACAATAACATCTGCACCTCTTATGGCCCTCTTAATATTGCAATCATCGTATTCATAGGCTTGTACCCTACATTTTGTATCCATGAAGTTCAAATCAAACGCTAGTGCTTCAGCATTTTGCCCGAATATACGCAAATCCGATACAATTTGGTTCTGCTTCAACATCAAAGTTAAAAAACGACCTATGGGCGACGATGAGCCTAATACAGGCCACTTGCACGTGGGTTTTCAGATGAGTAGAGCCTTCTTAGTGCTAAAATGTAAACGAATTAATACACGGTACATCGAAATATTTCGGAAAAAGTACGTCTTATGAGCTGAACTGAATGATATATGTTCATCATGACTGAAATTTTGACTTGAGGTTATGATGCTGTCAAAATGACAGGTGGCATATAAAATGTCGCATAGAGCGTAATCTATTTAGTGCACACTGAAAATTTCATCAAAATCGTCCAAATATTAACTAAAACTACAGGGTTATGAAAAATTATTGTCCAAAATTTGCAAAAATGGTGGATGCTCTGTACAGTTGGTTTAGTTTTGGTAATTTGGTAACTACAGGTTGTTATGTAATTAATGTAGGGCCCATAAAGAAGCACCTGAAACCTTTTTATTTCTAAATTCTAAAGTCTAAAAACAATTTATAATAACCTTTACCATACCAAAAAAGTACGCCACTGATCGACTAGGAACTTTAGGCTAATCTAGTTGCCTAATTTAATTTATTATGTTATGGTTGGTAACAACCAGCGTTTCCAAATTCTGTCAAAAAAGTTGCCAGATTTTGTTTAAATTTGGCTTTATTACAAAACGACAAAATCAACAATGAAAATTGTTAATTGGCGTTTTTATTAATTGTTAATTATGTCATTTGTGTAATATTACCTACCATATGGTAGGTAAATTCAAACAAAATCTGGCAACTATTACAGAATCTAGTGCATTTCTTTCAAATTTTAGGTTATGGGCCCAAATTGTAAATATCTTAACTAAGAGAAGTACTTTTGGATTTATTTACCACAAATTGAATGTTTAAAGTTTAACCTGTGAACTTGTCCTAATTTCATCTGAGTACCTAAACAAAAAAAAACAATGAAAAAAATAATTTTGTGGTTATGGAGTTGTTTTTTAATAATTTACAATAACACCGATATCTTAAGGGCAAATGTAATAAAACTTTCAGGGTATACCAAAGAAAATACACTCTTTCTGACAGTATAAACAATTTTTGTGACTTGTGCTGTTTCTACAAGCAACACCACAAAACGTGAATAGTTGCGTGCTTTTTTCGCCATAAATCTCGTAAATTTGCACTTAACACAATCCCAGTGTTGTTCTAAGTACACAGACAATTCACGACATCCCTAAACGTTTATTGACTTTGTTAAAATCGCGTAAATCGTCGTTTGATTCCAGTTTATAGTGTTTGGTGTTAGGCGATTGATTTGCTGCTGAAATATGTTTTTGTCTGAAATGGGTATGAAAAAATTGCGTCCCGGCCTTGACCAACAAAATTATCGATTAGGCAATGTTCGAAAACACTGTTTTGCATGTTTTTAGTGGGTTTATTAAATGAAATTCACAGCAAATATTTAACAGTATACTTTATAAAATATAATACCTATAACAAAAAATAATAATAAAATACAATACCTATAACAAAAATATCACAAAATGTTGGTTTTTGAATTGCGGGGTTAATTTACGAAGGGTCTCGACTGCTCTTCATTTGTTTTTGAGTACGGGGAACTTTGTTTTGTCAGCAGGAAAAACTGCCCATGTTGATTTGCTAAAAAAAAAATTCTATAGTCTACTCTTTGAAATAACGAAAACATTTCTTTTTTATATATTTTTTATATTAATATTATGATGTTTGCTCTTTATATCCTTTACCGATGATTTTATCTGCCGCTGCAGTTTTTTGCTTGGATGAATAATATCATTGTTTTTTAGAGGTAAACAACAATATTGTTTTTGATGATATATAGTATAAGGTCAGTGACGTCCAGTGGCTCCCTGGGTTTGTTCAAAAAAATGTCATAATTTATTGGGTGATATAAAGTCCTGTAACTACTTAATTTAACTATAAAACTCACTTATTATCCCAAAACCCATATGGGAATCCATGTGGAATTCACATCTTTTAGTCTGGCCCCTCCAACTTGGACATCTTGTGGATGGAAACGCTTCTGGTTTCTTACCGACTCAGCGTAAAGTTTCCAGGCCCTTACATGACTACATGCCACTAAAATATATAAAAACATCGAATAAAGACTATATTAAATTAATTATGTACTTACAAACTTTATCAATCAACCGTTGCTGTACCAAATAACTAGGTTGACATCCTGGTTGTAACGCTCTACCCCCATTGGGGTAGAAATCAGCATGCCCCACATTTAAAGGAAACCCAAATATACCCCCGTCAGTGTGTATGACATCCACATATTCAGCATCGTTCTGCGAAAGCCTTTTTGAACGATCTAAAACGAAACAAGATTAATCTACAAAATCTACAATCATCTTTAACCGCACCGTTTAAAGAAATGTCTGGAAATGCTGGATCAAGAGCTGTGATCCTCGGCAGCTTCATTTTACGTTTGATTAGAAGCTTACCAGTATGCCCAGCTACATGAGAACCCAAGCTAAACCCTATCACATGTAATTTTTCTATCGACATCTCTCCTGTTTTGTTAAATGTTGCTATGAATTCCTGTATAAGTGTTTGCAACCAGTTTGATATTTTCCACAGCAGTTCTGTAACCACGGAAAAGCCCCCAAGTCTGACCAATCGATCAAAACAATATTATAGGGTTCTTCTCTGCTAAAATATGCTGCAAACCAACTCAATAAAATCAGCTGCATTGTACTAAAAACCTACTCACCATCCATAATAGTTTTTTCCACTTTCACCCGGCGATGGCTCAGTAAACCCATGTATAAAAATAACCGTAGTCACGTTAGGATCCACTCCAGCCCTTTCAGCTGCCCCAGCTTCATTATAGGGCTCTATCGGAACGCCGCTTCTATTTTGTTTACTATAGAAAACAAACCGCACATCTCTATCCATCTTCAGAGGGCAGCAACTTGAACAAAAACCCTTCGGTAGAAAACCAATTTTTAACGCATTCTCCCCTGGAAAAATTAAAACACTTAGGTACTCATGCAAATTAACCACGTAGAGCCCAACGGCCACATAAAATTCCCAGACGAAACAAGAATAAAAAGATTCATTACGCCCCTTGAAACGTCGATAGTCGTAAACCGTAAAAATACCGCTTACATTAATCAGGAAGGCTCTAAAATTGCCTATTCCGGCATAAACCGTACAAGCCGTAAATTTCAAAAGTGATTTCGTTGAGAGCGTGTTTGCATTAGTATACCCTGCAATTTTTGTTGCGATCGGACGGTTAATAAAGAAGTTACGCAGCTTCAGAAGCTAAATTGGAAGCTGCGTAACTTTTTTGTTTGTGGAGGTATTTTCGCGAAATTTGGTGGGTTTACTAAATTGAGTGTTCTCTTTTTAATAGACTCCATAGATTTAACGTATTTTTAATGTAAGGGCTCTTATACTGCTTAAAAGAGCATAATTTATCAATTTTAAACCGATTTTGTAAAGATTACGCTCACATTAGTACACTTGAGATTAGACGGTTAATAAAGTTAATGCAGCTGAGTTTGAAGCTGCAAAACTTTTGTGTTTGTGGAGGCATTTTGGGTAAAATTTAAAGATTAACTAGTTAAAATGTGATATTTTGAACGGACGTTCCTGATTTAATATATTTTGTATAGTTTTAAAGTAAATGATTCAATAATGCATAAACAACATAATTCATGAATTCTAAAAGTTATTTCTTAAAGACCTTGTACACCCTGCAAATTTAGTAGAAATCGGACGGCTAATAAAGAAGTTACGCAGCTTCGAAGCTAAATTAGAAGCTGCGTCACTTTTTTGTTTGTGGCGGTATTTTTGTGAAAATTGGTATCTTTGCTAATTTGAGTGTGCTCTTTCTGATAGACTTTACAAATTTAATGTAGGACGTATAGGTTTTATTTTATTTGCTGGATTTTTGTGTTTATAAGGTATTTCAACGGGTTTCGTGTAACAATCTGATAAGTAAATGATAATTAAATAACTTACAAGTGAAATTACACCTGTTGAGTGTAAGCCAACAATAGAAAAGTATTTAATCCAATAAAGCTTATAAACGCGTACAAATAAAGCTTGAAAGCATTAAATATTAAATTGACTTAAAGATTTAAAACGCTGGGTCAAACCAAAAGCAATCTTATATTTTTTTCATAAAATTCACGTAGTCTGGAATACAAATATAAACTTTTGCCTTTTGGGCTTATTTATGTGACATATACAAAAGGTAAAGGTCTCCAGCGAGTCAAAGGTTATATTTTACCAGGCAGAGTAAAGGTTAATAAAGTGTACACCTAAGAGGTATATTTTAGATGGGAATCAATATAAATGGGCGAAGTTAATAGTAAAACTTGTTTATTGTTGTTGAAAAAAGCTTCAAAGGAGATTGAAGCTGCGTAACTTTTTAATTTCTGGTTGTATTTAAATTCTGATTTGGTTTCTATTAAGGTCATTCATTACAAAAAGTTATATTACAATGTTTTTTTATGGTTTAAAACGGCTTACATAAATCATAAAACCGAATATTTTATTGAAAGAGAAATGGTGATTTCATTAAGTGCCGGTGATAAAACAAACCCTGTGGATGAATAAAATTGAAAACTGCACAAAAAGTAATATTTACCGAACGGTTGGAATCTGGCTTGACAATTATCATCATTTATGATCAAATTTAAACTGCTGTTAACAATTAAATTCCAGTGGGTCTTCATTGAAAGGAATGGCGAGCAAAAAACTTGCAAAATTAAATGTTTGCTCGAATAAATTCATAATGTTTTGAATGATTCGATGGAACTGATGTTAATTTTGCTTTTATATATAGTTAATGTATTCTTTTTTGTTTTAATGATGCAATTTTAACATTGAAACGCTTTTATTAATTAACATATGTTTAGTTTAGATCTAAACTTTAGATGTTCAGGAACAAAATATACGGGGTGTCACCAGATCCTTTATTGTGGTTTCCATAAATATTATCTTTCAAATTATAAAACCTAAATTTCTTAATTTGGTTACATAAATATTTATATCACTCTTATATACCCCTTAAATAGCTTATTTGGGCGGTTTATGAAAACTAGATGGCAATTTTATAAAACCTTGTTAAACTCTTATATAACTTATATAATTTATCGTTACCCTTAAGTAGTACAAATTGTTTATTGGGTATTGACGCACTTACAATAAAATCTCTTATTATAATTTGAAAAAATTAATTTCTTGAAACTAACTCACCAAAATGAAACAAAAGAGGTCTACAAGACCCCATTCCGGCCCTTTGTAGAAGATCTATGGCGTTTAAGGGCATCATTGTTTTCCCTAACATATTTTCAACGTAAGTGTTATCACTGAGTGGTAAGCTGAACAAATTTAAAACCAACCCGAATATATGGTTGAGGAGCTTCATTTTAGTCACATTTATTTGTTGTTGTTGACAACATGCGAGTTGACACGAAACTAATTTTTCACTATTACACAGCAATTCCGTTTGATGTACCGGTAATGTTGTTTTAAATTCGACATTTACAATAATGCTGAAAATATGACGGAAAATTACAAAAGAATTTATGTGCATAATATCTTTAAAAAATAAATTACTTTTTGATAGGGGTACAACAAGGTTGCATGATGAAATTCCCGAAAATCGATTTTTGTTCAACAAAATTAAGTTTATAATAATAAAAATTACCTTGAATATTAATAACATTAATTTTGTACGACATTGAAAATCTCTATAATTATTTTGCTTGGTTTTAAGAAAATAAAAAATAACAAACAAGTCTATTTTACTCTTCACCCCTTAAACCATCTCTATGCAAATATTACGTCAATCCGTCTCTTCATTGCTGCCTAAAAGGCTTTAAAATAACCTAACAAAAGAAACAAATTGGCGCCCACTTGTTTTAAATCGTTACAACTTTAAAACTAGCCAAGATAGAATATTGGGGGTTTACAGAGTTAAGTAAGAGTAATATTGTCACCAAATTTTAAGGTTGCACAACTATTTTTAGAGTTATAGAACATCAAAATTTGAACACTTACAGGATATGGTATGGGCATTTAATATTACCTTGAAATCTTGAATTAATTTGATTTACAATTTTAATTGTATACATTTCTTTAATGTTGTAATTAAATAATAGGCGAAATATTAATATAATTATAATGTCAAGAATTATTACAAAACACTTATAATTCCTGTTATTTTTTCATTAATTGTTTTGCATTTCATCGTATTGCAACCCAATATAATAAAAGTGTAATTAGCCATACCTAATAATATATAACACCTTGACCCCCACAAAATGTGAAAAAAAACAGTTAAAAATAGAAAGTGGGAAAGTTGGCATTTCCTTTAGGTACTTGTTGAAATTATATAGACCATAAACAAAATGAGTTTTGTGTTGCTATTTTTTGCTAGTAAAATAAAATGTAATTTAAAATGTTTTCATTCCCAACTACCACAACTGGTTACATACGAATAGTTATTTTTATAGACATATTTTGTTAAGTTTAACTTTTGATATTACTTTTTGATAAATTAATTAAGTTAATTTTACCATAATTAAATTCCCCACTTAAAATAAAATAACGTTAATTTAAATGAATTAAGCATGCATAAAGTAAATTTAACGTTTGGTTTTTGAGAAAACCCCAATTAACCATTTCCAAAAGCTCGCTAAAAGCAAAATATTAATGTAAAATGAGCCTAATCAATATTAAATTTGCTTTTCGAAAATTAAATTAAAATCATGCCGATGTTAAACTAACTATAAAACTTGTTTTCCAGGATAAACTACTGAATAAGCTTGAAGAAAGTGAGCCTGAATTAGCAACGACCCAGGAAGAAGAAGTAAGTACAATTTTTTTTTTAATTTTTGTTTTTAATTTTATGTATATTAATTTATAAAAATATTTTGATTGTACACGGGGCGTCCGTTATTTCCCAATATGTTTTTTACTACAAAATTATTTGTTTTCAGTTCAAAAATAATATTTTATTAATAATATGTCGTTTGATGACAAAAGAAAATATTCATCTCGCTAATTAATAGATACAACATATAGAAGACATATTTTTTAGGAAAACAAAATAACTTGGGAAATAATGGAGACCCTCAAATTTTTTATAAAAAAACTCATTAAACTGGGTATACTAATAACATCAGAGGGGTTAGAAAGAGGCCATTTTGTTTAGTGTATCCTTAAAATTTCATGAAAATCGCACAAAAATTGTAAAAGTTACAGCAATTTTAGGATTTCAAAAGTTGGGCGCCAAATTGTTAAATTCGTAACTCGGCTATTTCAAAAGCGATTTTAGTGACATTTTTAAGGTATACTGATGAAATAAGAGGGGTTAGAAAGAGGTCATTTTGTTTAGCGTACCCTTAAAATTTCAAGAAAATCGTACAAAAATTGTAAAAGTTACATCGATTTTAAGATTTCAAAAGTTGGGCGCCAAATTATAAAATTCGTGACTCGGCTATTTCAAAAGTGATTTTGGTGACATTTTCAGGGTATATTGAATAAATCAGAGGGGTTAGAAAAAGGCCATTTTGTTTAGTGTACCCTTAAAATTTCATGAAAATCGCACAAAAATTGTAAAAGTTACAGCGATTTTAAGATTTAAAAAGTTGGGCGCCAAATTGTAAAATTCGTAACTCGGCTATTTCAAAAGCGATTTTAGTGACATTTTCAGGGTATACTGATGAAATTAGACATATTTAAAAAAAATAACTTGGGAAATAATGAATGAGGTATACAAATCTTGCAAATTTCAGTGCGTTATCTGCATCAACGCCAAGGCCACCATGCAGACCTCACCGTGCGGTCATCAAGTCGTCTGCAGAAAATGTTTCGTGAAAACAATTCAGATCGCCGTATCTCAAAGACTACTCCCGTTGAGATGTGTTATATGCAGAGCCAAGATTTTAAGACTCAAGGTAAAATATCTTGCGACATATAAGCGTTAACCTTAAAATTTGGACACATTGTAAATGTTAATCGTGTTTATATGTGGTCCAAATTTTAGCACTGTAACTCCATTGGTTTGGTGGTTATAGAGTAAATAGAGATAAAGTGTTGGGGTGTTATAACATTAAAAATAGTGGTGCTATAACCTTGAAATTTGGTGTCAGTATAACTCTTAAGTAACTCTATGAACCCTCCAAATTTGAACGTTTTAGCTGCACCGGTTTCAAAGTTATCGCGATTTACAAAAGGTTGGGCGCCAATTTGTTTCAGACAGGTCCGATTCTGCCGACCTCTGCAAGCGGTTACTCGGTAAACTCCCGGGCTTCGTCGGTGCCGCAGTCGGACAGCTTGTACAGCGTGAGCAGCGGCGGCTCGTCGATATCCTCGACCTCGTGTTCGTCCGAGGGCGCCAAAGCCAACGGGGCGTGCTGCAACGGGCACTGCCTGGGTGCTTATCCGCGACAGCCCGTCACGGGGGCTATACGACGGTCGCAGCAGCACGCGATGAAGATGAGGCTGCAAGAGTACTGTCGCGCCGAAAAAAATCACGTCAATCGTCTGCCGCCAATAAGGGAGTTGCCCGGGGCGAGCCCCCTACATAACCCCCCACCATCCACAAGAATAAGGTATGTTTAATGCGGTGGGCGCCATTTTGTTACTTTGTTGTTTGTGAGCAAATTTCGATGAAATCAGAGGAGGCCATTTTGTTTAGTGTCCCCTTAAAATTTCATGAAAATCGCACAAAAATTGTAGGAGTTGCAGCGATTTTAAGATTTCAAAAGTCGGGCGCCAAATTGTAAAATTCGTAACTCGGCTATTTCAAAAGCGATTTTAGTGACATTTTCAGGGTATACTGATGAAATAAGAGGGGTTAGAAAGAGGCCATTTTGATTAGTGTACCCTTAAAATTTTATGAAAATCGCACAAAAATTGTAAAAGTTACAGCGATTTTACGATGTCAAAAGTTGGGCGCCAATTTGCAAAATTCGTAACTCGGCTATTTCAAAAGCGATTTTAGTGAAATTTTCAGGGTATCCTGATGAAATCAGAGGGGTTCAAAAAGGCCATTTTGTTTAGTGCATCCTTAAAATTTCATGAAAATCGCACAAAAGTTGTAAAAGATACAGCGATTTTAAGATTTCAAAAGTTGGGCGCCAAATTGTAAAATTCAGCTATTTCAAAAGCGATTTTAGTGACATTTTCAGGGTATACTGATGAAATTAGAGGGGTTAGAAAAAGGCCACTTTGTTTAGTGTACCCTTAAAATTTCATGAAGATCGCACAAAAATTGTAAAAGTTACAGCGATTTTAAGATTTCAAAATTCGGGCGCCAAACTGTAAAACTCGTAACTCGGCTATTCCAAAAGCGATTTAAGTGACATTTTAAGGGTATACTCGGTAAAACGCGCTGGTTTTGGAGATGTTAATAAAACTTGTTTCAGATGCGCACAAAAAATCCTGACGCAGTTAGAATCAGGGCCCCTTTTAGGGGGCAAAAACTACAAATACGAAAAGTTGCCCCAGAGCGACGAAGAGGACCGTGCGGAAGACCCGTCGAAGTCGAGGGATAAAAAGTGGTGGTGTGACAGGAAATGGAACGAGAAAGCAAAAAGTGAAGAACGCATAGACAACAAGAAAAACGAGATAGTTGAGAAGCAGTTGGAATTGAAAGAAAAACAAAAAATAATGGATAACAAAAAGAAGGATAAAGGGAAAAATGATAATAAATCCAGCACAAAAGAGTGTGAAACCAAAATATAATCAAAAATTAAATAAAAACCTCACAGTTTATAAAAGCAATAAAGAGCAACAGGTCATTTACATAGCATTGTCAATTATATGTCAATAAATCAAAACAATATCAAAAAAAATTGTGAGGTAACTAAAAACAATCTTAAATCTTTTAAAACTATTTAAGACAGAATTTTAAACTTCTTAATCAACCCTGGTAAAACAATTTATATAAAGCTGATTTTTTTTTGCTTTTTAAATTCTTTAAATTTTTTACAATGACTCAAATTGATTGATTTAATTTAAATCGTCTTCCAAACACTGCCATTTTTTTGCACATATTTTTTTCGTTGAAAAAATAAAAATAAATCTTCCCGTATATTTGGCATGTATAAATTTTAACAATAAGTTCCTAAAACATGGAATTTTGCAATAATTGTTTGATATGTGCCAACTTTTAAAAACCAGGGCTACCACGTTTTAAAAAACTAATTTAGAGAGTCTGACATGTTTAATATCTTTAATCTTTAGTCCCTGTATATTTGTTTTACAAAAGCGTTTTATTTTTTTAAATATAATATATTATTGAGTTTACAAGTTTTTTATTTTTGGGTTTTCGAAAAGTTATTCCTGTTAAAAAGTTTTAATCGTCGAGAAAATAACATTGGCATAAAAAAAATTGTCATTTTGTCTACAGGGTTTTCAAAAATCAAGAAAAAATTGAAATCGAATCAAGTGTAGTACCTTTATTTCTATTTTTTTGAAAATTTGTAAGGGAAAAAGTTTTTTGTATTTAAAAAAGAAGTCTGAATAAAAAAATTACAAAGTTGATTTTGCTTTGTTTTTCCATTATCGATTTTATTATTATTTTTGATTTTTTCGAAGAAAAGTCACTCTTGATGACATGACATGACAAAAAATGACATCAAGTGGTAACATTTTATATTTTATCTACAGGGTGTTTAAAAAAATAAACACCCTTCGATAAAAAAATTATATGTAGTAAATTATAAAGCCAAAAACAAAAAATATACAGGGACGCAAATCTTTACCTACTTTAATACACTGCAAAAAATAAATTTGCTTTATTTTTTACAGTGTATACCTAGTGATTGATGTTTATATAGTCAATTAAAATTTTAGGGTTTTCATAACTTGTTGGAATTTCGCTACATACATATGTTACTATACAATCTAACAAAATTGTTTGTTTTTTAACTTAAAAAAACGCTTCTAAAGCAGTTAATAATTAACCTATCAAACCCGATCCAAAGAACACTCTGTATATGATGATTTTAATAAATAGAATATAGAAAACATATCTAAAATAAAATAAAATAGTAGTTCAACGTTTATGGGGAAAAATACAATAATATGATTAAATACAACAATTATACACAGAGTGTTTGTCAAAAAATGGGCAATAACAAGAATATACAGAGTAGTTTAGGCTTTGTAAAAAATAGAATTTTAGTTTTGTAAAAATAAGCTGTGTTGTCAAGTTTTGTGTAGATAGAAAGTTGTCACAATGTAAAAATTTTTATTTAGTTTTTGACAACATTTTTTTATTGTTTTTTTAATAGAAATAAATATTAGAAAAAATGTTTTTTTTATTAAAATACCTATAACCTCTAAACGTTTAACAAGAATAACTGTATAATTAATGATTTATCAGGTATTCAAATAAATACTACTTATACTAACCAGTCTGCGGTTCAGTTAACAACAAGTGATTTTTTTTCATTTCATCTGTAATGAAACTTGCTTGAAAAATTTAACATGTTTAAATCTGCAAATCTTCTTAAGTGATATATTTTAGTGAAAATGTTTAAAATTTAACGTAAATATGAAAAAATACGCTTTTATAATAACTGTATTAAGTATTGCGGAAGTTCTGGCTGAAGGTAAGCGTCTTTTATTAACAATTAATAAATGCATTCTAAAACCTGGAAAATAATGCTATTTTTGTAATATGACCTCAAATTAATCGAAAAAAACACCCCACACGATACCCAAAAAATATATTTAAAAAAAAAATATTTTCTTAAAAAAAAATATTCTCTTAAAAGAAATGAAAATCAACAAAAGAGAACTATACTTCTTCCACTAAGAATTTTTTTCTTAAAGCAATAAATGCTCTTTTATGCTAACATATTCTTTCTTGTTACTAATAATTTTAGTTTAAGGGCTTTTTCAGTGTACTTACATACGAGGTGTGTTCAGAAAATAACGGGAATTGTTAAATTTCGCGGGTTCGGAGGGTCCGGTTGTCATAAAATTTTCTTTATTATGTTGGTATACATGCCCCCGAAGTATGATAAAAACTTTAGCTGTTTTCATTGTTTACTTTGTCTGTGACATCCGCTAAGGTTAGACGTATTTTATGAGCTCGGCGATTTTTCGTTCGTTAAAAGAAATGGATCAAAGAATTTGTATCCAAGTTTGCTTAAAAAATGAAACAAATTCTGTGAAATGTTAACAAAGGCCTATAGTGAGTTTGCTATAAGTAAAACAAGAGTTTACAAGTGGTATAAGAGTTTCCAAGATGGCCGTGAAGACGTTGAAGATGACGAACGCCCTGAACGCACAAGCACATTAACAACCGATAAAAACATGGAAAAAGTGGAAGAAATGGATATAAACCATTAGAGAAGTCGCTGATGATGTTGGTATATCGATTGGCTCAGCCCATGAAATTTTTTCGAATGTTTTGGGTATGAAACGCGTGGCAGCAAAATTTGTTCTAAAATTGTTAAATTTACAAAATTTTTGGCCAAAAACAATACTGTAATGATGCCCCATCCTCCATATTCGTCATATTCGCCAGACATGCCTCTGTCTGACTTTTTCCTATCCCCAAAAATAAAGAGAACCTTAAAGGGCCGTCGTTTTGCAAGCATAGATGACATTAAAAGCGCATCGCTGAAAGAACTAAAGGCTATCCCAAAGATCGAGTTTTAGAAGTGTATTGTATATAATATCCAATGGGGACTATTTTGAAGGCGACAACATTAATGTAGACGAATAAATACATATTTGTTTCAAACAACGAAAATTCTCGATATTTTCTGAACACACCTCTTATACCCTATTCACAATCCAAATGGGAATTGATTTAGTGGCAAAACTGAAACCAACATCAAAAATAACATTATATTCGTAATCTACGACCCTGAATTGGTCGAAAACGATACCCCACAATTGTGGGGCTTAAGCCCCCCAAAATACCACCTACACCACATTCACAAGTCGAAATTGTTTCAGATTTGGTCAAGTTGACGGACCTGGTCAAGTTGGCGAACCTGGACGCCCAGTGCGTAAGATGCATTTGTTACGCGGCCACTGGTTGCGATTTGACCAGGGGTTGCGTAGATGGCTACTGCGGTCCGTTTAAGATAAGCAAAATTTACTGGGTGGACGCTGGCGAGGAGCTGTTGCCCAACGATGAAAAAAAAAGACCGGAAGGTATAAATAATCGAGAAGTTAGCAAATTCAGTAAATTTCGTTGACATCGCTGTTAAATTCAAAAAATGAAGAGGGTGGGCGCCAATTTGGTTGATTTGTAACTTTCTTATTTATAGAGCGATTTTGGTGAAATTTTGTATATAAACTAAAAAAAATACGCTGATTTTGAAATGATACTCATTTCAGCATACGAAGACTGCGCGTTGTACTACAATTGCGCATACAGGTCTGCGGTGAATTATTTCACGAAATACGGTAAAGACTGCAACGAAGACGGTGTTACCAACTGTGTGGATTATGCCATGATACATTTCAATGGAGGTTGGCAATGCCAGCCCGCCCTTAACCGCACTAAGGCTGGTAAGGCTTATTTGGAAAGATATAGGTTATGTGACCCAGTTATTTAGGTTTATATCTAATAATAATAATACTACTAGCGCCTCTAAGTATAAGTGTCGCAAGTTGCCACCCACTTCCGCGGTTGCGGAAGTTCCGTGGTGGCGGAAGTTCCGCACTTGCATTTTTTTCATCTGGTTTAGCTTTTTTAGCAAATTTTTTGGAAATTGAGAGATTAACGATAAACCTGATCCAAAAAACCCTCTGTATATATATGATAATTAAGGAATAGTTTAAACTTTGTAAAAAATAGAATGTAGATGTACACCTAAATCGATATATCCACACGATGCTATAGCAAGTTGTCAAATTTTTGTATTATTTTTGTATCATAAATAAATATTAAAAAAATTAGTTTTTGTAATTTAAATACCTCTAACCTAACTTGTTTTAAGCGTTTGTTGGTAACAAACATAATAACACTATAATTAAGTAGGAACATCAGGTATTTATACTAACCAGTCTGCAGTTCGCGAACAGGTGATTTATTTTTATTTTTGTATCATTTAAGATGAAACTTGTTGTGAAAATTTAACAAATATAAATTTGCGAATCTTCTTAAAGTGTTTCTGTGATATTTGTTAGTGAAAATGTGCAAAATTTAACGTAAGAATGAAAAACTGCGCTTTAATAATTACTCTACTAGGCATTGCGGATGTTATATCTGAAGGTAAGCATCTTTTAATACCATTAATGCATTCTAAAATTTTATCGGTGCAAATTACGCCAAAAATAATGTTATTTTTGTAATCTATGGCCTCAAATTAGTCGAAAAAAACACCCCACACGATACCCAAAAAATACTCACATATGTGGGTCGTTTTCAAAAAACACCCGCCTTCCGCTGTCCGTAAGTTTGAATTACAATAACTTTGTTAAAAATTATCGGATCTCATTGATTTAAAAACCAAGTGAAAGCCTAACAACAAATTTTTGTTTAGTTATTTCAGAATATTTTTTTTGAAACTTGTGAAACACACATTTTCGCATGTCCCATTAGCGTTTTATAAAACAAACATACATGTTTTTTTATATATATTGAATAACCAGAACTTTGTGTTGCTTTATAGCAATCCATAACATCCTTAGTTAATACAGTAAACAATTTATATATAAAATAATTAATTTTTTTAAATTTGACTCATGTCCCAGACATTTTTTCCGTTGCGTTACGTCCGTCGCGTTACCGATAGAATATTAAAAAAACATATATATGGCAACTTTTTTGGTACTCACGTGATCAACAAATGATGTTCGGACGTACACATTACCCAGCTGAATTTATTTATTCAATCAGGAAGAAGATATCGGTTGAAACAGGTGCGGGTAACGCGAATGTAATAATTGTTTGTCCGCTAAGTTACTCAAAAAAATAATAAAAATAAGGTGAGAAAAAATACTATTTTTCATGTTTATGTTTATTTTAGGGCACTAAAGCTCATTGAGAGTAATTAATGACTATAATATCTTATTATTATTTTTTAAATATGGTTTTACAAAACTTTGTCCACCGAGTCCACTATGTTACCTTAGGGTAACGCAATGGAATTTATGGTAACGCAATATAATTTTTCGACAATAAATTGGATATTTACCGTCGCTTTTGTTAAAAGTAGTTTATGATTAACCAATTTAAAATTATTTGTAATTACAACTCATGATATAGATTACATCCAAGGAAAAAATCCACGCAATATAAAAGTACTAAAAGGGACCTTCACCAGCTTATAGTCAAAGAAAAAGGGTGTCTACAATTTAGAAATCTAAGTTGTTATTCTGCAAGTGAGCACCACTACAAGGGATTCTGTTTATGCATTACTCTAAAATCGTACCACCCTATATAGTTTCTTTTTTACGATATCTGATTAAGTCCTTTGTGTACCCCTGTCCGTTGTGATACCAATGTCTATTTCGTTACTTTTTTTAGTTTTTGTTAAAAAAATACTTAAAATGATTTTTATACACTATCACTTGGTAATACGTGTTTATAAATTAGAGTTTAATTCACTAATACAGTGACTAAAGCCCGCTGCACAACAGCCCGGTAACGCCCAGCTAACAAAATTGATTATGTAAGTGTTGTTAGAACTGCTATACAACACATATTATAGAAACGCTAAAATTGTATAATGCGTTTAAAAACTACTATACAGCACTTACTCAACCAAAAAGGGCCCCGTTTTATAAAACAGTTAACTTCGTTAGCAGTTATATAAATACACTACAAAACCCTTATAAAACTCAGTATCAGTATACTGGGGAACTGCTATACGATTATACTATAGCGGTTTTACTCTGCAGCTTAATTGCACTTTACGAATATTTATAGAATATTAAAACAAGCATTTTATAAGTATGTTATAATGCGACAGAATCGTTATAAGAACATCAATTTGTTTCCTTCTCTAGAAATTAGGAATGGAGTGGGAAATTTTTATCCTAAGACTATTTTATAATGCGAATTATGTTGGATGTCAAACGGCTAAGATCCAAAATGGTGCTTGTTGTTTATTATGTAAATATAATTATTAAACCTTTGAGATTTACGCTATCGAGGACAACATCTTCCTGCGGAGCAATCTTTTCTGACAATATATGTATATATTTTTAACGAAAAATTAAAGCGCCAGTTAACAAACATACCTACTAAAAATTATTTAAAAAAAAAAAATTAATTTTTTATTTGACAAAGTTTCATGTTTTTTAAGAATATTATTGTTTTATTTGTTCAGTTTATAATTGACTAGTCTTAAGATTACATTAATTTTTTTCAAGAAAATTCATTTTTAATTGACAGTTTTAACGTTTGTTGGTAAAATTCACACAATGGCGGCGATTTATAAACAATTCATCGGTCAATAAATATGGCGTTTTTGTTATAAAATGGTTTTGTCTTTATAAAAACGTTATACAATTTATCTGCTCTGTCGCGTGCGTTATACGATATTTAGGTTCTGTAAATTTGTTTAATACAGGCGCTATAAAAGTAAAGCAAGAAACTGACATTTGAGATGTTGCCAGATTTTATCTGTATTTTTCAAATTATTTGTTTTTTTTTTAGAATAAAATACTCATTTTTGGTGCAGTTAGGTACATCAAGTAAAATTTTATTTATCCTGCACGACGTTACCTTCATTTTTTATGCAAATAAGGATTTGTAGGTAACACTGCTGCCTAAAATAACAACCCTGTAAGTTCATTTTTCGTATTGGCTATAACGCCTTTGCCTACTGCGCAATAGAACAATAATATCGCTTAAGGTATGCATTGTACCGCACTATACAATTGTGTTCTGTTTTATCCACTTTTTAGCGGTACCTTCTTTATCTACATGTGACCTAACCTATTTTTATTTTTTTTAAAATGCCCACTTTTCTTAATTTTTTTCCATTGCGACTCCATTTTAAAAAAATACTTAACTTATTTTGGCGTAATAAGACACTAAATGTATAAACAGACTTAAGTAATAAAATTATAACGCAGAACTTGCGATAATTTTATTTTATAAACTTTCTATAAAGAAGTTAATCGGAGTAGTTATAGGATAATTATAAAATAACTTTATACTTATTGTGTAGTGTGTTTACTTCTGCTTAAAAAAACAATTTTTTAATGTATCTTATAGAGCTTCAATACAACTTTTATACAAATTCTATTACAACTATCATAAAACGTTGAAACTACAAGTATAAGAATAGGTATACAACTCTATTATAACTTTTATACAACTCTTTTAAAATAATTTTATAAGGGATTGTATAAAACGTTATACAATGGTTAAAAAATGTGTATGAGTTTGGTTCTATAACACGAGTTGTAAGAATATATATACAATAATGTATTAGAATTTCGTCGTTTTTACGATAAAATTATTGTATTAAGACGCATTAAACAATAAAAATGTTCTTTTTGCAGCTCTAGACGATAGTTATAAAACAATTCAGTTCTTTAAGGGATTTATTTTGCTAGTTGGGCGGGAACGGGAACGGGAAAGTAAACGGTAAAGGTGGGAGAGACTCAGCGAACCCTATCTATCAACAGTGGTTTTTTAGTCTCTCCCACCTTTATTGTTAGGATTCCCGTTCCCGTTCCCGTTACCGGGCTATTGTGCAGCGGGCTTAAAAGAAAATATTAATGGTATTGTTTTTTTAACAAAGAATCGGAATGGTTTCTTTTAAAAAGTAACTTAACGAACATACATATTTAAAAAAAGCATACAATTTTTAATAAAAAATAAAATAAAAAATTGGAGTCAAAAGTTTGTGAACTAAGTACATTTTATTTCAAATTATTTTTATAACAACTTTTTTTATTGAATAAAATGTTGGATTTCAAATTGGTAACACAGTGGAGATATATAAAGCTAGCTAAACACATTTTTCTGAAAAAAACGTAACTCTAAACATTTATAAAAATCCAACCAAAAGTCAATTTAAGCAAAAAAATATTTTCATCTTTATTTTCCTGAAAGCGGGTGTTTCTTGAAAATGACCCATGTATGTATACATACCCCATTCACAATCCAAATGGAAATTGCTTTAGTGGCAAAACCTATACTAACTTCAAAAATAACGTTATATTCGTAATCTACGACCCCGATTTACTCGAAAACGATACCGCACAAGGCACCCCTAAAATGACCACCTACACCACATTCACAAGTCGAAATTGTTTCAGATTTGGTCAAGTTGCCGAACCTGGACGCCCAGTGCATAAAGTGCCTCTGTTACGCCGCCACGGGCTGCGATCTGACCAGAGGTTGCGTCGAAGGCTACTGCGGACCTTTTAAAATCAGCAAAATTTACTGGATTGACGCTGACGAACAGGTGCTGCCGAACGACGAAAAAATAAGAGCCGGAGGTAAAAACTGATTTGATATTCAAACTGAGCGTAACGTGATTAGTAAACCCTGCAAATTTGGTTAAAATCGCAGCAAAATTAAGGGATTTAGTATTAGTGGGCGCCAATATGTTTAATTTGTAACTTTCTTATTTACTGGTCGATTTTAGTGAAATTTTAGGGCTATACTAAAAAAAATACGCTGATTTTAAAAACATTTACAGTTTTCTAAAATTATCAAAAAAAATGTCTGAAACTTACACAACATGTTGGTTTTTCATAATACAAATTTTGTATTAATTGCATTAAAATCATCGTCGTTTTTATAGTGAACCCTCAAAAAATTATTTAAATCGCAATAAAATTGAGGAAAAAACATCAATTTTCAACTGTTTTATTAATAAAGCGATCTTAATAAAATTTACAAGTAATAACCAAAAAATCATGCTGATTTTAAAAATGTCCCCTATTTCAGCCTACGAAGACTGCGCGTTGAACTACGACTGCGCCCTGAAGATAGTAATGAATTATTTCACGAAATACGGTAAAGACTGCAACGAAGACGGTGTTACCAACTGCGAAGATTATTCGATGATAAATTTCAATGGAGGTTGGCAATGCCAGCCCGCGATCAACCGCACTGACGCCGGCAAGGCTTGGTTGGAAAGATTCAGGTTATGTAGCTAGATTAGGTTTAGGTATAAAATCGCTTTATTACGGTTTTTTTGTTATAAATAGAACTTAAAATTAATAAAAAATCACACAAGTTATTTTAGTTTTGCTGTTGACCGCCTACGATGGCTTTGCATTCCCTGTATTGGGTACCAAAAGGTTCGGGCAGTTGGGTTCCTTTGCATCCGTATCCGCCATGTTTGTGGATCAGAGCAAAATCGTCACAATCGATTTTGTTGTCACCATTACAATCCTAAAAATAAAAAAAAGAACGTTCCTTCTTTATTTATGAACCGATTTCAACGATTTTTTTATTTTTTTTATAAAATCTAGTAACGTCATTTAAAAGAGCGTACTTTATTAAGTACACCCTGAAAATTTCATACAAATCCCTCCAGAAATACCAACGTAGTAACAAAAAAACAAAACTACCTGTTGGAATCTCTGCATATAACCTTGCACAGAGAGGGCAGCACAGTAGGTGTCTCCCGCGCAGTTGCTGTATGCGCCTGGGGCGTCAGGGGATTCGTTGTTTTTGGTTGGCTTGCCTGAGTCGGACCAGTACGCCCACGTGAGCCTAAAGGGTCCACACACGTCTCCGCCGCAGCTGCTGGTCGTGTTGCAACCTGAGGATGCGTGGCAGATGCAACCTAGGCATTGCTGGGTGACTGGGAGGTCCTCTTGACAGGTTATGGCTGAAAAAGGTTTGGAATCGTTAGCATAACCTCAAAGTTTAGCGAGCAATATTTAAAAAAACTACAACTTTAGTTTTTGGTCGTTTTTTTGTGATTTTTTTGTAATGAACTATATAAAAAGTACACTTTTGAATATTGTAAAAAAACTAATGCAAAATGCATTTTTTAAAACGGCGTAATAAATTTAGCATTTCCTTAAAATTTTATAAAATTTCTGTTGACATTGTAAAAGATACTTATTAATATTCGTACATCCTTATTTGGAATCCCAAGAATTATAATAATAATAATAATACCTACTAATGATTCATTTGTTTTCTCATAGGTATTTCCTAATTAAATATTTATTAATATAAATTACAAATACCAAATAAATCTTGTCTACGAATTCATGAATCCTTGACATTTTAATAAAGGATTATTTCATAGTTAGTTTACTATAGTACCTAGAGATAGTAGGTAACTACTAACTTAGTACATATGTAGTATATACTAGTTACTGGATTATTTGACTGTCATAGATTTATATAATATATTATATTATCTACCTACCTAAAGATAAAAAAAAATCTTTCTTGAAAAAGTTAACATTTATTCACTAATAACAATTACAAGGTGAAGGACCTTACATAAATTTAAACCCACGCCTATTTCAAGAACAAAAAACATGTATTGAATATAAAATATGCAAAATCTTTTGAATAATAATATTATTGTATAAAATAATTTAAGTAATGAGTAGAGAGCCTAAGCTGAACATTGTTCATTAAAAATGACAAAATAACAATAATAATTATTAAAATAAAGAGTACGACAAAATTGTTGATCAAAATATAGTTTTTGCATGGTTTTTGAGTTATAAGATTTTAACAATTGAATTTTTATTTATTATTTGAATGTTTTAGACTTATAATTTATATAAAACAGTCGATAAAGTTTTAATAGTAGGTATATTAACAAGTTTTATATATAAATAGCATTTTAGTTTTATTAGACACGAGCGAAGCTTGCAAGCAAGTGTTTAATAAGAACGAGTGTTTAGAGAAGTTAATAAAACGAGTTGCATATATACTTTATCTACGACGAACAGAAGAATTTAAATCAATTTTTATTGTTAAACATTTGACATCTGTCAAATGTCAACGTATTTAACCTCACTTTTCCCAAATTTATAAAAAGCCAACTTCAGCTTGTGACTAAAATGCCCAAAATCCACTATTGCTAACTTCATCCCGTGACTAAAACGCCATAAAGTCACAGCTTGTCAATGTAGAAGTAGACAAAAATAACTATTTGTTAACAAGGGAATTTATTTGTTTAAACAAACTTTTAGAAAATACATCTGTCAACGTCAGCTATGGTATTTTTTTAGCAACCGTTTTAGATTGTGTAATATTTCAGCTTCTCAGCGTTGCCATGTTTTTAAACTTAAATTCTTAAAAATATTGACTGTAATTTTTTTGTACTTAACGCATTTATTTTTGTGATATAACAAAAAAATTATAAAATTACGTAATTATTCATTGAAATCGCGTGCAAAATTATTATTTGCGATTATTCCAACCTTGGATGGGACTTTTTAAGAAATCTGATGAGATCATAATACATAAACAACTTAATTTCTAGAAATCCGTAAAATCAAAAAAAATCTCAAAAATATATCTCACCTGTGATGCCAAATATCACCAAAACAACAACAGCACTTAAATACATTTTAAACGAAAAATATAAAAAATCAAAAATTCTTCCAATGCAACTCGCGCGAGCTTTAAATATCGACTACCTGCTGTAGAACGACTTGACCCCTTATTTAACTCGAATCTTTGCGGATTAAGGATCTTCAATCGCGATTTGTTGTCAAATAAAAAAGGAAAAACCAGTTTTACTGTATTCAATAATTTATTAAACATGACCCCGACAGACAAATAAATGACTCACACCGGACTCACGCAATGAAACCTTTAAAATTTTCGTAAATATGAAATTTCAGTCTTTAAATCATCCTTACAAAATAATCCAATCAATTTTAACACTTAAAAACGATTTTGAATTTTTTTAAATCACGCGCCGTTCGTCTTTGTGGATTTTTCGGTTCTACCGTTGGTAGCGCTTTGTCACTAAACGCCGTTAAGTGACGTTTGTGCCGTAAATAGTTGAAAATTGTGGGAAATGTTCAAAAATTAGTGAAAATCAACGGAAAACGGCGGATAAAACGTTTTAAAAATAATTTAAAGGTTTTGGGTGACATTTTTGAACCTTAAAAAAGGCAAAATGTCCGATTTTATCCAATCTGAGGCCGAGGAGAGCGAGGTGAGTAAATATGTGTTTTAATACACTTTTTTGAATATTTTTAGTGTTGTTTAATGTTATTCAGTGTTTTTACATAATTAAAATCGTTAATTTAAAGGTTATTGTGATTATTTTGATGTTCCACATGACTTAACCTCAATTTTTCAGGATGAAGACTTGACAACTCATGAGCGCAAAAAGCTCAAGAAAGTCAAGGCAATGGATAGTTCCGAGGAGGAAGACGGTAAAAAACGAACTAAAAACACAATAACACCATAAAATCACCAATTTTTGCTTGTAGATGATGATGATCGGCTCAGAGAAGACCTGAAAGATTTAATTGATGATAGACCGATAGAAGAGAGCGACGGCGAAGAGTCGGACGGTTCCAACGGGGAAAAACGCAAGAAATCCGACGACGAGGAGTTTGATGACAGATTGGAAGACGACGACTATGATTTGATCGAGGAAAATTTGGGTGTCAAAGTCGAAAGGAAGGTATGTTGTTGTGGGATTTTATTGCACAAATCGATTCAGCGGGGTTTTTTTATCATCCATTTTAAATTTTGTCAAAATCGGTTCATTAATAGAGAAGATATAAAGGTTTTTTAATCAAGGTCATAACTGTCAAATTTTGACAGATGCGTCCTGACTGTCAAAGTAGGGAGTTTAGTTGCATGTTTCTTTAGTTTTAATACGATTTTTTAATTTAAAATTGGCATTTTTGACAGTTTTTTTATATTTTTTGTTTCTACAAAGATTTTGACGATTTTTTGTAGAAATTCAAGCGTTTGAGGAGGATACAAGATGAGGAGAGTGATAATGAAGAAGAGCAAGGGGAAGGACAGGACCGAGACCAAATAGCCCTAAAGTTGTTCGATGATGATGTAAGTAATTTTGATTTTCCCATTCAAAACTTTTTTTTAAAAATTGTGCAATTTTTTTAACGCTTAATAAAGGACGAACCATCTAAAAAGGTAAAACAACAACAAAAACCCCAAAATCGTACAATTTTCTAAAAAAAATTAAATCACGTTAGGATGATGAGCGTAGATCGGAAAGATCGCATCGAACAACCGTGGAACCCGACCAGTTCGGGGAAGAAGAAGACGAGGGTGAATACAGCGACGCCGACGACTTTATCGTCGACGACGACGGAAGACCCATAGCCGAAAAGAAGAAGAAGAAGAAGCCCATATTCAGCGACGCGTAAGTACCAATTCAGTGGGGTTGGGTTGATTTTGAATTTATTAAAGGATGAATGGCGTTTTATTTGGTTATCATTTCAAATTTCGTTGAAATCGGTCGAAAAATAAGGGAGATGTGGCGTTTTTTCGGTTCAAGGTCACAAACGTCAAGTTTGACAGTTGTGGCCTTGATTGTTGAAATAAGGTTTTTGGTGCATTTTTTTGACGTTGTCTTGCAATAAGAAATGTCAAATTTAATATATTTACGGTTTTTCGGAAAGTGGGCGCCAAAATATTAACTTTGCAACTTCGTCATTTCTGATGCGATTTTGACGATTTTTTTAAAAATATTCTCAAAAAACTGCACTGATTTTGAATATTCGACAAGCTTTGCGCATTTCAAATTTTGTCGAAATCGATTCAAGGTCAAAAATGCCAAGTTTGACAGTTGTGGCCTTGATTGTTGAAATAAGGTTTTTGGTGCATTTTTTTGACGTTGTCTTGCAATAAGAAATGTCAAATTTAATATATTTACGGTTTTTCGGAAAGTGGGCGCCAAAATATTAACTTTGCAACTTCGTCATTTCTGATGCGATTTTGACGATTTTTTTTAAAATATGCTCAAAAAACTGCACTGATTTTGAATATTCGACAAGCTTTGCGCATTTCAAATTTTGTCGAAATCGATTCAAGGTCAAAAATGCCAAGTTTGACAGTTGTGGCCTTGATTGTTGAAATAAGGTTTTTGGTGCATTTTTTTGACTTTGTTTTGTAATAAAAAATGTCAAATTTAATATATTAACGGTTTTTCGGAAAGTGGGCGCCAAAATATTAACTTTGCAACTTCGTTATTTCTGGAGCGATTTTGACGATTTTTTTTACATATGCTCAAAAAAATTTGTGCATTTTCTTATCAGAGCCTTGCAAGAAGCCCAGGAAACGTTCGGAGTGGACTTCGACTACGACGAGTTCTCCAAATACGAACAGGACGAGTACGAAGATGATGAAGACGAAGAAGACGACGATTACGAGGAGGACGACGACGGCGAACGCAGACGACCTCCGAAGAAAGAAAGACGCAAAAAGCCCACGAAAAAATCCATATTCGAAGTGTACGAACCCAGCGAGTTAAAAAGAGGTTTCTTCACCGATTTGGACAACGAAATTCGTAACAAGGACGTTCCCGAGCGCATGCAGCTCCGCGACGTTCCCATAACCCCGGTCGCGGACGATTCCACCGAGCTGGACGACGAGGCCGAGTGGATTTACAAACACGTGAGTTTTTTTTTTATTAAATTGTCCCACTGTGCAAATTTTTTGTCCCACTGTGTCAATTTTTTGTCCCACTGTGCAAATTTTTTGTCCCACTGTGCAAATTTGTTGTCCCATCGCTAATATCACTTGTCCCACAGTGCGGTTTTCAGAAAACGTTCGTTTTCCTTTCCAGGCATTTTGCAAACCAAGTGTTTCCAATATGGAAGCGAATTTGACGTCTGAACAGAGGGAAAAATTGAAAAAGGGTCCGCAAACTGTGACGAAAATTCGCAAAGCCCTGGATTTTATGCGAAATCAGCAGTTGGAAGTTCCTTTTATCGCTTTTTACAGAAAGGAATACGTCCAACCCGAATTGAACATCAACGATTTGTGGAAAGTTTATAAATTCGACTCCAAGGTAAGAAAACATGTTTTTAGATTTTTTGTTTTGACCCCTAGTGCAAAATTTGTCGACGTTCTTAAAATTTCGTACCACTGCGATTTTTTTCCAAACCATTCTAGATAATCTGGGAATTTATTTTTTATTTTCCACATTATCCAAAAACTGTGTTAGGTTTCCAAAAAAGACATTTGTTTAAGTTGACAGTCTTAAGGCAGTTTTTAAAACAGTTATATCTATTTATAAGTTTGTTGACATTTTTGAGGCAGTTATATAGCTAAGTCACCATTTAAAGGCAGTTTTTAAGATGGTTATATCTAGTTAAAATTTACATTCTTAAAACAGTTAATTCTAGCTCAAGTTAACATTTTTAGACAAAATGTTCCAGCTTAACTTGACATTCTTAAGCCAGCTTTAATTCAAGCTTAAGTTGAAATTTTTTCGACAGTATTATCCAGCTTAACTTGATATTGTTAAGCCAGCTTTAATTATAGCTAAGTTGACATTCCTCAGACAGTTATATTTAGCTTGAGTGGACATTCTTAAAGTAGTCTTTAAGACAGTTAATTCCAACTTCAGTTGCCATTCTTCAGACAGTTATATCTAGCTTAACTTGACATTCTTAAGGCAGTTTTTAAAACAGAATTCTGGTTTAAGTTGGCATTCTTAAGGTAGTTTTTAAGACAGTTATATCTAGCTTAAGTTGACATTCTTAAGGCAGTTTTTAAAACAGTTATATCTAGCTATTCTTAAGGTAATTTTGAGGAGGGTTATATTTAGTTTGTTGAAATTTTTAAGATTGTTTAATCAAGTTTGTTGACATTTTTGAGACAGTTATATAGCTTAAGTCAACATTTAAAGGCAGTTTTTTAAACAGTTAATTCTAGCTCAATTTAACATTTTTTTGACAATATGTTTCAGCTTAACTTGACATTTTTAAGCCAGGTTTAATTCTAGCTTAAGTTGACATTCCTCAGACAGTTATATTTAGCTTGAGTGGACATTCTTAAGGTAGTCTATAAGACAGTAACTGTTAATACCAACTTCTGTTGACATTCTTCAGACATTTGTATCTAGCTTAACTTGACATTCTTAATGCAGTTTTTAAAACAGTTAATTCTAACTTCACTATCTTAAGACAGTTATATCTAGCTTAACTTGACATTGTTAAGGTATTTTTTAAAACTAATTCTAGTTTAAGTTGACATTCTTAAGGTAGTTTTTAAGACACTTATACCTAGCTTAAGTTGACATTCTTAAGGCAGTTTTTAAAACAGTTATATCTAGCTAAGTGGACATTCTTAAGGTAATTATGAGGACGGTTATATTCAGCTTGTTGAAATTTTTAGGATTGTTTGATCAAGTTTGTTGACATTTTTAAGACAGTTGTATAGCTAAGTCAACATTTAAAGGCAGTTTTTAAGATGGTTATATCTAGTTAAAATTTACATTCTTAGGGCCAGTATTATCCAGCTTAACTTGAAAGTTATATTTACCTTGAGTGGACATTCTTAAGGTAGTCTTTAAGACAGTTAATTCCAACTTCAGTTGACATTCTTCAGACAAGTATAATTTGGTTAACTTGACATTCTAAAGGCAGTTTTTAAAACAGTTAGACCTAGCTTATTTTGGCATTTCTTATACAGTTATATCTAGCTTAACTTGACATTCTTAAGGCATTTTTAAAAACAGAATTCTAGTCAAGTTGACATTCTTAAGGTAGTTTTTAAGACAGTTATATAGCTAAGTCAACATTTAAAGGCAGTTTTTAAGATGGTTATATCTAGTTAAAATTGAGATTCTTAGGGCTATTTTTTAAAACAGTTAATTCTAGCTCAAGTTAATATTTTTTAGACAATATGTTCCAGCTAAACTTGACATTCTTAAGCCAGCTTTAATTCTAGCTTAAGTTGACTTTTCTCAGTTATATGGATATTCTTAAGGTAGTCTTTAAGACAGTTATATCTAGTTTGTTGAGATGTTTAAAATAACATTTACATAACTTTGACACTCTATATCTTGTTAACCCAAATATCTACAAAAATATCACCATAATGACATTTTTGTGATACTTTATTCTTTTTTTAACGATTTTAACTATTATTTTGTATCTCGAATAAATCTCGAGATATCCTTGTAAAACCGAATCAGTCACCAAAAATTGCCATCTCAACTTTAATCTATTATATCTTGTTAAGAAAAATACCTACAAAAATGTTACCAAAACAACATTTTTGCCAACTGTAATTCTCTTTCCAATGCTTCTGACAATTTTTGATTATCTCAAATAGTTCTCGAGATATCCTTTCAAAACCGCGTAAGCCATCAAAAATCGCTACCTTAGCTTTGACACTTTATATCTTGTTAACCCAAATATCTACAAAAATATCATCATAATGACATTTTTTGATAATTTATTCTCTTTTTAACGCTTCCAACAATTCTTTTTTATCTTGAATATATCTCGAGATATCCTGCAAAAAACGCAACTAAGGCTAAGTACAGAGTACTTTTATATTCTGACGTTTGACGTATCTCCTGCAGTGGTGCCAACTGAAATCTCGCAAGGAGAACCTGATGAAACTGTTCGACAAAATGCGCTCGTACCAGCTGGACGAGCTGATGAAAAACCCGGACGCGCCCATCCCCGACACGGTGCGCGTCATGAAGGACAGCGACATGGAGCGCCTCAAGAACGTTCAGTCGGCCGAGGAGCTGAACGACGTGCACAACCACTTCGCTCTGTACTACGCGGGAGATCTGGCAGCTATGCACGCGGCCTGGCGGCTCAAGGAGAAGGAGAGGCGGCGCCAGGAGCGCAACGAGGAGAGGTAAGTTCGGCAACGTCGGGTCGTTTGAACTACTCGGCGCGGCACTATGCTCCACACCTCAAGTCCCACCACGTGACTACGTACGGAACGCAGTCTTTTGAAAATTTGGCGTTTAAGGCTTTTCAGGTTATGTATCTGTCAAAGTATAGTCAACGAAAGAAATAATATTATGTTTAGGCGTTAAAAATGTATAAATCTCTATAACATTACAATAACAATAACAATGGATGGTTTAAGAATTTAAGAATATAAATACTGCATTTAATGAAATTCTAAAGTGTATGGTGTCAAATAAGTAATATTTTTGTGCATTTGTCCAAATATCTGGTTTTCTCCATAAAATAATTTTAACTAAACAGCATTTATTTAAAAAAATCTAGCTTCTCTATTATGGAATAAGAATATCTGTTTTAAAGGTAGGTTAATATATTATAACAAAAATATCATCTAATTTTGCAATTTTAAGGTTAGAAAAATCTATTTTGACCAAATTAAGTAAGTGGATTATTTAGAAGAGTGTGTTAATATGGTCATAAATAAATATAGGTATACTTAATAATTGTTGAATATGGTTCAAATTAAATTGAAGCTTTTATACTTCTAATGACAAAACTTGTGCATACCTCTCAGCATACCTACTTTAAGTTAGATTATAAGAAAACAAACAATTTTTAGAGAAACTTGCAATGTAAAAATATTTAATACTCCCATGACATGTGATTTATTAAATTTTTTAAAGTTATAATGATTTTTCGATTTAGATCAAGTTCAGTCAAAGCTTTTTAACTATTTGTATTGACAAAACTTTATGTAGGTACACTTTAAGCTGGATAAGAAAAACTACCACATTTTTAAATACTATATTATACAGTCTTTTAAATAATCCAAAATAATTTTGGTCAAAATAAATTTTTCTAACCTTAAAATTACAAAATTAGATGATATTTTTGTTATAATATATTAACCTACCTTTAAAACAGATATTCTTATTCCATAATAGAGAAGCTTGATTTTTTTTAATAAATGCTGTTTAGTTAATATTATTTTATGGAGACCTTTAAAACAGATATTCTTATTCCATAATAGAGAAGCTTGATTTTTTTTAATAAATGCTGTTTAGTTAAAATTATTTTATGGAGAAAACCAGATATTTGGACCAAACGCACAAAAATATTACTTATTTGGCACCATACACTTTAGAATTTCATTAAATGCAGTATTTATATTCTTAAATTCTTAAACCATCCATTGTTATTGTAATGTTATAAAGATTTATACATTTTTAACGCCTAAACATAATATTATTTCTTTCATTGACTATACTTTGACAGATACATAACCTGAAAAGCCTTAAATGCCAAATTTTCAAAAGACTGCGTTCCGTACGTGGTCACGTGGTGGGACTTTGAGGTGTGGAGCATAGTACGTTCTTCATCTTAGTTTATTACCGCCTTTGAATTTAAATGATGTTTTAAACTTAAATATTATTCTCTTACAAAAGAAAAGTACCTCTAAAAAACTACTGATATTTAATTGTTTTTAAAATTCTACTTACTATCCTTAACATCAATTTTTTCAAGCCCATACTAAGGAAATGTATTGGATTTCCAGGTTTTTCTCTTTTGGCATTGTTTTTACAGATTTTCACTTAGCAGTTAAACATTTTTTACACTTACAAAACTTTAAAAAGATTACGCGCAAGAACATCCCTTGTTTTCTTGTACCCATATTATGAACGATGAAAAATTCGTTTTGGCACTTGAAAACGTTAAACCTGACGTTCTAGGATGCGTCGAATAGCTGAAAGCGAAGATGGCGCCGACATACCGGAAGAACCGGAAGAGGAAGTGGACGACGAGCCGGAAGAACACCTAAAGTACGCGAATCGTTCGGGGTCTTACAAGTTGTGCAGCAGGGCCGGGCTGGACACGCTGGCCAAAAAATTCGGGCTGACTCCCGAACATTTTGCGGAAAACATGCGCGACAACTATCAGAGGCACGAGGTCGAGCAGGAGTTCACCGAACCGACGGAAGTGGCCAAAGAGTTTATTTCCGCGTAAGTATTTTTTTTTAGTAAAAAATCCTTTGATGGTATTTTTCTTTTTATTTCAGCAAATTCTCGACCATCGAAGAAGTAATTCAGGCCGCAAAATACATGGTGGCCCTTCAAATAGCCAGAGAGCCGTTGGTGCGCAAATGCGTGCGCGAAGTTTTCTTCGAGCGCGCCAAAATTTCCATCAAACCCACCAAAAAAGGTCAAAAGGTCATCGACGAGGCCCACAATTGCTACAGGTAATAAAAAAGCAGTTTTAGATACTTCTTACGTGAAATATTACTGCGGAAATGGATTTTCTCTGATACCCATTTCAAATTTCATCAAAATCGGTTATCAAATACAGAAGATACGGCGTTTTTACGGTTCAAGGCCACAAACGTCATAAAAATCGCTACCTCACAAAAATATCACCATAATGACATTTTTGTGATATTTTATTTTTTTCTCAACGCTTCCAACAATTTTTTTTATCTTGAGTATATCTCGAGATATTCTCCAAAAACCGCATTAGTCACCAAAAATCCCCATCTCAACTTTTATCCATTATATCTTGTTAAGCCAAATACCTACAAAAATGTTACCAAAACAACATTTTTGCCAACTGTAATTCTCTTTCCAATGCTTCCAACAATTTTTTTTTATCTCGAATATATCTCGAGATGTCCTTTAAAAACCGCGCAAGTCATCAAAAATCGCTACCTCAGCTTTGACGCTTTATATCTTGTTAACCCAAATATCTACAAAAATATCACCATAATGACATTTTTGTGATGATTTATTCTCTTTTTAGCGCTTCCAACAATTCTTTTTTATCTTTAATATATCTCGAGATATCCTGCAAAAACCGCATTAGTCACCAAAAATCCCCATCTCAACTTTGACCCATTATATCTTGTCAAGCCAAATACCTACAAAAATTGAACCAAAACAATATTTTCGCCAAATGTAATGCTCTTTTCGATGCTTCTAACAATTTTTTTTTATCTCGAATATATCTCGAGATGTCATCAAAAATCGCTACCTCAGCTTTGACACTTTATATCTTGTTAACCCAAATATCTACAAATATATCACCATAATGACATTTTTGTAATAATTTATTCCCTTTTTAACGCTTTTAACGATTCTTTTATATCTTGAATATATCTCGAGATATCCTGCAAAAACCGAATTAGTCACCAAAAATCCCCATCTCATCTTTGACCCATTATATCTTGTCAAGCCAAATACCTACAAAAATGGAACCAAAACAATATTTTCGCCAAATGTAATGCTCTTTTCGATGCTTCCAAGAATTTTTTTTTATCTCGAATATATCTCGAGATGTCCTTTAAAAACCGCGCTAGTCTTCAAAAATCGCTACCTCAGCTTTGACGCTTTATATCCTATTAACCCAAATATCTACAAAAATATCACCATAATGACATTTTTGTGATATTTTTTTTTCTTTTCAACGCTTTAAACAATTCTTTTTTATCTTTAATATACATATCTCGAGATATCCTGCAAAAACCGCATTAGTCCCCATCTCAACTTTGACCCATTAAATCTTGTTAAGACATTTTATTAAAATCGGTTAAAAAATACAAAAGATGCAGCGGTTTTTCGGTTCAAGGCCACAAAAGTCATAGTTTGACATTTGTGACCTTGTCTGTTGAAATAAGGGGTTTTTCGGGTTTTGCTGCATTTTTGGAATGTTTGGGGAAATTAAACAATTTATGCATTTAAATATGTCATATTTTATGCTTAAAATACGCTGAGTTCGAATACTTTTAATTGTAGTTTAAAATACGTCAAAAACAAACCAGTTCGCGACCTAGCCGGCGACCAATTCCTAAAACTCACAATGGCAGAAGAGGAAAACCTTCTCACCATTACGATAAACGAAACCATTGAAGGCAACACCAGCAACTCTTACATAGACGAAGTTAAACAGCTTTACATAAGAGACGAGTTCAGCAAGAACGTCCAGGATTGGAACGCTCTGAGAGTCGAGTGCGTCGAAAGAGCCTTAACCAGGTGCATCGTCCCGGACTTGAGGGTCGAACTGAAGAGGATCTTGCTGGCGGAAGCCAAGGAGTTCGTGCTCAAGGCCTGCTGCAGGAAGTTGTACAACTACATCAAGGTAAGACTGACTGACAGACTGTTTTCCTCCTAACTTCAGTCGAATGTCTCCGTAAAGGTGTCTCCCTACGAGATCGAGTTCCCGGACGAGGACGAGGACGAGTGGAACACGAACAAAGGCATCCGAACGATGGGATTGGCCTACGTGCCCGACTACGGCCAATCGGCGTTCGCGTGCATCAGCTCCCCCGACGGCGAGATCACGGACTACCTGCGCCTGCCGCACCTCCTCAAGCGCAAGAACAGCTACCGGCAGGAGGAGAAGATGATGAAGGAGGCGGATCTGACCGCGATGCGCAACTTCATTTTCACGAAAAAACCGCACGTGATTTGCGTTGGAGGGGAGAGCAGGGAGGCCTTGATGATCGCCGAGGATTTACGCGGAGTTATATCCGATTTAATAGAGAGCGAGCAGTTTCCTTGCATCAAGGTGGAAATTATTGATAACGAGCTCGCCAAAGTCTACGCCAACTCAAACAAAGGTAAGTACACTTTTCCAACAATTCTTTTGTATCCTGAGTATATCTCGAGATATTTCCCAAAAACCGCATTAATCACCAAAAATCCTCATCTCAACTTTGACCCACTATATCTTGCTAAGCCAAATACCTACAAAAATGTAACCAAAACAACATTTTTGCCAACTGTAATTCTCTTTCCAATGCTTCTAACAATTTTTGTGTATCTTGAATAAATCTCGAGATATCCTGCAAAAACCGCATTAATCACCAAAAATCCCCCTCGCAACTTTGACACTTTATATCTTGTTAACCCAAATGTCTACAAAAATATCACCATAATGACATTTTTGTAATAATTTATTCCCTTTTTAACGCTTTTAACAATTCTTTACCTACCTCGAATAAATCTCAAGATATCCTGCAAAAACCGCATTAGTCACCAAAAATCCCCATCTCAACTTTGACTCATTACATCTTGTTAAGCCAAACACCTACAAAAATGTTAACAAAACAACATTTTTGCCAACTGTAATTCTCTTTCTAATGCTTATGAGTATCTCGGATATATCTCGAGATATCCTTTAAAAACCGCTTAAGCCATCAAAAAACGCTACCTCAGCTTTGACACTTTATATCTACAAAAATATCACCATAATGACATTTTTGTAATAATTTATTCCCTTTTTAACGCTTTTAGCAATTCTTTTTTATCTCGAATAAATCTCGAGATATCCTGCAAAAACCGCATTAGTCACCAAAAATCCCCTTCTCAACTTTGACCCATTATATCTTGTTAAGCCAAACACCTAGAAAAATGTTACCAAAACAACATTTTTGCCATCTCGAGATATCAGTTCTTCAATATTTTTATTTTTTATTAATCTAGGTACAGCCGACTTTAGGGACTACCCTGAGTTGCTCAGACAGGCTATATCTTTAGCGAGGAAAATGCAAGACCCTTTGATCGAATACTCTCAACTTTGCAACGGGGACGAGGAAATTTTGTCGCTCAGGTTTCATCCTTTGCAAGAACAAATACCCAAGGAAGAGTTACTGGAAGCTCTGTGCTTGGAGTTCGTCAACAGAACCAACGAAGTCGGCGTCGACATAAACTTGGCGGTGCAACAGAACCACAAAGTGAATCTGGTGCAGTTCATATGCGGTTTGGGCCCGAGAAAGGGGCAAGCTCTGATTCGCGTGCTGAAGCAGACGAATCAGAGGCTGGAGAACCGAACGCAACTGGTGACGGCGTGCCACATGGGCCCGAAAGTCTTCATAAACTGTTCGGGGTTCATAAAAATCGACACCAACAGTCTGGGAGACTCCACCGAGGCGTACGTCGAGATTCTGGACGGCAGCAGGGTGCACCCGGAGACTTACGAGTGGGCCCGCAAGATGGCGGTGGACGCGTTGGAGTACGACGACGACGAGGGCGCCAATCCGGCGGGGGCGCTCGAGGAGATCCTCGAGGCGCCCGAGCGACTGAAAGATTTGGATCTTGACGCGTTCGCCGAAGAACTCGAAAGACAGGGCTTCGGAAACAAGAGTATCACCCTGTACGATATAAGGGCGGAGTTGAATTGTCGCTACAAGGATTTGAGGGTGGCGTTTAGGAGCGCGAATCCCGAAGAGATGTTCGATATGCTGACCAAGGAAACGCCCGAGACGTTTTATATCGGCAAGATGGTTACTGCTACTGTCATAGGTGAGTACCTCAACTTTGACGCTTCATAACTTGTTCACCCGAACATCTACAAAAATATCACCACAATGATATTTTTGTAGAATTTAACCCTCTTTCCAATGCTTCTGACAATTTGTTTGCATCTCAAATATTTCCCGAGATATCCTGTAAAAACCACACTTGTCATCTAAATTCTTCATCTCAACTTTGACACTTCATATCTTGTTAACCCAAATATCTACAAAAATAATTCTATAATGACATTTTTGTAAAATTTAACCCTCTTTCCAATGCTTCTAACAATTTTTTTGCATCTCAAAAATTTCCCGAGATATCCTGTAAAAACCACACTTGTCATCTAAATTCTCCATCTCAACTTTGATACTTCATATCTTGTTAACCCAAATATCTACAAAAATATCACCATAATGACATTTTTGTAATATTTAACCCTCTTTCCAATGCTTCTAACAATTTTTTTGCATCTCAAATATTTCCCGAGATATCCTGTAAAAACCGCACTTGTCATCTAAATTCTCCATCTCAACTTTGACTCTTCATATCTTGTTAACCCAAATCGCTACAAAAATAATACTATAATGACATTTTTGTAAAATTTAACCCTCTTTCCAATGCTTCTAACAATATTTCCCGAGATATCCTGTAAAAACCGCACTTGTCATCTAAATTCTCCATCTCAACTTTGACTCTTTATATCTTGTTAACCCAAATATCTACAAAAATAATACTATAATGACATTTTTGTAATATTTAACCCTCTTTCCAATGCTTCTAACAATTTTTTTGTATCTCAAGTAATTCTCGAGATATCCTGTAAAAACCGCACTTGTCATCTAAATTCTCCATCTCAACTTTGACTCTTCATATCTTGTTAACCCAAATATCTACAAAAATAATACTATTATGACATTTTTGTAAAATTTAACCGTCTTTCCAATGCTTCTAACAATTTTTTTGCATCTCAAATATTTCCTGTATAAACCGCACTTGTCATCTAAATTCTCCATCTCAACTTTGACACTTTATATGTTGTTAACCCAAGTATCTACAAAAATATCATTTGAATAGTATTTTTATGAAATTTAACCCTATTTCTAATGCTTCTAACCAAATTTTTGGATCTTAAAAATCCCTCGAGATATCCTTCGAAAATCGAACAATTCATCAAAAATCACTACCTCAACTTCCACCTTGAATATCTTGTGAACCAAGAGACCTACAAAAATGCCACCGAAACAGCATTTAAGCCACATTCAGTCCTCTTTCTAACAAACCCAACAAAAATCCCGTATCTCGAACGTATCTCACGATATCTTCAGGCATCGCTCGCAGGAAACCTCAAGGCGAGCAACTCGACCAAGCCAATCCGGTGCGTAACGACGAAACCGGACTTTGGCAGTGTCCTTTCTGCTTAACCAAGGATTTCCCTGAGTTGTCCGACGTGTGGAACCACTTCGACGCCGGCTCGTGCCCGGGCCAAGCCACCGGAGTCAAGTTGAGACTCGACAACGGAATCTCCGGCTACATCTACATCAAGAACATCTCCGACAAGTCGGTGTCCAACCCCGAGGAGAGAGTCGGGGTCGGGCAGTTGATTCACTGCAGAATCACGAAAATCGACGTGGAGAGATTCTCCGTCGACTGCACCTCCAAATCCTCGGATTTGCTGGATAAAAACCACGAATGGAGGCCACCGAGAGATCCCTATTACGATACGGAGCAAGAAGACAAGGATACCAGGAGCGAGCAAGAGCAGAAGAAAAGCAAGCAAAGGCAGACCTACATCAAAAGAATTATCGTTCATCCCGCCTTCCATAATATTTCCTACGCTGAAGCCGAGAAATGCATGGTCAACATGGATCAAGGTTAGTACGTTTTTAATATTTACTTTGACGCTTTCAACCAAATTTTGAGACTTTATATCTTGTTAAATCAAAATTCTACAAAAATATCACCATAATGACTTTTTTGTGAAATTTAACCCTCTTTCCAATGCTTCAAACCATTTTTTTGTATCTCAAGTAATTCTCGAGATATCCTGTAAAAACCGCACTTGTCAAATAAATTCTCCATCTCAACTTTGACACTTTATATCTTGTCAACAAAAATATCTACAAAAATATCACTACAATGACATTTTTATAAAATTTAACCCTCTTTCCAATGCTTCAAACAATTTTTTTCTATCTCGAATATATTTTGAGATATTCTGTAAAAAGCGCACTTGTCATCTAAATTCTCCATCTCAACTTTGACACTTTATATCTTGTCAACAAAAATATCTTCAAAAATAATACTATAATGACATTTTTGTAAAATTTAACCCTCTTTCCAATGCTTTAAACAATTTTTTTTATCTCGAATATATTTTGAGATATTCTGTAAAAAGCGCACTTGTCATCTAAATTTTCATCTCAACTTTGAGACTTAAAATCTTGTTAACAAAAATATCTACAAAAATAATACTATAATGGCATTTTTGTGAAATTTAACCCTCTTTCCAATGCTTCAGACATTTTTTTTCTATCTCGAATATATTTTGAGATATTCTGTAAAAAGCGCACTTGTCATCTAAATTCTCTATCTTAACTTCGACTGGTCATATATCTGTAAAGATCTTTGGATTAATGAATAATGTATATATTTATATCTTGTTTAGGGTTTTAAAGTATCGAAAAAAAAATGGAAAAAGTGGTTGGTTGTTTTTTTTTTGTATTTCCCAGGCCTTGAAAAAATTGTCTGTTTTGGGAAAAATTGATTTTTTTTTTGGAAAACATACACATTTGAAACAAGGTAGCAAACGCCATTGGTTACACACTTGTGTTCTGTGAGTACATAGATACCAACCAACAAAGTAGCTGCGCGTTGCCAGTTGTAAAAAATTGTTACTAAAAATTTTTCACGCAAAAAATAAATAAAAACTCAATAAATACAAAAGTTTTATGCCCTTAAAGCTCTAACACCCTTCTGTATTTATTTACTCATCCAGCTATTAGCTTAAGCAATGATTAGAAAATTTAGCACCTATTTTAAAAACTCCACAAAATTAATTTTTTCATCGGTTTTTTTTGTTCTGTTTACTCAGATGAAATTAGGACAAGTTCACAGGTTAAACTTTAAACGTTCAATTCGTGTAAATAAATCCAAAAGCACTTCCCTTAGTTAAGATATTTACAATCTGGGCCCATAACCTAAAATTTGAAAGAAATGCACTAGATTCTGTTTGAATTTACCTTCATTACCAAAATGACATAATCAACAATTAATAAAAACGAGATATCCCTTGAAAACCGCACTAGTCACGAAACACGTTACGTCTCTTAGGCGAGGTGATCGTCAGGCCGTCCTCCAAAGGCGCGAATCACCTGACGATAACGTGGAAAGTCGCTGAGAAAATCTACCAGCACATCGACATCCGCGAGGAAGGAAAAGCGAACGCGTTCAGCCTCGGAAAATCCCTCTGGATCGGCAACGAGGAATTCGAAGACTTGGACGAAATAATCGCGCGCCACGTCACGCCCATGGCTTCTCACGCGCGCGACTTACTCTACTTTAAGTACTACAAAGACACCGAGGGCGGACACAAAGACAGAGCGGAAGAGTACATCAAAGACGAGAAGAAGAAAAATCCCACAAAGATTCATTACGTTATTAGTGCGTCAAAGGTAAGAATCACACTTTTTTGAAATTTTCTCGACGAAAAACATTTTATTTCAGAGTTGTCCGGGCAGATTCTTACTGTCATATTTACCTCGCAACAAATTTCGCCACGAATTCGTGACGGTAACGCCAGAGGGCTTCAGATTCCGTCAGCAAATGTTCGACAACGTCACAACGCTTTTCAAGTGGTTCAAGGAACACTTCAGGGACCCACCGCCGGGTGGAATGACCCCTAGCACCCCCAGAGTCGCTACGGGTCGTACCCCGTATCAAAGTACCGGAATGACGCCCGGTGCAGGCTTTAACAGTAAATTTTCCATCTTGACGCGTTACATCTCCTTCCAACGCTGTATTTTCTTTCAGACATGAATTCGGAGGCGATTCAAAGGGTAGCTCAGAACCTACCGAGTCACATGATGCAAACTTTATCAGCGGTGGCCAATCAGACCCCTCACTATCCTCCCCACACGCCAGGTGGCGCCTACGGTGCTGGAAACTATATTAATACGGTAAGTTTCTTTTACAACTTTGACTCAGTATAAGATCTTAACCAGAAGACCTACAGAAATTTTACCACTATGAATTTGTCCCCAATTAAACCCTCTTTCCAATGCTTCTAACCATTTTTTTGTATCTCGGATTTATCTCGAGATATCCTGTAAAAACCGCATTAGTCGCCTAAAATCACTACCTTAACTTCGACCTTGTATATCTTGTTAAACCAAATAAATTACAAAAAAATCATAATTACAAAATTTGTGCCAAATTAAAACCTCTTTCCAATGCTTCTAAACATTTTTTTGTATCTCGAATTTATCTCGAGATATCCTGTAAAAACCGCATTAGTCACCTAAAATCGCTACCTTAACTTCGACCTTGTATATCTTGTTAAACCAAAAAATTTAAAAAAAAATCATAATAACAAAATTTGTGCCAAATTAAACCCTCTTTCTAATGCACCAAACATTTTTTTTGTATCTCGAATATTTCCCGAGATATCCTGTAAAAACCGCATTAGTCACCTGAAATCACTACCTCAACTTCCACCTTGTGTATCTTGTTAACCAGAAGACCCACAAGAATATCATCATAACAATATTTGCGCCGAATTTGACGCTCTTTCCAGCAATCCAAACCACAACCGCGTATCTCGAGTACATCTCGAGATATATCGTAAAAACCGCATTGCACGTAAACCGTTTAATTTCAGCCGTACACGCCAAGCGGGCAAACGCCGTTCATGACGCCCTACCAGACCCCGCACTCGCAGCAGACGCCCAGGTACGGCCAGCAGACGCCCTCGCAGCACCACCACGGCGCCTCGGGCGGCGGGGCGCCCGCCCAGGCGCAGCAAGTGCCCGCTCCCGCGCCGCACATGAACGGCCCGTTCCTGCACCCGGGCGCCGTGACGCCCTCGCAGCGCACGCCCACCTACAGGGCGCTGCCGTCGCAGTCGCCCATGATTCAGCCCAGCCCAGCGCCCAGCTCCAGGTCCTACGACAGCGGGCATCACCACAGCAGCAGCCGAGGCTACGGAGATGGTAAGTCTGACTTTGGAGCCCTATATCCTGTTAACCGTACGATTTGCAAAGTTTTTACCAATACAAATTTTCAGCCAAATTTATACCTCTTTTCAGCAATCCAAACAAATTTTTTATATCTCAAATGTATCTCGAGATATCCTGGAAAAACCGCACTAGTCACTTAAAATCACTGCACAAACTTTGATGCGTTATGTCTTGTTAACTAAAAAAACTACAAAAATATCACCAAAACAATATTTGTGCCAAATTCAACCATCTTTCGAAAAATCCAAACAAAAATCTTGTATCTCAAATATATCTCGAGATATCCTGGAAAAACCGCACTAGTCACCCAAAATCACTACACAAACTTTGATGCATTATATCTTGTTAACTAAAAAAACTACAAAAATATCACCAAAACAATATTTGTGCCAAATTCAACCTTCTTTCGGAAAATCCAAACAAAAATCTTTTATCTCAAATATATCTCGAGATATCCTGAAAAAACCGCACTAGTCACACAAAATCACTACACAAACTTTGATGCATTATATCTTGTTAACTAAAAAAACTACAAAAATATCACCAAAACAATATTTGTGCCAAATTCAACCTTCTTTCGGAAAATCCAAACAAAAATATTTTATCTTAAATATATCTCGAGATACCCTGGAAAAACCGCACTAGTCACCTAAAATCACTGCACAAACTTTGATGCATTATATCTTGTTAACTAAAAAAACTACAAAAATATCACCAAAACAATATTTGTGCCATATTCAACCATATTTCGAAAAATCCAAACAAAAATCTTGTATCTCAAATATATCTCGAGATACCCTGGAAAAACCGCACTAGTCACCCAAAATCGCTGCACAAATTTTGATGCATTATATCTTGTTAACTAAAAAAAATACAAAAATATCACCGAAACAATATTTGTGCCCAATTCAACCATCTTTCGAAAAATCCAAACAAAAATCTTGTATCTCAAATATATCTCGAGATATCCTGCAAAAACCGCACAAGTCGCCTATCTCGAGTTTGCCGCGTTCTAGCTTGTCAGCCTAGCGTTTTTTGTGTTAGCAGGTTCCAGAGGTTATCCTAGTGAGTCGCCAAGAGGTTACAGTAGCAGCAGAGGTTACGGTGATCAAAGTAGCCAAAGATATAATAACTCCAACAACACCGAGTCTATGGACTGGCAAAAGGCTGCTGAAGCATGGGCTGCAAGATCTAAGTGTAAGTGTTTTACATTTTCTATTATAACTCTTTTAATACTATATGTGGGATAACGTACTATACATCAATGGATAAACAAGGAAATTTACAATAATTTTTGTAATTATAATTTTTTTTTTAGTTCGTTTACTTTACGAGATACAGACTGAAACTTTCAATGTTCAAAATATGACATAAGTAACTTTGAAGTTTTATATCTTGTTAACTTAATGTAATACAAAAAAGTTCCCAATATTAATTTGTGCTAAATTTGACCCCCTCTTCAGTGCTTCAAACAATTTTTTTTCATCTCAAATATTTCCCGAGATATCCTGTAAAAACCGCACTTGTCAAATAAATTCTCTATCTCAACTTTGGCACTTTATATCTTGTTAACCCAAATATCTACAAAAATAATACCATAATGACATTTTTGTAAAATTTTACCCTCTTTTCAATGCTTCTAACAATTTTTTTGTATCTCAAATGGTTCCCGAGATATCCTGCAAAAACCGCATATGTCACCCAAAAATCCTGCGTCAACTTTGACGCATCATATCTTGTTAACCAAAGTAGCTACAAAAATGTTAATAGAATAACATTTGTGCCAAATTGAATCCTCTTTTTAACAATCCAAACAATTTTTCGTTATCTCAAATGCATCTCGAGATATCCGTTAAAAACCACACTTGTGTCTACAGCGACACCGAGGAGCGACGGTCGCCAAACGCCGCGTTCTCAAGGTCAAAGAACACCGAGGTACGACGATATGCGGGGCGAAATCGAGCGCCATCGTATGAAAAACATGAGCAAAAGTCCAAGGTCGCAAAGGTCAACCCCAAGGACAAATACGTCCCCTCATTCTATGTCGCTAGGAGACGCCACACCTTTATACGACGAAAATATTTAAGACTATAATTTTTTATTAATTGGTTTGTACTTTTAGTTATAATAATGATTTGTATATAATTAATAAGAGTTCTTTTAGATCGTAAATTACTTTTTAGTGTCATTTTATATTAAAACGTTTTTTTTATTTATGATAAATACCTACATATATTATTAAGTGTATTTCGGCTGTTTTATTTTAAACCTTTATTCATCAACACAAATGAGAACAAAACTCAACAATACAACATTTATAACCTAAAAACAAACTGTCAATTTTATAAACACAACAACTGTCAAAATCTGACATAACCTAAAAAAGTGCGAATCTAACGAGACGCTAAATGCCACTGCGCATGATCGCTTAATTGACAAACGTGCCGCGATTCGAAATGTTAAAGGCACGTTAGTTACGTCATAAAACCAAAACAACCCAAACTCAACAACACAACCCAACCGACCCCGCCCCATTGAGCAAAAAACCCAACTAAAATGGGCAAATTTATGTTACGATAAAAATAAAACACTTTTTAACAAAGGAACAATAAATTTATGAAATAAAAAAATAAAAAAAGTTCTACAACTTCTAGTAGATTTTATGTTACGATAAAACTAAAACAAACCAACCCAACCGAACACAAAGAAACAACAAATTTATGAAATAAAAAAAGTTCGACAGCTTCTTAGTATTAAGCGATCATGCGCAGTAAGAAGAGCCGCCAGTGGCATTTAGCGTCTCGTGGTATTTGTTGCATGGCTTCCGTACTATTGTATCTTTTACGGGCGGAAGGCAATTTATAAATACAAACGATTGTTTACAATAATTTAAGGCTACTAACAAGTCTTGTTAAGTTTAACATAAAGTTTTAAACTTATATTGTGGTTTTAAAGAAATAAAGTGAACAATGGCAGGTAAATATACCTAAATTTTGGTGTATAATATACATATTATGTTATGGCTAATGTGCAAACTTGGATAGTTTATAAACTAGCCAAACTGTCAGCTATTTTAATTGAAAATGTATTTTCAACTAAATTAGCGGCTAGTTTACAAAATAACCAAGGATTTTGGCTAATTTACCTACTTGAAACTAAAATAGCTGGATAGTTTGTATACTATCCAATTCAATTTGGCTAATATGAAAACCAAAATTTCTAGTAACACAAAATAGCCAAGCTTTAGCTAGTTTGTAAACTAACCAACTAATTCTCTGGCTAATTTATTAAAAAAGTGAGGTTACGGCATTGTTTTTCGTTTTGCCGGCTTAACCGGATTTGTTTTGTGCATTTTAACATTTTTAAAATGAATCATAGGAAAAATTTTAACGTTTCCTTGTTAGAAAACTCAACAACACAACCCTACCGAAAAATTGTAAAAAAAAACTTGTAAAAAAATTAATTTTCATAAAATCCCGCAAAAGTTAGGTTCCCTAATAATTTCAAGTAAATTAGCCAAGATCCTTGGTTATTTTGTAAACTAGCCGCTAATTTAGTTGAAAATATGTTTTCAATTAAAATAGCTGACAGTTTGGCTAGTTTATAAACTATCCAAGTTTGCACATTAGCCGTAACATATACAATTTAGGTCTGTGGGTAAAAGGCATAAGGGGATAAGTCAAAAAAAGGAATTTTTCAATAGAGCCTTTAACGTGATCGCATTAATTCAGGAAATATATTTATGTTTAGCGGGTATACGCTTTTGTTAGCATATGACATGTGGTAACAAAAGGGTATACCCGCTAACCATAAATATGTTTCCTGAATTAATGCGAATACGTTTAAGGCTCTACTGAAAAATTGCTTTTTTTTGACTTATCCCCTTATGCCTTTTACCTACAGAGGTATTAATTATAATTATGGTTTTTTTAATTTTTACTAATCCTCGTTACAGACTACGACTATCCCTTATCCCTACCCCTCATAGAATTAGTTCAAAGCCACCCGCATTTATACGACAAATCTTTGGTAGAATTTAAAGATGATCTGGTGAGATCGAAAACCATTCGTAAAATTGCCAAACGTCTGGAAATATCAGGTAAACTAAATAACTTAAATAATAAGGTAATACAAAACCTTGCCAATTCTCTTTTAGAGGGTGAAGTAGTTCAAAAATGGAAAAACCTGCGAGTCAGATACACAAGGGAGAAGAAAAAAATTATTCGTTCTGGTTCCAAGGCATCCACAAACCAGTGGCCCTATCTTAAACAGATGTCTTTTTTGGACAAGTTTATCAGACAAAGACAAAGAAAGTTAGTAGTGATTAAATATTATTAACATTTTACCTACGGTTGTTATTTTTTTTTAATTCATGAGTGTTGCTAATTTGGGTAAAACCTCACTTTTTAATTTGACAGTGAGTCACTGACAGTGACAGATAAACGCGGCGTTCTTAGGTAATTAATTTTATCTCCACGCGGTCTATAATTTAAACTTTATTGTTGTCAACATTCGATAAAGAAATACCTTGTTATGGCCTAGGCCGATAAAAAATTTTATGAGGCAAGTAATTAGTTCGATTTTTTCTCGCTAGGGGTATTGTTTTGACAAATTAATCCTTTTCTAAGAAATTAACGTACTAAACTGGTTTAATTTATTTATAATAAGCACTAATTTGTTTGTTTTACTGTTATAACATTATAATGTTTAATATTTTTCATTAAATTATTGTAAAATTAAATATGAATAATAAAACAAAAAGTGAGGTTAGGACATTGCAATTTGACGTTTCATAGTTGTGTTTTCTTTTTCTACGATTTAAATTATCTTTAAATTTTAATTTGCTTTAAGTTTTCAGTAAAATTAAATGTTAAACACAGCGCAAACATTCCAAACTACCTATTTTTTTAATAAAAATGCAAACAAATTGAAATTAGATACCTATTTATTAAACAATTAATTGAATTCAATGTAATAGCAAGAGGGTAAGTAAACCATTTTCTTACAAAAATCCATTTCTACTTAAATCATGTAGCTAGGTATTGTCAAACTATTACTGCTTCTAAAAGGAATAATAATTATTGTGCATTTAATGTAATATTTAGCTAATAAATAAATGAGATTCAAAAAAGTGAGGTTAGGCCGCTTTCATGTTGAATTAAATTGACCTATATAAAGTGCTTTGAAGATAAAATGTTGTATGCCATTCGGCCAAGAAGTGTCTTTTTGTGCTTCGCTCAATTGTAGGCCTCCGCTACGCGTCGGCCTTCAAACTTTGAGCTTAGCACAAAAAGCCTTACTTCTTAACCTAATGACATAAATAACTATTAGTAACAAAAAAGAGTTGTTCTTAGGTTTTTGTATAAATATACAGGGTGTTATGTAATTAATGTTATATATTAAAATACTGAATACCTTTTGACATAAGGAATAAAGGAAAAATATTTAAAAAAACATTTTTCCAAAGATAAAGAAAAAATATGCATTAGAAGTTTTTTATATTTTTTGTGATACGCCACTGGTTACACACTTGTTTATCTCTGCACACCTGTATTTTGTGAGTACATAGATACCAACCAACAAAGTAGCTATGCGTTGCCAGATGTAAAAAATTGTTACTAAAAATTTTTCTTGCAAAAAATAAATAAAAACTCAATAAATACAAAAGTTTTATGCCCTTAAAGCTCTAATACCCTTCTGTATTTATTTACTGATCCAGCTATTAGCTTAAGCAATGATTAGAAAATTTAGTACCTTTGAAATTTGAAATCCATAACCACAAAATTAATTTTTTCATCAGTTTTTTTCTCTGTTTACTCAGATGAAATTGGGACCAGTTCACAGGTTAAACTTTAAACATTTAATTTGTGTAAATAAATCCAAAAGCACTTCCCTTAGTTAAGATATTTACAATTTGAAAACATAACCTAAAATTTAAAAGAAATGCACTAGATTCTGTCATAAAAGTTGGCAGATTTTGTTTGAATTTACCTTCAGTACAAAAATGAAATAACCAACAATTAATAAAAACGCCAAATTGACAATTTGCATTGTTAATTTTGTCATTTTTGTAATTAAGCTAAATTTAAACAATGTTTGTCAACTTTTTTGAGAGATTTTGGAAAAACTGTTGTTACCAACCATAACATAATAAATCCACCAGATTAACCTAAAGTTCCTAGTCGATCAGTGGCGTACTTTTTGGTAGGATAAAGGTTATTATAAATTATTTTTAGACTTTGGAATTTAGAAAAAAAAAGTTTCAGGTGCTTCTTTATGGACCCTAAGGAACAACCCAACAACATTAATTACATAACACCCTGTATTTCAGTAATATTTTATGTTATTTTCTTTTATGTTTGCTAATTTATCAAAAATAAAATTATTTATTTATTGTAATTTAATTTTTTTTCAGCTCATATAGAAGATCAATTAGCCCCAAGCCGCGGTCACGGTCAAGGTTCAGTCTGCGGTCTAGGGCACCGGCACCGGCACCTCAGTACCTATCAAACAGTTCAAATTCTTCAATACATTCCTCCCCTCCTTCCCCTCGATCACGTTCTGAAAGTCCACAACTTACTCCGGAGCCACTACAGCACGTCCCAAAAGAAGAGGTGGAGATAAATATGAATATCAAAAAAGGCGACGAGTGTGAATTGCTGGCGTCAAACCAGTTGTTTGGGGAATATTTGGTAAAACGGCTCGATGATTTTTCTCCAAATAGGGCCAAAGATATAAGAAAGAAAATTGTTTTGCTATTAGAAACGGATGATAAATTTGAAATAATAAAAAAATAAATTTTTAATAATTTTTTTTTAATTAAAAGGTATTTTTTTAGTTGCCCCCAATATCTCGTTTCCTATTGGTCGAGAAGAGTTAAGCTTGACATTTTAAAAAACTTGTTTTCAGCCAAAACTCTGTAATTAGTTCCTAAAAAAAGTAGGACCTGAAAGGTAACAAATATTAGTTTATTTTTTGACCCTCTAATGGTAAATTTACATAATAAAGTTTAAAACGATTATTAATCTGTCTAAAGCCTGATTTATAGATTTCCTTCCTCCCGTAAAACATGAACAATACAAAAACCGTTGTGCTGTTTATATATCCCCGTACGGAAATCTATAAATGGCACTACGATTTTCGTATTGTTCATCTTTTACGGAAGGGTTGCCGACCGTGGAATTTTTTCTTGTAAAAAAGCAGCTTAAAATCTCGTATCATAGACATATTAACGCGGACAAAACCACACCAAAAATGGCGTTATATATTTAAAAATGAGATTATTCTGAATGAAAGACAGCCTATAGGCTGTCTGTGCATATATGCACATAAATTTGTTTAATTATGAACTAACTGGTTTAACAGATACTGATTAAAATATATAGATTTTTACCTTGAAAAGCGAATTTTGAGTTTTCATTAATAAGGTTATGTTATCTCTGAAGGTTTATTTTAGACCCAAACATCTTTTTAACACTTAATTACATTTTATCACTATTTCTATGCATATTATAAAGAACTCTGTATGCGGTCTATAGACTTCTTGTCTACATTCATTTTAGTTCGGATTTACTAAAATAGATGGCGCTACGTACCAAAGCTGAATTTATAGATTTCCTCAGAGAATTATGCTACACGTCCTAGCCTACGGTTTCCGTTTTGTTATATGGCTTACGTATTTGTTGTATGGCTTCCGTTGTGTTGTATCTTTTACGGGCGGAAGGCAATTTATAAATACAAACGATTGTTTACAATAATTTAAGGCTACTAACAAGTCTTGTTAAGTTTAACATAAAGTTTTAAACTTATATTGTGTTTATAAAGAAATAAAGTGAACAATGGCAGGTAAATATACCTAAATTTTGGTGTATACAATTTATTAATTATAATTTTTATTTTTTTCTAATCCTTATTACAGACTTCAACTATCCTTTGCTCATAGAATTAGTTCAAAGCCACCCGCATTTATACGACAAATCTTTGGTAGATTTTAAAGATGATCTGGTGAGATCGAAAACCAATCGTAAAATTGCCAAAATTCTGGAAGTAACAGGTAAACTAGATAACTTAAATAATAAGGTAATACAAAACCTTGCCAATTCTCTTTTAGAGGCTGAAGTAGTTCAAAAATGGAAAAACCTGCGAGACAGATACACAAGGGAGAAGAAAAAAATTATTCGTTCTGGTTCCGAGGCATCCACAAACCAGTGGCCCTATCTTAAACAGATGTCTTTTTTGGACAGGTTTATAAGACAAAGAAAGTAAGTAGTTCATAAATATTATTAACATTTTACCTACGATTGTTATTTTCTTTTAATTCATGAGTGTTGCTAATTTGGGTAAAACCTCACTTTTTAATTTGACAGTGAGTTACTGTCAGTGACAGATAGACGCGGCGTTCTTAGGTAATTAAATTTAGTAACAAAAAAGAGTTGTTCTTAGGTTTTTGTATAAATATTAGTTTTTAGAGGTTTTTATTGAGAATTATCATAAATTTACCTCTTTAAGTATAAAATGAACTCTATATCATGGAAATAACAACTTAAACTGTTATTTTATTTTATGTTGGCTAAATTATCAAAAATAAAATTATTTATTTATTGTAATTTAAATTTTTTTCAGCTCATTTAAAAGATCAATTAGCCCTAAGCCGCGGTCTCGGTCAAGGTCAAGTCTGCGGTCTATAGCACCGGTACCTCAGCCCTTTGAATTGGTCTACCTATCAAACAGTTCAAATTCTTCAATACATTCTTCCCCTCCTTCCCCTCGATCACGTTCTGAAAGCCCATCAGTACCATTACCAAAACCACCGACCTTAAGTCCACAACTTACTCCGGAGCCACCACAGTACGTCCCAAAGGAAAGGGTGGAGAAAAATATAAACATTAAGAAAGGCGACGAGTTTGAATTGCTGGCGTTGGCCCAAAATTTGGCAAACGACTTAAAATCGGGGAGACGCGAAAAAACATCGAACCAGTTATTTGGTGAATATTTAGGGAACCGACTCGATGATCTTCCTTTGGATAAGGCCCAAGAGTTACGAAAAACAATGTTTTTACTTCTAGAAACGAATTAATTTTTATAAATAAATTTTAATGATAAAAAATAATTATTCGTTTTATTTGCTCTGCAAGAAGTTTTAAAACAAAAAAAGTAAAGCTTAAAACACAAATGTCAAGATTAACAACAATTAGGTTTTTTATATTTTGACCCTCTAAAGTCTAAAAAAAATCCAAAGTTATTTTTTTTTATCTGGACTACGGCAAATTTAAAGTTTTGGTTGGTAAATACAGTTGTCAAGTTGGTCGCATTGATTAAAACAAACTAAGCTAGTTATAAATCTAATTGTGGTTATGTATTAATTATTGTAGGTTAAATTGTGCAGTTGTCAAGTTGAGTTGTCGAAATTCCTAGTTAAAAATGCAATTAATTTGGCTTTGGTGGTGCTTGGATGAGTAAAATCATATAAAAAAGTAGTTAAATATAGGTTGCTTTACGGCCCAGAAAAGAAAGTATTCCTAGCGGATAATAATCTTCGCTTTGAAAAGAATTTATATAAATGAAATTAAAATTTTTTGTGAACGTAAATCCAATGGTGAATAATGTGAAAATAATGTGTGATGTAATATTTATAAAACCAAATTCGTTATTTTTTTACTCCAAAAATGTCCATAAGGCGATGTACTTTTTCTTCCATTGTGGCATTTGGCATAATTTCATCAAAATAAAGTTTTACCCTCAAAAGGGCTTTTATATTCGAATTCGTTGCCATTATTTCTGGCATAATTATCTTTTTATTTATAATTGACAAGTAAACTATCAATAATAAATATTATTGTCACTTTGACAGTGTCAAAGTATTTAATTAAATTCTTTAGCAGAAGTACCATTTTTAAATACTAAAAATACTAAGTAAAACTGGCATAAGACACCAACCTAACAAAAAAACACGATTCCAGGTAAAAAAAATTAACTGTATAAAAATATAAAATGTTTTAATTAATCTCAGTTGTTTAGCCGTTTTCCTCGAAATTATCCGCTAACTGGCAACACTGTCTCTGTGGGAGATGTTTATGTGCATCTGTTTTGTTTTTAGTTCGGCATTGCATGAATAGATGGCGCCACTTACTAAATGGTTTAAAGTTGAATTTATAGGTTCCATTTAAGGTTTTCTATGATTTCCTTACAGAGAACTACGGAGCATAAAACCTTCTTTATCTCTCATACGGCTTACGTACTGTTTATCAGCCGGAAGGCAATTTATAAATACAAAATTTGTATCATTTAATGATTGTTTAGTATTATTTAAAAGTGCTTGTTCAGTTTAAAATAAAGTTCTTAGTTTATATTGTTTGTGTGTTTAAAGAAATTCGTTTTAAATGGCAGGTATTTATGCACTTAAATGTTTGTGTTTACATGTTTTTTAGGTTGTTAGGTGTTTAAACTTTTTAAAGTTAATATTAATTCTTGTTACAGACTTTGACTATCCTTTGCTCATAAAATTAGTCCAAAACAACCCGCATTTGTATGACAAATCTTTGGAAGATTTCAAAGATGATCTGGTGAGATCGAAAACCTTTCGTAAAATTGCCAAACGTCTGGGAGTAACAGGTAAACCAGATAACTTAAATAATACAAAAACTTGACAATTTTCTTTTAGAGCGTGAAGCAATTCAAAGATGGAAGAACTTGAGAGATAAATATGGCAGGGAAAAAAGAAAAGTAATTCCTTCTGGTGCTGAACCACCTATAATCCCATGGCCATATCTTAAAGAGATGTCTTTTCTGAATAAATTTATTAAACAAAGGCAGTAAGTAGTGCATAAATTTAGTAATATTTTGTTGTTTAGTTACGATTTTCGTGTTTTTAAAACAAACAACGCGAAAATAACCTCAAATTTGCGTTTGACAGTGACAGGTGAACGTGGCGTTCCAAGGTAATTAAATTTAGTAACAAAAAACACAAATTATACCAACTTAAAGCTGCATACGTATATTTTAGGTGTTGGTATAAAGCCCTAAACATATTTTCTGTTTATCAAAAAAATACTATTTGATTATTATAATTTTTGTAGTTCAAATAAATCATTCGTAAGATCAGAGAGCCCTCAGCCATCGCCGCAGTCTTTAATACCATCCCTTCAGCCGTTTGAATTTGTCTACCTATCGGACAATTCATCTTCATCGTCTCCCCCTCCCCTTCAACCGCGTCCCCAGAGCCCATCTATACCACTACCACAACGACAGAATGGAAGTCCCCAACTTAGTCCGGAACCAATACAATGCACCCCAAATGGAAGGGGAAAAAAAAGGAAACGTGATGAGTTTGACTTGTTGGCGGCCGCTCAAGAATTGGCGAACGACTTAAAACTGGGAAGACAGGAAAAAACGTCAAACCAGTTGTTTGGGGAATATATGGGAAAACGGCTCGATGATTTTTCTCCAAATAGGGCCAAAGATATAAGAAAGAAAATTGTTTTGCTATTAGAAACGGATTAAGATTTTATAAATTTAAAAAATTTAATTTTAAATAAAAAATTTTTAATTAAAAGGTATTTTTTGAGTTGCCCCTAATATCTCGTTTGACATTTGAGCTTGACATTTTAACAAATTTGTTTTCAGCCAAAACTCTGTAATTAGTTCCTAAAAAAAGTAGGGCCTGAAAGGTAACAAAGATTAGTTTATTTTTTGACCCTCTAATGGTAAATTTACATAATAAAGTTTGATAAATGCCATTTTATCTAAAAAATGATTTAAATTAAATATTTGTATAAAGCGACATCTACATATACGAAAATAAGGTAAGCATCCCAATAAACATTTTTGACGTAATTTTCACCATTGAAATTGTCCATTATTATTTTAATTAAACTTAACAATAGACCTATCCCATAAAACAGACTTTTGGATAGCGCGTGCCTGAAGAAGAGTGGTATCACTTTCTCTTTTATATAATTAAAAAAAGACGACGTGCCTTTTCAAGTCCGTTTTATGGGATAGGTCTATTATTGATATTTTTAAATAACTTCAAAATGATTTTTTTATTACTATAATTGCAAAATATGATCAAAAAGCATTAAAAATTCTTACACGGAAAATGTTAAATGTACAAAAAGTGACAGTTGTATTTATTAAAATTCCATTTTTCCATGTAAATCAAAATTTATTCCTTGAAAATAGACGAAAAATCGATATGAAAGCAGTTTTTCACGTTAAAAGATTTTTAACGCTTTATCAGTTAAATCTAGTTAACTGCACTATTAAGCCTGATTTATAGATTGCCTTCCTTCCTTCCTCCCTTCGTCAGGTAAAAGATGAACAATACAAAAACCGTTGTGCTGTTTATAGATTCCCGTACGGGAATCTATAAATCATTTATTAAATAGCACTCCGATTTTCGTATTGTTCATCTTTTACGGGAAGTAGAAGGAAGGGAGGCAATCTATATACGGCGGAATTAAACGTTCATATAATCTTTTCATCATAGGCGTCAAGAAACTGTTTATTACTTTTCTATTTTTGTATTGAGATTACCACAATCCACACAACAAGGTCTGTTCTATCTCATGCTAAAAATACTAAAAATCACTGCAACACTGCACAGAGTTTAACGGCGGCCATTTTTGTTGTTTACAATTCTTGTGCTTTGGGTTTGTGCTGTTTAATAATTGTTTTAAACGTTGTGTTTCTTACAGAGGCACTTGTAAGCCTCAAATAAGGCCTTTAAGTGCTAAGGACAACCATTTTACTCCTCTTTTATTATAAATATACCTTATTATATCAGGGCTGTCAAATGACAATTTGAAGGTTAATTTGTGGGTTATAATTTAATCTCAAAATTGACATTTGACAGTTTTATGACAGCCCTGATAGAATAAAGTTTATTTTTTACAATAGAGGAGTAAAACGGTTGTTCTTAGCACTTTAAGGACTCTTTTAAGGCTTACTATGAGAAACACAACGTTTAAAACGATTATTAATCTGTATAAACAGAGCACAAACCCAAAGCACAAAAATTGTAAACAACAAAAATGGCCGCCGTTAACCTGTGCAGTGTTTTTTTGTATTTTTAGTACGAGATAGAACAGACCTTGTTGTGTGGATTGTGCTTCAACCTGTGACTAAAAACCTGTCGCTAATTTAAAGGTGGAACCTGAAAAAATCAATGAGAACTAAAAACATTAAATAAACAACGTAAAAAATAACCCCACTTTTTTATTTGCGACAGTGACAGATAAAAGCGACGTTCTAAGGTAATTAAATTTAGTAACAAAAAAGAGTTGTTCTTAGGTTTTTATTAAGGTAATAAAAAATTTTAGTTAAGAAAGATTTTTATTGAAAATTAACATAAATAAACTTCTGTAAGTATAAAATTAACAATATATCATGTAATAAGAACCCCAAATCATAACAACTTAAATTTCGCTCCTTTTAACCGGATTTGTGTTATTTTTTTTACCTTTGCAGCCCTTTTGGGTGTGCACCAGTAAATGGTGTTTTCTTTTGGCCTTATAAGAGCAGTGCGAACAATTATATATGTAAACCTTCTCTGGGTCCGCATGCTTCAGCATGTGTGTGTTGAGATGCGATTTCCTTTTCGTCTTGTACTCGCATTTTTTGCATTCGTACTTTAAAGCGCCCTCGTGCGTTATCATGTGCGACTTGAGGTTCATTTTGCGGATAGCTGTGTATGGGCATTTCGGGCACTTGAAGTTCCTCGGCAGGGAATCCTTCAAATGGGTCTCTGTGTGAAGTCTAAGTCTATCTTTTCTGTTGGTCAGGTAGTTGCAGTGGGTGCACTTGAATTTTAAAGCGTTCGGGTCGTGCTGCAACAAGTGAGACTTCAAGTACTGCTTTTTGATGGCCTTGTAGGGGCAATACAGGCACTGAAAACGCTTGAAATTTTCCGTATTCCCGTGTAACACCAAGTGCCTGAATAAGTGGTGTTTGTATTCAGTTTTGAACGGGCATTTTAGGCAAACATACTTGTTTTCTTCTTCATTATAACTAAAAAACATTTTTTTAATAAACCATATACATTATAAGGATACAATACACTTACTTTCCCCGCTCTATCTTAATACACGAAGTATCTTCATCGACATCCTCGTCATTTTCGGCAATTCTATTAATAACCCCCTCAATGCTCAAATCCTCGACCCTAAAACCCAAAATCAGCCTCAAAACCCAATCTATAGCAAAAAACTCACCTGTCAACTTTTTTAAGGTTGGCTCCGCCCACTATGCTGCCTATTACAATGTTGCCAGGCCTCTTGCGCATTCTAAACGCGAATTTTTCCTTGACCACCGTGTCTTTTTCGTCCATTATCACTGCTTCGCTGACTGTTTTTTTGTTGATGATGTTTTTGAGTTTGGAGTTGGTTATTTCGATGGGAGTGAATATGAAGCCTTGGTTTGTGGGGGAGGGGGATTTGGGAGGTTCATCGGAATCGGAGAAATCTTCCTTCATGTGTAAACTTGTGATTTTTTGGGCGTTAAAGTTTGTTCTTCTTGTGGCGCGTTTTTTGTTTTGTTTTTTCAACAACATAAATAGCTGGGCCTCTAAAGTTGCCTCTAGTTTTCTTAAATTATTTCTTGTTAACATTTTTAAGGCATTTTGCCATTTGAACTTATTTTTTATTGCAATGTTTGATGATTTTACCATTTGCAGTGATTTTAGAATTTTTTTTTTACTTAAATTAAACAAATTCGCAATTTTTTTGTTACTTTCAAAACAAAAACGTCTAAAAGTGTAAAAATTTTGGAGAATTATCCAACAATTATTGCATAAAATTGGTTTTTCTGTGAGATCCAAGTCCTGAAATAAAAAAATGTAAAAAAATATAATTTTTTATATATATCTAATCTTACAATTTCTATATCACATGTATTAATAATATTTCTAACTAATTTGTAAGATTTGGCATAGTTTTGCTCAAAATATAAAGGAATATTATTATTAGGACTATTTTTCAAACATATCCTACAAATAAGTTCACTTTTTAACTTGTTTTTATCAATAAAAACATCCAAACTTATCATTCCAGATTTTTTTGACTCATTGCTTATCCTATTTTCATTTTTATACGCCATTTCTTTAAACTCATACGAAGTTTCTAGACTTTTTAAACAACTTTTACATATTTTTGAATTTTTTCTTATTTTTAGATCCTAAAATGCATTTTTATGTTTATCAGTGCCTACAAAAGTAAACTCACTTACCAAATTTGGCACTATGAAACTCAGCATATTTATTTTCGTAAAAATAAACTCAATTGTCTCATTTTTCTTAAGTTTCTTAACGCAGATTATACACACATGCTTTATTTCATCCATTTTACACCCAAAATACCTAACTGAAATTAAAAAACTGAATTGCAAGAATAAAAACATTAACAAAAAAATGTTTAGTGTTATAATAACTGTGCGAGTTGATAAACAATAAATTTATAATTTATGGTGAATTTACCACTGTGTATGTTTGTAGAAATGCATTCTTTTATATTAATCAACACCCAAAAATAATTAGGCGAAAAAAATTGTTAATTTAGCAGTATTGGTATTTTGTAATATAAACAAACTAAAAAAATATGAATATTACACAAAAACAACCCTGATAAATTGCTATTTTAAACATTATTGATAGTATCTATACAAAATATACAAATTTAACAAAAAAAATAAAAAATCCCTTAATTTTTCGAAGTTGCCGCCAGTAGTTCAAATGTACGATCTTCTTCTTCCGCGGAAAGTGTGGTTATGTTGTGCGTCAAAATGAAAATTTAGCCATTCTTCTTCAATTTTCTTGTTGATTTGTTCGTTGATATGGAAGATAGACGCATATCGGAAAAATTTAGGAAACCGAGAAGATCGAAGGGCACGCCGTTTCATTTGCAGCGGAATTATTATACTTTGGGTATATTCGGAGTTAGTGCTATATTTTTGGCTTTATACGAGTGAGTGTAAGACTAAAATGGTGTGTTTTTTATTAAAATGTACGTTTTAGGTTCTCCTTTGCTTCTACACACTTAAGGAAAAAGCAACTTGAGGGGGCATTTAACAATTCCGAAGAATATAACAGTGCCAAGGAGCAATATCAGTTGGCTCGAAGTGAGCCTTCTATGGAATCAGTTATAGTGAGAGCAAGGGAGAGAATATTGAAAAAGGATGAAGAAAGCCAACCAAAACCGTGGTACCACAAATATGTCTACGGAGAACCAGAAATCTAAATCTAAACCTAAAACCAATAGGTTGGTAATGTTTTTTTAATATTATATTTTGTGGTTAGTCAATAAAATGTTGTTACTACACGGTTATTTTATTTTGCTTCAGCAAAACCGGGAAAATCTCCAAATATTTCCAAAATAACATTATGGATTTAAATGAAGTTGACTCTCCCTATAGAAATTTAGTTTCCGACATAAAACCACAACAAAATGATTCAATTAGTGACGAAAATGACTTTAAAACTCCGATAATTACTAAAAAGTACGCGCCACCGAAAATATTGAAGGAAAAAAAGAAAAAAATCAAACAAACAAAATTAACAACCAAATTCTCAAGCAATAAAATTGATATTGATGTTAACTTAGACCACTTGCAAATGGCTATAGCATTATCAAAATCCTCCTATGCAGAGGAAAACCCAGAAACACCCTTAGAGGATATGGAAGATGAAAAAATATCAGTGAAATTTGGAACTTTAAAAACAACCCTGGAAAAATTTGGCTTCAAAAGCAACAAAAATATCATGGGGGTCCAAAATAAACGTTCAAATGAGGTAAGCAAAATGTTACCAATTTTACTATGTCTTAAAACACTATTTTTAATTTCAGTTAACTTACAAAAAAAGAAAAGCCTCTAAATTCAAATATATAACACCAACTTTAGTATCTAGAACTACTGAAGACAGAGAATCTATAATAACATCAAAAATATCTTTAATTTTGTCGCAAAATATAACAAATAATCAAAAAAAGATACAGAAAGATTTTACATTCATAACAGATATAAAAAACAATCTAAGTGAAGAATCTTTTTTGTTTAAGTTAAATAATATCCCCATAGATAAACTAAAACAAGATTTCTTCTATCCTGAATCTCTAAATATTCCCAAATCGCAAATAAAAAGTGGGTATTTATTAAAAAATTGGTCCAAAATTCCTGGAAGGGACTTTTCACCAACCAGATCTCCAAATATATCAATTAAAGATAATGATGATTTAAGAGATACTACTAGTAATAAAGATAGCACTGATATCAAGGAAATATATGATGATAAAAAAGAAACCTCAACAATTAAAGATACAAAATCTCTCAACAACAGAAGCATATCTCCAGATTTATTTGGTTCCGATGACGAAAATTTCGATTATATCACTTCAAACACGTCAAAATTAGAGATAACGGAAAACATCAAACCACCAAAAATTAAAAATAAAGTCGAACTAACTTGTGTTGGCGACACAAGCGATTTAGAAGTTGCCAAAATATTGGAAAAATCTCAAGAAATACTTGAAAGTATCAGTTTTGAGATTAAAGATACTTTTGAAGAGATTAAAGATACTAAATTTGATAATAAAAGTACTAAAATGACTTTTGATTCAGAAATTGTAAATAAAGATATTAAAGATTCACAAATTAAAGTTATAGATACATATGATCTTACCTTATCCTCTGATGATGATGACATTAAAGATACTTCAGATACTGACTCCAAAATTGAAAATCTTAATGATATTGAAGAAAAAACTAAAGAAACTGATATAGAAATAAAAGATAGCCATATCCATAACCTAACACTAAAGAAAAATAGTTTTTGTTTTGATATTAAAGAAACTGAAACAAAAATTAAAGACATTAATTATATACATACGATCTCGTCTGACGATGAAGATCTTGATTCTCACATCTCACAAAAACATGATGAATCTCTAAATAAAACCAAAAAACTTCTAGAGAAATCTTTAAATCGTTCTAGTATCTCTAAATCAAGCGCTAGCACTTCATCAAACAGCATAAATATCAGTAAAGACTTAAATTACTCATCCCAAAGCGGCATAACGCACTATAGCAGTTATAGTGACAGAAAAATATCCCGCTACAGCTTTACTTATGAAGATGATGATGAACAAAATATGGAGAAAATTAGAGATATTTGTACGCAAAGGAGTTACGACATTGTTAGAGATGACTCCTTGGGTTACAATTGCACCAAGTCCCTTAATGTTACGGAATATGTAACCCAGATGTTGAATGGTGAGAAAAAAATTGAAACAGTCAGTGATAGTGATGATGTGGAGGAAAATAGTCAGTGCAGCTCTCAAACTAGCTTCGTTTCAGATGAAGAGTTAAATTACTCTTGTCATTATGCTACACCGGTTGCTAGACGAAGTTTAGAGCAAATGGGTAAGTTTTTATAACATTTTTATGTCTAAGATATACCGTGTCAAAGTTTAGGTGGATTGTTGGAAGGAGAAATAAATTTGACGCCATTATTGTTTAGGTAGTTTTTTTATAGGTATCTTCATTAAAAAGATTTTTAAACCCATTAAGTTAGCATTTTAGAAATAAAAGCTACCACCTACTTTAATTTAAACCAACGGTCTATTTTTAGATTTTGTGGATAAATTTTGCGATTATGAACCATCCTTAAGTCCTAAAAACAACATTTCTCCAAAAGTTACATCACTAGACAACGAAAAAAACATGGCGGAAGAGATTTTTAATAATACTTTGGATAGCACCGCAGTGCTAAACAAAGTACTAGATCTAGAACAAGAAAAAGTTGACAGTAACATAAAAACGCCATCAAATTATATAATCAAAAAACGTGACATCACGCCAATGCCCTACTACGATGAAATGGACACACCAAAGATCAAAAAAGAGTTGGATAAGTTTGGTTTAAAACCTTTGAAGCGCCAAAGAGGCATTAACTTACTCAAACATATATATGACAGCACACACCCCATAGTAAAACACAAATCATTCGAAATTGACCAGGAATTACCCATATGCAAAAAAAGAAGACTGTCGGAGGCTAAAACTGGCAACACTGCAGTCATAGGGGAGTGTCCAAACCTATGGTGAGTCTGGCGATAACGCAAAAGATCAAATAAAATGTTGTTTTATTTTCAGCGAAAATATCGATGATCTAATTTTTGAACGTAAATTTCGGGCAAAAATTCCGTCATGTCGAATTCCCCTACAAATAGTTTGGCATAATTTTTTACACAATCATCCCGATATATTCGAAAATATTTTACTATATGAACCCTTACAGTTGGAGGTTATACACAAAATGCTTAAGGAGCTGGGTTATAAGTTCCACATTGATGATTTATTATCTTTTTTGGATAAAAAATGCATTACTATTAGAACAGCGCAGGGAAATCAACAAAAGAAAAAATAATATGTTTTTGTATCGTTAATATATGTTTTTTAAGTAAAATAAATAGTTTTTTTTATTGGTTGTATTATGTAACTCAGTGTACATGTTTATTTTCGCTCAGTGTACATGGTATTTGATGACGTGTGTGGTTCATTGCAACTACTGTGATGAAATATCATGCCTATTTGTAAAATAATGTTCAAAAACGTGTTTAATTACAAAATATGGCAATTAAATTATTAAATATGCATTTAAAAGTCCTAAATAGTTGTTATTTTGTGTAAATGTGGTAAAATTATGAGTTTACTCAGTAAACTTTACTGTCAAAAATTTCTGTCCTACTTTTTGACATCTGTCATTCGTTATGGACGTCATTCTAAATTAATAACAATTTGGATTTTTAGTACAAAAACACACAGGTAATTAGTATTAAGGTACAAAATACTTAATATTTTACTTTTATTTTACATTGCAATACGAATATTGCACGTTTAATCATATTTATAGGTTAGGTTATGTTCAGTATCTTCATTACATAATAACCGTATTATTTGTAGGTATGTTAAGATTTACGGTTAGTAAAGTCCTCAATGGGGCCAAAAACGGCCCCAAAACGTTGACGGTGCTTACGAGATGGCAGAGCGATCAGGCGAAAAAACCTGAGAAGATCGAGGTGTTTATCGATGACAAATCTGTGATGGTTGAGCCTGGTACCACGGTTTTGCAGGCCGCTGCGTTGGTTGGCGTCGAAATTCCGAGGTTTTGTTACCACGAGAGACTTGCAGTTGCAGGCAACTGCAGAATGTGTCTCGTCGAAGTTGAGAAGAGTCCCAAGCCTGTTGCTGCTTGTGCCATGCCTGTAATGAAAGGTATGTCAGTTTTTAGGCTTTATATATTATATTTAACATAATTCCGAAAACTTTTAAGGCTGGAGGGTAAAAACTGACTCAGAAATGACCCGCAAAGCTAGGGAAGGGGTTATGGAGTTTTTACTGGTGAATCACCCCTTGGATTGCCCCATTTGCGATCAAGGTGGCGAATGCGACCTTCAGGATCAAAGCATGGCCTTCGGTTCTGACAGATCGCGGTTTGTCGACAACGATTTCAGCGGCAAACGTGCAGTTGAAGACAAAGATATTGGCCCGCTGATTAAAACCACAATGACGCGTTGCATCCATTGCACGCGGTGCATCCGGTTCGCCTCCGAGGTTGCAGGAGTCGATGATTTAGGTGAGTCTTGAAAAATCTAAAAAAATTGTTTTGCTAATTTTAATAAATTAAAAACATTCCTTAAAAGCTCGATGATATTCTATGAAAACATAGTGTTTTTAATAACATTCTTCATTATTTTCTGGTAATTTTTGATAATATTCTACGAAAATGCAATATTTTTGATAATATTCTTAATACTTAAACGAACTTTTTTTTAAAATTTATGTTCATTTTAAATCGTTTTATAATTTTTATTAATTTACCTAAAAGTTGCAATATTTTGATAATATTCCTTGAAAGTTTGATAATATTCCAAGAAATGTAATATTTTTACTACA